TTGACTACTTGACAACTCAGTTGCCACACCCAGTACGTTCAGACTGCAGTAAAGTTAGCGACATATTCACAGATTGTGTTTTAAAAATGTCCCGATTACGAGTTATTGACGCGGGAAGCGCGAATCTGTGAATATGTTGCTAACTTTACTGCAGTTACGTTCAGCCTGATCAAAAGGTTAAGCTACAGTGTAACCTCTGTGTTGCATCGGCCTGCCCGCAGGGAGTCGTTTTGGGGAAGAGGTTACTGTATACTGTACTGGACAAGTTCATTCTTGTTAACACCCCCCCATGTGACTGACTGCAGACATCACAGCCGCAGCAGGAGGCATCACTCTTCCCTCATCAGCCTACAAACGCGTTGGTCCTCCACTTCTTTTATTTATTTATTTTATTCAACTCCGCGCACCACTTTATTCCGTTCTTTTTTTCCTCTTTCTTTTATTCTTAAAAAGGGGAGTTTGAGGTTCAGCGCAAAAACCCTCGGAGATGTTCTGGTTCACGCAAGGACTCTGCTTCCTGCCGGTGTTTTTGGTCATCTGGTCCTCCTGCACTTTTGTTATCTCCTATGTTATTGCGCTTTTCAGGCAAGATGTCGATATAATCTTCCCGTATATAAGGTAAGTTTTGCTCTCGCCCGGAGGCGGTTCACATAGCCTACAACTTTTCCTCAGCTTGAGATTTCTTTAGTTTCGTTTTCCCCCGACTGGCTTGCAGTTGGCTGCTGATCAAACTACAGCTGCACTCACACCTCTTTTTTTTTCTCTTGAGAGTGGGGCAGCCGGAGAACTCTTTTTCACTTCCCCCTCCATAATTAGAGTCATTTTTGAAGAACAGGTGCCTAAATTTCAACATGAAAGGCAGCCCGTGTATAACGGAAAAGTACCAGTGATCATGTCTGTGATGCCCCCACTGATCTTTGCTCTTCCTTCTCAGTGATACAGGCGCAAACCCCCCAGAAAGCTGCATTTTTGGCCTGATGACCTTCATTTCTGCATGTGCAGGTATCTCTAATTCGAGTTCTAACATCTGGCTATTCAATTCGGCTGTGTAGAGCGAGACTGGGTTTCCCCAGAGGGAGTAAGGATTCTTTCCCAAGATCTTACTCGCATTTCTCCTTTTGCTTGAGAAATCAAAAGCATTTCATCTGCCTGGAGAGGGGAAGAAGAAAGAGTCATGAGTTCAAGTGGCTTTGTGGTAAATGTACATTGTGATTGTTTTACAGGAACAGCCACAATTTATGCGAGATACAAGTTTGTGGAAAAGCTAAATGAGGACACCCGTGTGGTGAGACCATGCCTCAATAAAGTCACTCTTTTTCTTGGGATGATGTCCTGTCTGGGAATGTGTGTTGTTGCTACTTTCCAGGTATGCCTTCACATGTCTTATACCGTATAAAACTCCACAGCCACCTGTCTTTCCATTGTCTTTTGCCTCCAGTGAGCCAAATTTTCTTAATATTATAAAGTCATCTTGACTTTTTCAAAGTTTTCTCTGGCCTTTGGCTGCTTTTCAACTCATTGTCAGTCCAACTTTTGTTTATTTAAGAGGAAACCTGATTAAGAGCAGACCTGATAAAAGACCTGCTTTTTACCTTCTTTCTGCTATTTGAGGCATTTTCAAAAATGGTCTTCATTGAAGGGTGGCTTTCAAGAAGTCAATCCTAAGGGAGGGAAATATTGAAAGAAGGCTGAGCTATGCCAAGTGACACGGAAACCGGACTGATAATCAGTGGCAGAAGAATGATTGATTCATTTCGCAGCACAGAACTAAGCCTGACCTCCAAAGATGAGGCTTGAAATGTAATTCAAAAGGGCCGGAGCACTATTCCTGAACAATACTTAAAGAAATGACCGGAGGCTAGTCTAAGAGGGTTTGATTGTGCCTGAAAGGGAAGTTGCCTATACCAAGTAATGACTTTCAAACATTTCAAAATCAATGTTTTTTTCTCTTTATAATGCCTTTTCGTTTGTTTTTCATTTTTCTTGAGGGTTCAGGCTTTAGCACTGTATGGTAAATGTCACTGAAACGTCACTCTGATGTTTAACGGCTTCTTTTTCTAATTCCTGGCAATAGGAAACCGCTGTGACACCAGTCCACGATTTCGGAGCCCTGCTGTTTTTCGTCTCTGGTGTCCTCTACATAATCCTCCAGACTGTGATGTCCTTTCAGTCCTATCCATTTGGGCCCTCCATGGCTGTGTGTGGAGCCCGTTTGGGCATCGCAGTCCTCGCCGCTGTGGCCTTCTTCCCCAGTATCCTTGCACACATTGGGGGGGGGGCTCGGTTGATACCTGGTTTCTGTGCACATTTACCTTGACAAAAAACTCAGCTGTCATCTGCGCCTTTTTTGTTGAACAAACCACATTGCACAGACATGCGGAGGACAAGGTAGGCTTCAGTCCTGTTTGGAGGGAGGACTTTTTAACAGGAAAAAAGAATTACATAAAAAGATCTCCATATATATATATATACATATATGTATATATGTATGTGTATATGTTTATGTATATGCATTGACTTAAAGCCATGTGGTGCTAGCAAGAAGTGGGATATATGACATGTTTGTTTGAAAGTAATGGGTGATTGGGTGTATTAAATGCTATTTGAACTCATCACGTTGTAAATTCAGATTAAGAAGTAAAAAATGTACAAATGTAGGGGTTATAAAAGAGGCAAATGGTAAGCATTTTAACTACCACAGTTTGACCTCATTTAAAACTCAAGCATTGGAAGAAGTATCCTAAATGGGAATTGTGCTCCGGCCGCTCACTACATGTTGATAACAGCAGCGCTGTGTGGTGAGCTAAAGGCAGATTCTGCTTCCCCCCGGTCAGGACTATCCCTTCCACCTGGCCAGCGCTGTCTGTGAGTGGGTGGTGGCCTTCAGCTTCGTCTGCTTCTTCCTCACGTACATCGATGACTTTAAGGTGAGGGTCAGATCCGGCCTCACAGGGATGCTGTTGGCTGCCGGTGAGCTAAAATGTCCGGCCTCCCTCTTTTCCCCTGCAGCTGTTTACCCTGAAGGTGAAAACGGAGTTTGCGGAATAGCCTCGGGAATTCATCACCAAAACTGGGATTAACTACAGCATTTCATTTAAACAAGCTTTTAAAATGTGGCAAGCTTTCAAACGTTTTATACAGATTATGTCTCAACACCTGACTGAATATTTTTTGTAAACTACGATACATACTGTTTTAAATCTTTATTTATACATACAATCAACTGGCTGATTGTCAAGTGTGACATTGCAAAAGGAAGAAATGACCACGGTCAGTATTTTTATACTTTTTATACAGCCCTTTTATACGTGTTACTGTTGTTTGCCGTGTTCAAACGTCACTTTGCACTTTGCTCCACTGTTGCCACACCAACGTGACACATCCTGTGAGACCTGTGACCACTAATAAGAGAAGTCCGTCACACACTGAGGACACGGTCACAGTGTGTACGGTTTTATACTGACTGTGTATTAACTCATGAGGTTTTCCTCATCGTTTTTAGAATGTGTTTCACTTGGATTTGGAGTGTTGTGACAACAAATTAGGGAGAAAAACTATTCTTGTAAGGGCTTTGAATCAGACATTATGCTCTGGCACGTACAAGTCTGGTACTCTTGATCTAAATGATATCAGCAGACCTCAGTCTCTGGTTGAAAGGTGCAGCTAAAAATGGGAGTTTTTGTGCGTTTAAAGAATGTGTGCTTTGTAAAAATTAGGTTTACTCTGTTCTTCAGCCAAACTTAATTTAGTAATGAAGTAAACTTCGACTGAAGACTGGAATTGATGCAGTTTGGATGCTCTGTCTATCCTCTGTCTGGAAGCAGTGGATTCAAATGTTTAAACTTTTGACCCTGAAAGATTTATCAAGAGTTGTAAATGTATGTCATGTGTTTTGAAATGCTGACACTCTTCTAGTTTGAACATTAGAGCTAAGCTGCAGATAAATAAATGAGCCTTCAATACCACCCCCTTAAAAAATCTATATTACTTCCCATGTAGGTACTTTGGTGCTTTAAATCAACTGCTTTGCTACATCTGTGGTATGCCCCCTCCATCCCTCCAGCTGCTTTTCATTGTGTCTGGGACCATTAAGCCAGGGCAGACGCGAAAGTTGCCTCTGTCCTGACCAACGCAGTTCACACCAAGTGAACCTGATCTGTTCCTCCCTAAACCACGCTGGGCCACGTTCCAGTCGTGTAAACAAAGTGCACTGAGAACAGTCTCTCAAACATTCCCTAAAGGAAAGCAGAGGAGATAAGAGACCCCTTCTGCACAGGAGGAGTTTGTTTTGGAATTGGCCTAACACAAGGGAACAGAATTGAAAAGTGTCTGAAATATTTGCTTTAAGAGGTCAGGAGAGCTTGAGCACACCATCTGGTTATGGTGTTTGGAGATACTGTTGGCCAGATTATGCAATCATGAGTAGATGTTTCTTGCTGGTGAACTTGTGGCTGATCGCTGTTGTAACACAGGCGCTGCTGAAATTCTGTGCACAGTCCAAATGTTCACTACAAATGCTGCGTTCACAAGGGAAAATGTATTTTCGTGATTTAATACCTTTTGTGGTAACACCATGTACTGTATGCTTTATATTACATAACGTGTTTGACAAATAAAATTATCTAAAAAAAAAAAAAACGTGTTCACTTTATCTTCATTTGAGGCAAAAATCACATATTTTACAGTCAGACGGCCAAAACTTGTCTGTTTCAACTTTTATATTACAAACATTCATGGTACATTTTTTTAATTCCAAAACAATTTTACTTTCTCTGTCCTCTGCTAATACATTTTGATCAATTCCATGAGAAAGAGTTCTTGGAGTAGCCAACGCATGAAACTTCAATTTCTAAATTTTGTCTGGTCAGAGGTGTATTTGTGACCATTTTGCCTTTTAGTGTTTAGTGCAAGTTTGTTTAGTCTGGAAAACTGTTCTTTTCAGGCAAAACTTACAGAAATGTTAAAGGAAAAATGTTTTCATTCGGAGTACCGGAAAGACAGCAAGGCAGCACATACCTGCTACCATTTAAAATATCATGAAACAATTAAAGTTGTTATGACACTTTTCCTTTTGTGAAAGATCTGTGTGGGTTTACATTCATAATATTGTACATTTTTCATTTGTACTATATTTAGAGCCAGACATGGACGCAAAAAAAAAAAGTATACATAGACAAAGCGTTTAAACAAATGGAAACAACATTAAAACCATTTCTCTCATCAAAATGCAATGTTTTGTGGGCTAAAACCTGACTGCATGCAATATAACAGAGATTATTCAAGGCATCGACCAGTTTTTTAAAAAACTCTCCAAATCTTAGACCGAACAGTTCTAAGGATGCTGAACAAGGCGTGACAAGACACCCCACAGGTCTTGGGTTCTGTGTTTCCTCCAGCAGGCAATACAACACTAAGCGAGAGGCGCTAATGTTTCGGCTCATAGGTGTATTTCTTTAAGGCATTATTCTGTTATAGTCAAGTCATCACCACGAACCCCTCCAACTACTACATGATAGCATTCTTTTTTTGTACGCCTGCTGTCCCCCGAAAAACACTCCTGTCATGAAGAAAATACATTTCAAAATGGAAACGATGGATCGAACTCGTGTTCACAGATATTTAGTAGATCTATTCCAGTTCGTTCAAATCACAGTCTCTTCATCTCCTTGGTTTGCTTCTTCTTTGCTGTTCATCCTTCAGAGCTTCACAACGGGGTTTTAGAAGTGCAAATGCTGATGGGTGACTGTTAGAGGGAGCTCTGCAGTGGCGAGGACAGAGGGCGTCAGTCGCTGAACGAGGATTCACTGTCAGAGCTGGTGGCCGCCACATCCTCGTCTCCTGCGCTCTTCGTTGCTCCATCAGGCACAGGGGCTTCAGGTGTGCTGTCAGACGCAAAGACGGAGTCAAATTTCAGTAATCATTCAAATGAAAACAGACATTACAATCTGATCACCACATAGTAATATAAGTCTAAAACACTAACTCAAGCAAGTTGGGATCCAAACCCTCCATGATCATTTTGTTCCTTATGGCCATCACCGGAACCCCCTGAAGACAGGAAAGACAATAACATGAAGATACAACATATTTTAAAAAGCATTTAGTGAAAAATGTGAAAATATGACTTACCACTTGAACCATTTTCAGATACCGGGCATAACGGGGGTCCTTGGCGACTGTCATGACATTTTCCACTACGACCTCTGCAGCGGCTGCTGCTGCTGCTTGCACAGGTGCAGCTTCAGATGAGCTCTGAGCAGGCTGAGAAAAATCACAAATAAATCAAATGTGGTGTGAGACGTGTCCAAATATTCATCTGTTCTGTTATTCCAAATGACACACTGCACCTATATGTGTTTGCAGAAACGCGCACCTACCTGAGCGGCCGGAGCTGACCGTGTTTCTTGACCATCTGTTTGGCTTTGGCTAGGGGTAATGGGTCCGTTTGTCTGTGCAGTTTGCTGCTGACTGAGTCCCTCTACTGTGACATCCTCTAGTCCAGGAATGGAGGACAGCTGCCCAGAGAAGAATAACTTTCCATAAACATTCAATCAAAATCAGAAAATGTATACAATGAGGTCAAATAAGACACAACTGACCTTGGCTTCCAAAATACACAGGGTTGTTTCAATCTGCTGTATGCGTAGGGATATGTTTGCAAGTTTCTGTGGGACAAGGGTTTAGGATAGTGAAAATGTTATAGACATCCCCTCCTTTATGTTTCCTCCCCGAGAGGGTGGAAGAGTGAACATTAAAAGAGAAACTGAAGATGAACAAACCTCTTCACAAACTGTTGAGAATCTGTTAAGAAAGCGGACCGTGTGCACGACAAACTGATTGAGATGAGCAACAACTCTTCTCTGCTGTATAGCAGGAACCTAAAATGGGAAAAAATAAAAAAATGTACAGGGTCACACATAAAAGGAGAGTAGGAACCAAGTCTGTAATGCAGAAACATTCTCTGTCACAAAAGTAGCCTTTTCCTATTACTTCATCCACTAGCTGCAATAATCATCATGAACGCAGCGAAATTTAACTGACATTGACGTTTCTACTAGTAGTTCTCAGGTATTTCTTATCTTGTGGACTATACATTAAATATTTTTATGATTTCGACCATCATAACAGTCAAAGGTGCCAAGCTGAACACAACAGCATCAGAGTAGATGTTATTTAGGAACTGGTTGCAAAAATGTTTTTACTCTCACATGAGGAAAAACATTTAAATGTTGCTGTTTTGAAAATCTCTGTTTCTGCCACAATGTTGGAAAATGTCTTCCAGGTCTATAGACAACTTTGGACTGGAATAAAAACTTCAGTGTAACCTGTTGCAGTCACAGCTCACACAAAAACAAGACAACAACGTCTAATAGTTCAATTTGAGGTGTCCTACATGATAATTTGGTTGAAAACAGCTCGAAAATTAAAGGGAACACATTCTTTAGTGCAAACTATTTGAGTTATTGAAATAAACGACGGACCTATGCTACATATGTCAAAAGACAATGTTGCTTTCTAAACATGTAACCGTATGAAAACAAAACAAGGAAAGTTTTTGGTCGGTTATGTATACTACGGACAGACGGGCTTTGCTCCAGTAACGACAAGATTCGCAACATTTTGCCTGCACTGTTTCGGCTTTTTATATTTCTGCTGTTGGCTAAAGCCAGCTTTAAGCTAACCTGGTAAACACAAACCTTGGTAAGATCCACTCCAGACCCTACAAGAGGCAGCCCGTCCTCGTCCATTGTGGATTTTGTCTAGATTAATTACTAAACCTAACGTAATGTTAAGATAAATTAGCGAAAATTACAACGACAGAAGCCCAGAAATCATTCAATTAAGGCATTTGCTGTGAATTTCACGTGACTCTGAGCTGCGTGACTGCGTCGTGACGTCTCCAGCCGAAGGCGAGCCAACGGAAGTGGTGATTTTTATTTTGAAGATTTTAGACGGGAGAAATGACTCAAAATGACTCAAAATTGACATTCACAGATCATTGTTTTCTGCGTGCAATTTGATGTTTTTTGCTATTAATATCATACACTTCTGCATGTACATTTGAGTACGTTTTATTCGTACAGAGTCAATTTATGTCAAAGGTAAGTTTAAATAAATGAAATGGGGAGCACAGAGTAAAATACATTGCGAGTAAAGAAATACGTTACTAGTGCAAATCTTAGATATAAGTGACAGATTCCATCTGCTCTGCATTAATTCTACTTTATCATCTTGACTATGTTATCTTGATACCCCCAGTTCTGCCCCCAAACTGAGTGTCTACATTATCTTAAGATAAAATGGATAAATATTGTGTTGAATGCCATTAAAGACAAAAATTAAATGTCTATGCAACTTTATATGTATAGTTTAGGTCAAATTGTACACGGGAAATATTAAAAACACTCACTTATACGACCTTTGTTTTTACGACCGGAAACTCAAGGGAGGGTTGAGGAATTGGTGCTTGCGTTCCTTCAGCGCATGTTAGCCAACAAATCATACAAGATTTAAATGTTAATTTTGCCCCAAAAAGAGGAACACTTCACTGATGGAGGTTCTCGTGTCAACAGAGAAAATAAGCGGTACGTGTGTCAACAATGTGCTCAGGATATAATCTTAAACAGACTATTATTATTATGCCTTTAACTCAGTGACTCAGGGACCCGTCTAACTAAAGGAGTCGAGGCGTTTACAGACAGTCAATGTTGCGCATTGGAAGTTTACTCTGTAGAAATGGATTGAAAATTATTAGCGTGACTCCTACAAAATTTCGTTTTTAAAAGTGATCAATCACACTTGCTGACAATTATGCAAGGCGCCGGGATAACAATTACATTTTGCCCAGCAATTATTCTGGTTCACGTGCCTGGAGCTTGCAGTTTGAATATGGAGCAGAAAATGCAGTCAAACCAGTGGTGTCGTTCGTGGATCAAGCAGATGACTTATTCTATCATGCAGCGTATATAATGTCAAGTTTACAAATTCAGTGATGTGATTTTAACAAATAATATTTAAAATGTGCCGCTGTTAAATTATTCTACAAGTAATTCTCCTGTTAGAGGCTCGTTACTGCCCCCCAAAGACAACTACTTCTATTACACGTCTCTGTTCCAGACCTAAACTTGCCTGTGTCATCACTTCGCCTCCTGGTGCCCCCTCTGCAGCTTCTGTCTGCTGCGATGTGGCATCTGGCAAAGCAGAAAGCTGTTTTGAATTATGAGAAGCTGCAGGAGTTTGTGTCTACGGTGACAGATGCAGTTCCTGGTCTGATCAACCACAAACAGAGAGCCCAGCTGATTCTTGGTCTAAGAGCCAGGGTGAGCAGCAGTTTGTGTCAAACACTGGCAATGTGTTTATTCCTGTGATGTTCGCTGTGTTATTAATATTATCATTGGTTGCAGTCTTACAGTAATTCTTTTTTTTGTTAGTTCATTTTGGAGTTGTGCAAAGGCTGTGCTCGAGGAGATGTTGATTCTCAGCTGATCCTAAACTACTTGGCAAAGCTCCCGTTGGCATCCACAAACTCTTATGTAAGTAAGGTAAATGAACACTGATAAAATTATATGGTTGTGCAAAAAGTTTGATGTTTAATGACATCAATCTAACTTGTTGCAGTGTGTGGATGCAGAGGTAAAAACAACTGAGGCTACTTTCATTGCTCTTGTTCAGAGCCTGCTGAAAAATCCCGTTGAGAGGGCATATTTCTTTCAGGTGAGATGCACTTTAATTATTGATTTACAGTGATTGAAAGCAAGCTCTCAAAAGAGGATCTTTTCATGGTCTGTTCCAGGAAGTGTTCCCAGTTCAGTATGGTCCACAGTATGATGCAGCTCTGCATGTGTTACTGTGGGAGTTGCTCTCAAAGTTGGAAAAGCTGCTCCCAGTACCAGACCTTAAACAGGTAATTATTCTCACTCCATCCAGATGTTTAAGCTCCTTCATTAGAAGAAGAACCTGAACAGCTACTCTGTGATTACAGACTGCTGCCTGGCTCGCTGCTTCTCCTGCTGTTTTAGAGGAATGTGTTAACCCGTCATCGGAGGAGCTGAGCTCAATGTTCAACCACTACAAAAACACCGGGCTGCTGAAAATGACATGTAAGTGAAGCTTAAACGATTGCTCAATTTGCCATATCAGCAGGACTTTTAAGCCATGTGTAAAATGATAAACTTTATTTTTATTTTTATTTTTTTTTACAGATGGCCCCTCGTCCACCGTGGGAAGCTGCATCATGTCTGCTTTATCAGTTCCTCCCTCACAAAAGGCAAATATATCAGCTGGACCACTGACCCACGTCACTCTCGCCGGGGCGAACCAGTACAGCGTCGTGGCCATCTATACGGAAGTGGAGGTCAGAGCGTCTGAGGTAGATCAGGACAAGATGGAGTCTGCTGAGGTGCAAGTTCAGACAGATTTCTACGAAGAGGAGATCGTGGCTGTAAGCGCGGGCGAGAGCGCTGGTGAGGAGGCGGCCGCCGGCTTGAGGGCTGAAGAAAGCAGCGAAACTGTGCACGTCGCTCGAGCTCTGGAGACTTTGACCAAGACGTTTGCGCTAAGAAAAGAGAGCCTTGGTCAGGATGCGATGACGGGAAAGAGCAGCGATTCGTCTCAGGGTGAGGAGCTGGGGTCAGAAAGGGCACCGGGGGAGAGAGGGACAGAGAACAGCCACCAAGCAAGTGTTCACCCTGAAGACGGGAGACACTGCACGGTAGAAGTCCTGTGTGACCGCAAAACCGAAGTCCCAGATGTTAACACGGACCTTTGTACCATCCAGAAGGATGATAACGAATCTTTACCCTGCCAAGAAATGACAGCTGTGTCCGGTGAGGCCTCTGGAAGCCATCAGTTGGACCCATCAGCTCATGTGCGCAGGTCCACACGTCTGCAGACCAAGACCTCACCAAGCTGGCTGGAGATGTGTCAAGTCCAGAGGGCTACAAGAGAAACTAGTGAAGGGTCAAAAATGTACAGTAACACTGGTTGTCTATAAGTGAAATTGTGTTTGTGTGAAATCCAACTATGTTACATGGTGGAGTGATGATTTCAGACTCCAAAATCCTGAGCATGCAAATAACGCCAAACTGTTTATTATGACGTTAAAAGCAAAGTTTAACCTAAAATAAGATATGTATACATGTATATTGGCCAAAAAACAGGCTTGTTCTTCCTATTACCTTAACTATTCAGCTGGTGATTTATTTATTTAGTTCAGCTATGAATGAGAGAAAAAGCGCTTGCTGCTTTGAAAAAAAAAAGGAAATAGAGCACCTCACACATAGACGGATCAAAAGTGCACCTTGCTATGAATTCTTTTAAAAAGAAATGAGAGCTACCTTTAGATATAAAACCTTTTTGTTTTTTGCTTTTATTTAATTAGGAACGTGGGTGAGGCTTCTTTTGCCCCGTCTGTGATAGCCATCAAAGGCACTGACAAAGGTAATGTGTCACAAAGCAAAAAAGGTTGTGTTACGTTTGTTCAACAAAATTTCACTCATATCTGCCTCTTCATGCACAGGTAACTCGGACGAGATGACATCTATCATCTTCACCTGCTCACAGTGTCCTTTCCACCACTCGGATGTCAACAGCCCTCCTCACTTCCACATGCAGAGCGTTCACACAGAACTTTACAACAGTCTCCCGGGAGCCCAGTTTACACCATCTCCCTCCAGCTCAGACGAAATATTTACATCCATCAAGCTCTTCCCCAAAGGCAACGCGGAGCAGTGTGAGGCGGAGGAGGTGGCCGATCAAAGCAAAGTTGTTTCCTCCCGGGGGCTCAGCACACACAAATCCCTCACCTGTGAAACCTGTGGGAAGACTTTCACCCGGACCTCGGACGTCAGGAGGCACCAGCTCACCCACACCGGAGAAAGGCCCTTCCACTGCTCGCACTGCCAGCGCACCTTCCAGCACTCCTGGGATCTGGCCAAGCATGAGAGCAAGCACCACGGCACGGCCATCTCCTTCTCCTGCCAGCTGTGCGGCGGGTCCTTCGCCAACCTGCGGGCGCTGACCGTCCACCACAAGAGGTCCCACTCGCAGGAGAGCGGGCTGCCCCAGATCTGCTCCATCTGCAGCCGCGCCTTCCCCTCCGCCTCCGAGCTGCTGGAGCACCGGAGGGCCCACGTGGCCGCCAAGCGCCACGTCTGCCAGCAGTGCGGCGAGGGCTTCGACAGCCTGCTGGCGCGCTCGCAGCACCGGCAGCTCCACCGGGTCAAGCGCCACTTCAAGTGCCCCCACTGTGAAAAGACCTACACCCGCAGGTCGGACGTGAAGAGGCACCAGTCCACGCACACCGGGGAGCGGCCCCACCAGTGCGGCCAGTGCAGCAAAAGGTTCTCGCTTCGCTTTATGCTGGTCAAACACCTCCGGGTTCACACGGGCGAGCGGCCCTTCCAGTGCTCCCACTGCCCCAAGAGGTTCACCCTGCTGTCCGTGCTGGCCAGGCACGAGCGCATGCACACGGGCGAGAAGCCGTTCCTCTGCTCCCAGTGTGGGAAAGGCTTCCTGTCCCAGGGAGAGCTCTCCAAGCACCACAGGTCCCACGTGGACGACAGGCCCTACTCCTGCCCCCAGTGTGGCAAGCGCTTCAAGAGCAAGAAGACCCAGCAGGAGCACATCGTCTCGCACTCCGGCGTGCGGCCGTACCCCTGCGCCCACTGCGGGAAGGGCTTCACCAAGCCGTACGCCCTGACCCGGCACAACCTGATCCACACGGGGGAGAGGCCCTTCCCCTGCGGACACTGCGAGAAGTCCTTCCTCACGCTCAGCGAGGCCCAGCTGCACCAGAGGATCCACACGGGGGAGCGGCCGTACCCCTGCAACGCCTGCGAGCTCCGCTTCAAGAGCTCCTCGGAGCTGGCGCGGCACAAACGCGGCCATTCCGGGCTGAAGAGGGCCAAGCCGTTCTGCCAGCAGTGCGCCAAAACCTTCCCCTCAAAGGCCAAACTTCTGAAACACATGGAGACACACGGGGACCACACACAGTCTGCAGACTCCAAGGAATCGAGTAATGAATGAGAGAGATCTCATACGCCATAAGCCTTCACCATTTGAGTAACTCATGCCGAGACTAATTTTTAGGACTCTTACACCAAAAGCCTGCTGATGTACATTTTGATTTGGTTGGCATCTTCGTGTATTTTTTCCTTTCTTTTCTACATCAAAGGCAAAAACTTCATAAAATACCTTGTGCTCTAAGCATCTGTTTCCGTCTCTGTTATTGTTGTTACTGTGTGGACTGGTTTGTGGTTCGAGTCTTACCAAGGGCTCTCTGCTGCCTATCAGCCGATCATCCGGCAGCAAAGGAATAAACGCCCCAGTTTTTCCTGATCAAAACGCTGTCACCTATAAGGAATGTTAGTGCTATAAAGGTTTACAGTACCTGAAGTGGTGAGACCACCAAGAGTCACATGATGAAATCAGAGTGGTGCTCAAAACAGAAGCTGTCCCATAAATGCTGCTTTTACGATGCATGTGCTGTTCAGGTTTAGCTGAGGCTGCACTTTTTGTCATTTTGGACTGTGTTGTACTAAAAAGTAGTAATCAAGTGACCTCGGGCCAAAGGTGAGTTTTCATAAAGGCACAAAATGTGACTTTCTTCTTGCAAAGCTACCCCAAAACTAATACGTTTTTTTTTTAAGGCAGACAGAGAATTTAAAAAACGTGGGTGAAGATTTCCTGATACAGACAAAGAATTTGGCTGGTTGGCTGATTTTTATTTTATTTTTTATTTTTAGAAATAAAAATGAATGTGCTGTGCAACAGAAATTACTTTATGTCAGGTGACGGGCGTATTCAGTTCAAAATTCCACATGAAGTTAATGTGTCATCTAAACATCGAAAACACAACGGTGCTTTAATTTGTGTTGTTGTCAGTTAAAAATATACTGAATGTTCTTGAAATACAAAAACTACTTTCACCGTATTATACAAGTTTAAGGACCAACACTCCAAGAAAGAGACCAGATTGCAGTGTGATGGCCATTTCCTCTGCTGCCAGCTGATCTTGAATCCCCCTCTCTGTCATTATGTCAGCATTATGGCTATGGCTGTCCTTATAAAAGAATTTGAATAAAAACAGCATTTGAATGTGTTTAATCAACTGAAGGGTTTTAATTAGCTCTGGGTGGGTGGGCAGCCGATTGGGGGGGAGAAGCCAATGCCAAGCAGGAATCACCATCATAAAATTGGCCTCACTGCTTTATGGGCTACCAACCTGTAACTGTCTTGCCTATTGAACCAACGGAGTGCAATAATAGAGCTCCTAAAGGGGAGGCACTACGCTGGTTTTGAAATTGGTTTTCTATTTTTAGCTCTCAGTGAGCTGAGGGTATTCTAAACTATGGAGACAGCAGCGTAGTAGCAAAGTTAGGATGCTGTCGTAGTGGTCGTCATATACGCGTTATTTTCCATCCATAGAGGTATTTCTATTTACCTCTTTTAAGTAGCATTGTGAGAGTTTACTTAGGCAGTACAATCCAAATAAGTCCAATTTATTCTATTAGTAGGAGGTTCTTGGAAACGTATTAAAGACATCAGAAACATACATTTTGCTTCTGATAATGATTGACTAAGAAAACACTGGTGATTTATTAATCAAAACTTAATTATTTGATCAACAGTTAATTATGTTTAGTGCCAAAATTCTGATGACACTTTTACTGTGTTGTAAGTAAATGATATTGGCCTCAAATGTCCCCTAAATTCATTACTAGTGCTTCTGTGTTTGTGCACAGCAGTTAAAACATTGAATAAATGTGTGGTAAAAAAAATACAGTAATAGTAGTAACAGTAATCTGAAATGTTCAGTGTGAGAAACAGTCTGAGAGAGAAATTCTGAACAATCAAAAGTCATTCATTTGAGTAAGAAAATAAATTGTACATAACACAGTTGAGTTATTGCATATCTGTCAAATCATGAAAAATCAGATGACAACTTTTGAAGAAAATGTTTTCAAACCCAGTATTTCAGAAAGCCCTGCAACATTTAGTTGCAGTGCTTTCGCCAACATACACAACATATCGAAACGTCAAAGCCGTTTCAGTATGTTGTGCTTCATTACTTTCTGGGAAACGCAGTGCAGCAGTAAAACTCGGAGGAATGCCTCCTCCACACCGAGAGAGGGGGTGCACTGGTGAGCTCTCCCCCTGCAATCACCTGACCAGAGTGAGGGGCATCAGCAGGCAGACAGATGTTGGGATGCGACTCCGGGCGAACGACTTCGGACCCTTTGTGAGCGCGCAGGTGGAAGTAACATTCAAAATAAATGGATAAATAGGGCAGCTGTGGACGCAGATAACGTTTGCGAGAGCCATTAATGCGATTTACGGTCCGGTTGGCAGTGGTTTTCTTGGTTGGCGGATTAATAACCAGTCATAAAGGAGCCGGAGGAGGAGAGTGTGTTCTAGGAGGACAGGAGTGAAGGTTCTGATAGAGGAGGGAAGACAAAGGGGGGAGTGTGTGAAAGAGGGAGTGGGGGGTTGATATAGCCCGAGCCGGTATCATGAGCTCCGCACTGCCTTACGACTCGCTGTCGGCTCGACCGAGTCCCAGCAGACGAGCTCTGGACTGGGAGCGTGAGCAGCTGGCCGTGAGGCGACTCTCCTCTCCGCTGGCCGTCAATCTGCTCTCCCCTCCCGCGCTTCCTCGCCGACCCTCTGCCATCCCTGGTTACCTGCTGTCCCCCTGCAGCGAGCAAGAGGACCAGCTCCGGCATCAGCTGCAGCGCCTGTCCCTGTCGGTGTGCTCGGAGGCCTCGCTGGCTCCCCCTGCCCCTCCACCAGTGGGGGCCGCCCCACCCTGCTGCCGCCCAGTGGGGGTCATGCACCTGCTCCGCCTGGCTCTCCTGGCCTTCAGCTGCCTCTTCTGGGCGGCCGGCTTGGCCCTCTTCACCCTGGGCGTGTGGGCTCAGATCTCCCTGGCGGACTACATGACCCTGTCCGCCAACCGCTACCCCAACGCACCGCTCATCCTGCTGTCCACAGGGGCAGCGGTCACCGCCTGGGGCTTCCTGGGTTGCCTCGGCGTGGCCGCCAATCTGCCCTGCGTGCTGAGGGCCTACGGGTTCTTCCAGCTGGCTGCTCTGGTGGCCGGCTTGGCAGCTGGGCTCTCAGGCCTCTTCTACCGCGAGGACATTGCCGGGGGATTTCGCAGCGGCCTGCAGCGGGCGGTTGCGGGCTACACGGAGGACGAAGGCCGAGCCGACGCCCTGGACAGCCTGCAGAGGGCCCTGGAGTGCTGCGGGGCCGAGGGCTGGCGCGACTGGCTCACCTCGGACTGGGCAATGCAGCACATGAGCTTCATTCCGGCGGAGAACGGCACCTCGGTCTCCCTCCCCGACAGCTGCTGCGTGAGGCGGAAGGGCTGCCGGAACCGGCCTCTTCTGTCCGACGACAGCGACGGCGTGGCCGCCGCAGGGATCCACCCACACGGCTGCTTCCGCAAAGTCTTCAGCTTGGTCAACGACAACGTTTTCCACATTGCTGCCACGGTGCTGGGGCTGGCCTTCACACAGATTGGAGGCATCGCCCTCGCTTGTCTGCTGGCGAACAAACTGGCACCCAGACAGCACCGACGCGTGGTGGCTCATTAACTCTCAGTCTTCAGGTACTCCAAGGATTGACCAATAATCTACAAGGAGCAGTGTCATATGAGAGGAATAAAGTTGTACAATGAGAGTTCATATTTGCTTGTTGTGTGGCACAGTCATTTAGAAGGCCTCCATGGCTTGTTCGGTAATTCAACTCTCCTAAATAATGATGATAAAACCAACATTTGACCGATGGCAAATGGTCATTTGACCAAGAAGCGAAAACCACTAATCTTTTTCCTGTTGATGAGTTGTTTTTTAACCTGAAGTTACTTTGGCTTCAAGGTGAGCTTTACTGGTTGGCTTAAATATTGTAAAAATGTTTAGCTAAATGTTGGTTCAATGATTGTATGTTCCAGATTTGGTCTCACCAGCAAAGGCCAACGTGTGGTCGGCAAAACGCAGACTGGGTAGAATTCCTTGACCTCCGTTTCGATCAGCCCATTTCTTGACAACTTCATACCCCATTTGTAATTGACTAGTTCTTCTGGCCCACAGAAATATAGTAATTTTGACCATTTTGGTGACCAGGTATTGAATTATAGAGGTTTCATTAACTTTGATTTAGTTGTGAGTATCATAAAGCATCATGCCACCCTCGCAGGTGTGTATCTCACTTTTGCACAGTTGTAACAAGTCAGTTTGAAGGTTTTTCTTACTACTTGCATGTTTACAACATCAAAACTTGGCATACATAAAATGTACAAGCTTTTTAAAAAAGTTGCAGAACCAGACAAATTCCCTATTTTCCTGTAAGAACTGCACAAGAATTTTTTTTTTACAGTTCATACATTCTTCTTTATAAATTGCAAAAAAATCTTTACTGAGCTATTCATTGTTAAAATGTTCATTGCATTTGATCTAGACTTCTCCAATTGTTATTCAAGTACTGAAGCACAGGAATGTTCACCAGCAGTTTTCCACTTAGATCATTTTGTCTGGCGGATGTTTGTTCTGGATCATTACACGTTCCCATTACAAAGACCACATTTTCATAGACCAGTACTCTTGAAAATGGCTGAAAATATTCCTGTCTGGTATTTTCTTCTCTTTATAAAGCTGGTAGACTCCGATAACTTTAGACACACACAGAGATAGTAACAGCTTTCGAACATTATTCCTCATATGTCATTGTATTGTTAGATGGTGAAGATGATCAATATAATTTATTTTGAAATGCATTGCATGACCCTGACCATGTGTAGCCCATCAATGAAAGCATGAAAGCAGACAGATCAGAACATCAGATTAACATTTTCCTTCAATTTTAAAAGCTGCAAAAGTGTTATGAATTAAAACTTGAGCAAATGAATATATTTTACATAAGTATTTCTTCGCTGAATGTGAAAATTTATTTTTCATATGGATGTCCACATGCATTTCCATTACTGTACTGTTTTGTGATAAAAACCCACACCTTCTCCCTTTATCCACGCATAAAAAAATCTGTTCTCCCTCATTTTTCTCTTTTAATGTATAAAATTGTGTATTACACGTTGTGTAAAATATACTGAGTTATTATCAACGGCATGAATAAAACTGTAAAGTATATCTGTCAGCTACTGATGAAAAATCTTTGCTTCATTTCAGGATATTGATTGCACACTCGGACTGTAAATGTCATGGTCTCCTGCCCTTGAACATATCAAATATATAAATGGCAGCAGCATCCTTGTAATGCAGTGTTGGTGACTAGTTCAATGCCACAAACATGACGAAAACAAACAGGGCACTGCATTTGAAATCGGACAGAATGCTAGTGAATACCTTGTGAAGCACTACTGAGTGTTTGTTTTTTTTAGCTCTCTAGAAAAAACTTACAGGGTGGAACCTCCTGTCTGCAGTTTCAGGAGCTTTTGAAAACGCCCCAATGTCTATATTTTTATGAAAAATTCCATGGTGGATGTGTGCCACGGTGTCTCATTCTGGGAAAAGTCAGCTCCCATCATCGACCTGCAGCCTGCTAATTATGAATTATGACTAACTGAATGATATCTCATTTCCACCTTGCACCTGAGGCAACAGTGATTACAGCAGCCCTTGAAAGGCAGCATTAAATGAATACTGGCACAGCTGACTGGTGAAATTCAACATCTTGATCTACCATTGATTAGGTCATGCAGCGCTTACATATGAGGTATAGGAAAAAAATTGGGAGGGAATTTTCATTGTTTATTCAGAATGGATTTCTTCTAAATCCAGCATGTGTGGAATCGTGCTTCATTCTGTGGATTTAAACAATGACAATCACTTTCATGGTCAAATTGTAGTATTGATTAGCCTACATTATGCCCCAGCAAGGATTGCAGATTATCTGTCTGGCTACTCTGCCCATGTTTGACCCATTTCCACGAAGCTTAGAACAAAACTTCCTCTTGCAAGCTTCAGGACAAAAATGATGAGCTTCCACAGATATCTAAACATTAAACATTAGCATCCATGTGGCTTTTTTATTTTTGTTTGGAAATTATTTTTGGCATATGTTTCAGGGCCCCTGAAACACAGGAGGCCGTGAGACAGCAGCTTAGTGCTACTTACACATCAGGTCTGCACAGTAAGCGCTGCAAACATGAATACGTTCAATCTCTTGATAAATCTAATGATAAAAACTTCTTTATTTTGCATCCTCAATTAAACATGGCTTACGGTTAAATTGATGTTCCTCTGAATCCCGACAAACGTCCAGAATCTGAAAGAAAACAACTGAATCCCTCTTATTTATTATTTAAGATGAATTCTGACATCCATTCTGTCTGGATGTCTGGAATTTTTATACACTTAGCAGTTAACTTTGCATGTTTGTAATTACTCCATATTCTGGAACTACAATTTGTTAAAAGTATAGCCTATCCAATAAACAGCAAAAACAATGTATTTCACATTTTAAAGTCGCTTGTTTGAATTGTGAGATCTCTGTTTGCTGTGAAGGAAAGTGTGGAACACCAGTGTTTTATCTCTTTTCTCCGCCTCTTAAACTCTGGCCTACATGGGACAGTTTTGGTCCTTATGTTTGCACAGCAGCTCCCGCTCTGCCCCACATTGACGCACAGCTCGCCTGTCTCTGCGTAAAAATCGCTGCTCATCGCTCGGAAATGTAGTTCTTTTGCGCACAAAGCGGTCTTCAAAATGGACCTTAAATCCGAACTCCTGAAGTCTATTTGGTATGCTTTTACTTCGCTGGACGTGGAGAAGTGTGGGAAAGTGTCCAAATCGCAGTTAAAGGTAAGAAAGAGAGTTGTGCGTGACGCTTGCATGATCGGGAAACCCAAAGCGAGTGAACACCCATTAGACACTTGAAAGACTCACAGTGTGTGACCCTTATCCGTCAGAGATATATATTTCTTTCGTTTAGTTTATATTCTGACAGAAGAAAAGCCACAAATCGGCAGCAATCTCTTATGTAATTTAAGGGAATTTGTATCGTGACGTGTGACACTTCACCCCCAGGAGCCCAACAAACTCGCACGCAAATCCAACCATTGTGAAACACTTTAAGGCTTTTTGTGACATACGTCTGGGTTGCCCAAATGTAGGATAGAGACAAAACTATTCGTCAGAGCTCAAGCTCTAAGACAAACATTCCCATATGACTCAGCAGCAAACATTGTCACAGCACCAGTCTCAGGTCAGCATCTTTTTTCTGTCATTCCTTCAGAAACCATTATTTTCTATGTAATGTTGTATTGCTATCCAGTTCCTACATGCCCCCCTTTGCTTAGTGGAATCCAGGGAAATAGCAGAAAGCTGTCCTGACATGTTTACCTGCTGATGACACGCTGCCTGTGTTTGTGGATGTGAGGAAACATAGGAGGGTGCAGAAGCCTATGTTGAGCCTTTAAGAGCCCCGCTTTAAACATTTACATTTCCCCATCTATGTGTGTGTCTTCCCCAGGTGCTTTCTCACAATCTATACACGGTGCTCAACATCCCACATGATCCAGTCGCTCTGGAGCAGCACTTCCAGGATGATGATGATGGCCCGGTGTCTAACCATGGCTACATGCCCTACCTCAACAAATACATACTGGATAAGGTACAGCAAAAGAGTGCACGTTGTGAATGTTGTGAATTAGGGACCAGAAAGAGTCCCTAGATATCAAGGGAACTTACAGAAGTGTCAAAAAGCTGCTTCAGAAAGCTGTGAAGATGTTTTTATTTTTTGCCTTCTGTGCTTTTCTATTTGTTTAATATCTCTGATAAAGTCAGAAATATCCTGGCTGGGTAGAAAAAAGGCTGGTACTAAGAGTTCAGGTAAAATATGAAGGTGAACATTGGAATTAGTATTGATATGCTTGCACATGGTGGCAATTTCACTGAGATTTTTCAAGCTGGGCAAACATAACTGTAGCAATTCTCAGGTGTAAAATATGCTTAAATTAAACCTCAGTGTGTTTGGGTTAGGGCCAGGGTTAGGGTCAGGTTCAGATTCTCTCCATAGATCAGGCCCTGAACTAGCACGGAGAAAACATGGAGTGTTTTTCTGTATTTCCAGGTGAAAGAGGGCATGTTTGACAAAGAGAAATTTGATGACCTGTGCTGGATGATGACCACGGCGAAGAACTTCAAGGGGATGCCGCAGGGAGCGCTGCTATCGAAGAGAGACTGCTTCAAGCTTTTCTGCTTATTCAACCTTTTGTCTGAAGACCGCTATCCACTGGTGATGATCATAGAAGAGGTAAAATATGCTGAGGGGATTAGAGAGTTTAACATGTAAGAGAAATACATGGGGAACCTGGAAATATGTGATCTGATTTGCTTGTTACCTTGTCGACCCAAGTTTTTTCTTTTTACAATAACAAAAAAAAGGAAAAACACGAATAATATGACTAACTGTGGAAAGAAAAAAATCTAGATTCTAAAGTGGTCTGATAAGGGATGAAAAAGATTTACCTTAACATATTATAGACTCATAAAGCCAGGGAAATACATCTCCTGGGAAACGCTGATAAGGTTAAATATTATGTTACATATGTAAGCAACTTGTGTTTCTTACAGCATTGGTTGGTTTTGCATTTTTTCACAGAAGAAAAAAAAACAAGTGCAAGTAAGAAAGTTAATGACAGTCTTCCTTCCTGTGCTTCCTCCATAATGCTCTCGGTTTCCTGTCAGTCAGAGACGAAAATAAACTCTAGCATAATGGGTGCAGTAGCATTCCCCTGAAAACAGATAATAAGAATTCCGTAAGTCAGCCCACTGTCCGTGGTGGTCAATGCTTGGGAAATAGTCTTGTTCCATCCTCTGTCTCACCATGATAATTAAAGTAGTTGGTCTTTTTTTGTGAATGTATTTTAATGGTATAAGGTGGAGTACCTCCTCAAGAAAATCTCAACAGCAATGAACCAGGACTGGGATGGGAAGTCCATAGAGGACCTGATAGCACAGGATGTCACCGTGCACGAGGAGGGCATGTCTGTGTGGACCTTCCTGGAGCACATGAGTATGGGCCGGCTGCTGAGAGTCACCAGCGCCGTGTCTTTTGGCATGGCTTTAGACGAGGTGTTCCTGGAGATGTATCACAATGTCCTCAAGAGGGTGAGCCATCCTGTTTCTTCCTCTGATCTTGTGACAGTGTTGTCTCCGTTTGATCTTCAGTTTGTCCCTCGTTGATCAGGGCTACATGTGGAAAAAGGGGCACGTACGTCGAAACTGGACTGAGCGCTGGTTTGTGCTGAAGCCCTCCTCCATGGCTTACTACGTCAGCGAGGACTTAAAAGACAAGCGAGGGGAGATCCAGCTGGATAAGAGCTGTGTGGTAGAGGTTTGTGAGGAAACGCACATTTCAGGACTGTGATCCACCCAGGCTTCAGCTGGCACACATCTCCAACATCTGGATGACGGCTACCTTTTCCTGTTTCAGGCCATTCCAGACAGGGAGGGGAAGCGCTGTCTGTTCTGTGTGAAAACACACAATAGAACCTACGAGATGAGCGCCTCTGACCAGAGGCAGAAAGTGGAGTGGACTCAAGGTGTGTGGAAATCGGCAAAGTTACCCATTAACTTAAATTTGTATTTGCTGCTCTGCTGTCACCATGTTCTCGAAAACTTTGAGGGCGTGCCCTAAATAAAAACATTAGCAGAAATGACTCAGTGCTTGAGGATTTTCATGCATAGAGATTTGAATGTATTTCACCTCTTCAGCCATTCAAACAGCCCTCCGTCTCCAGAGTGAGAGAAAGTCCTCCCTTCATCACGAACTCAAACTAAAGAGACGGGTTCAGAGGGAACACAGCCACCGTGAGCGTAGCCGGAGCGCCCGCAGCAGCTGCAGTAGCAGGAGCAGCCAATCCGATGACTCAAGCCTTGTTGAGCTAGAGAAGATGGAGAGAGAAAAACAGGATTTAGAAATAGAAAGCATCATTCAGGTAGGATGTAATAGCTTTGAACTCAGTGACAGCTTTCACACCACATTGTTCATGTGCTGAACAACACAAATCTACTCCCCAGCATGCCCGAGAGCTGGAAATTCGCCGAAGGGAGGCTGACGAGAGTGAGAGGAGGAAACAGAAGGAGGTGCAGATGGAGCTTGAGAGACAGTTGAAAGAGGCTGAAATGGTGAGAAACGCTGGCTAGAGGACATGTTATTTGAAATTCTTGTGAAATAGGATTCAGTGTCCATCTCAGTTGCTTTAATCTCTGAAAACAGAAGCAAAAGGTTGGCATTATGAATTTCTACATTCCTGGAAAAGAGGAGTAGGGAATAGATCAGTTTTTTCCACTGAGTTGGCATGTGTGTGCAGTTGAGAGACAGCTTGCAGGCCGAGATGCAGGAGAAGGAAAAGATGGCTGAGAAGCAGAAGAAAAAGATCCAGGAGCTGGAGGTGACACAGCAGAAACTGGAGGCTGCTCTTGAAATGGAGATTCAGGCTCGGCTGGAGGAGGAAAGGGCCAGGCAGGAAGTAGAGAGGTAGCAACCCTTTTATACTCATCAGCTGGAGTACTTTGACTCACATCTGGAACATGAAAACGTTTTGGACATGCACATAAGCTTGTTTCCTCTCTCTTCCTCAGGTTGCTGCAGGCTGAAGAGGAGAAGAAGCAGCAGTTTCGGCTCCTTCAGGAGCGGCAGAGGGCCTCGCAGAATTTCTCAAATGGCAGCGCAGTTGAGGACACACCCTCGGCCCTCCACTCAGCCTCCCAGGAGCTCCAGCATTTGCAGGCATCTCGCCAAAGAAGCCACCAGCACCTTGAGGTGACTCAGACACAAGTTGCAGCTTGATTTTGAGTTGGTCTTACAAAGCAACACTGATGAGGCGGCTTGTCTGATTTCCAGGAGATGCAGGAGAGACTCAGGAATGCCAGCCAGTACGTACGGCACTGGAACGTCCAGCTGAACCGGCTGATGACCCCCATTAATCCTGGAGGTGCTCTATCTGCTTCACATAGTCTGATCTAATGGGAATTACACAATTTAAGAGTCAAGATCGTTATCACGATAATAGCGCTGAACATTTCTATCAGAATTTGTTCAGTCAACTGTAAGGACTTTAAAATTCTTAGACTTTTATTCATTCAAAAAAGCAAATGGAGGGTAACACAATGATGACTCTGCTTTAAGACAAAACAATAAGAAGTTTAAAACTAATGAATTGAGTTTGATCTAATTACTCTATACATGACACAAAGTTACCCTGTGAGTCTGTATTTCTGCATTTATTTGGTGTAGTACACCTTTTTTGCATCAAGACACAAGTTAATTTGAAATTTTTTAGAGTTTTAAAGAGTTCATTTTTAAAATTAAAAAAAGAAAATGACGAGACCAATACATGACAAAACAAAAACCAAATAACTCCAGGCATGACAACAATGGAGTTCAGGAGATTAAAAAAGATGTAGAAGTACTGGGGGAACTAATCAAGAAGTAGCTGCAATGAATTATTGAAAGAAAAGACCAGAAAGTCAACATTCACTGTCATGCTTTTGGAGTTAGTACTTATTAATTGTGGTGCTCCCTCAAAAGATTTTGTCACTCATGCTGATCGGTGATACTGATGGTGTGATTTTTTATCTTGTTTTGTTTTATAGAGTGTTTGGAAAGTCGCCTGATGTCAAAACAGATGTGTCCAAAAAAGGAGGGAGCTCTGGCCAGCAACGAGTTCATCTCTAAATATAAGATAAAAGACAGTCAGAACAGCCATGGTGGGGGAGACAAGTGTAAGAAACAGAAGGAGCAGATAGAGACTACCACCCTGTCAGACGAATCAGATGAGTCACAGGGAAAACCCAACGGGCGGATGTGATCACCACTGTGACAGTTAAATGTATGAAAGGAATCAAATTATCACATAACTTTTTGTGTGAGAATGGAAGAAAAATAACATTCACATTATTATTATTGATATATTTATATTTCGAACAGAATCCTAAGATGGAGAGTGGTGATGAAAATAACAAGATAGAGGATTGAACGAAAATGCATCTAAGACCCACTGAGATTTACAGTTTTGTACAATAAAGTGACAATAGCTGATTTAAGGATTCCTTTAGTAATCTCTCAGCTGTTGTGTGATGATAAAGCAACAAGAAATAACATGATGGATGTGGAAAGTAAAACATTGGTGAAACAATAAAAAAATGTAAACATTCTTTTAAATTTTGCATGCAGAGTCTTTCTTTTCAATGCAAAATAATGTGTATTAGAGCCACCTAGTTTAAACCTTTACTAATAGTAATGTATAATCTTCTGATGTTATTTGTTTCTGACATTTTAAGACGAAATTATGTTTGACCCATCAAAGATCACTGACAAACGTACTGGACTGTCATGAAATATGCTGAATACTTTATAAAGTCTTCAACGAATTTATTCATATTTAATCATTGAATGCTTTTTTGTCTGTTTTCCAATTAATGTTGAAAGAAAATATACAAAGATGAATATACCATTTAAAAAGACGTTAAGATCTTTGAGCAACCGAAATAGAATAAACAATAAATTAATAAAAAATGAGGATACATGTAACACAGCTGTTTCGAAATTATGCAGATAAGACCAGTCGTGACATATTTTGGCCAGAGGTGTCGCTGTGGCACGAAAGAGTGGAAACGTGAACCGGAAAGAAAATAAACAAACAGACGATTTTAAGCATAAGCAGTATGGCCGCTCCCGTAGCGGTGCCATGCCGAACAGAGAGGATAGTTTGCTCTGAAATAAACCTGACCAGCCTTTGACCAACATTCCGATGAGACGGGATTGACTTGAATTGACTGTGTGAACCTGTGGGGACGTAGCGAGAGGTGGACAGGCTAGTGTTAGCATCCAAAGTTGTGAGCATGGCAGCTTGTAGGGGGAAGGTCAATTCTCTGCTCTGTTTGAGCCGGAGGTTGTCTACCAACCCGCCCGGCACCCAGCAGACCTCCCAGGGCAGCCAACCCCCCGTGGCGCGGGAGAAGAGACCCTGGAAGGACCCCACTGGCAGCTCCGTGTTCCTCTTCCCAGGCCAGGGCAGCCAGTTCGTGGGCATGGGCCGAGGACTAGTGAAGTACCCCAAAGTGAAAGAAATGTTCTCCGTAGCACAGAAGATTCTCGGGTACGACCTCCTGTCTTTGTGCCTGGAGGGGCCCGAGGAGGAGCTGCAGAAGACGGTCCACTGCCAGCCGGCGGTGTTTGTCACCTCCCTGGCTGCAGTGGAGAAGCTCAACCACGAAAACCCAAAGGTCTCCCACAGTTTTCTGCTCCATGCCTGCATTCATCCTCCATGTCCGATATACTGCACATTCAGATTCAGAATATGTTCAAGTTACAACCGTTTTGTGGCCAAACCAGTTCAATGTCAGGCTTTTGGTTGTGTAATTCCTTATCTGTATAAGAGTCCAAAACATATTTTCCCATATATGTGTTGATTCAAGTAAGTGCTGTAATTACCAAAGTTGAGACCAACGATGTGGGTTTAGACATTATTTTCTACTTTCTTTTAAATGGAGAATTAAAAAAATATATATAGATGCAAGTAATTTGGATCTCTTCAGGTCTGTGAACATCAGCCAAATAAGAGTCAAAATAGTTTTTTGGGTTCTGCTCATCACAGTTCTTGTTCACAATAAAGCGTCAACCTGTGAGGAGGAGAGTATTCTTTCTTTTCAAAGTGCCACATAAGCTCTTCCACTAAAAGTAGCTACACGGTGCAGCTGGCAAAATAATGTTTTGCATGATCTTTTTTTGCATGTTTTTGAATTCTGAATGTTCAAAACCCGAATGTGTGCATATTTTCTTTTTAAATGAAGCAGAAAAGTGACGTTGTTGCTGTTGTTTTAGTGAAACTGAAAACAGCAGATCAGTATCAGTTTTTATGCAGATTATTTTTCGGTATTGACTGAAGAACTCAAATAATGAAATGAAAGTCAGTTTCAAGGGTCCAAACAGACATCTTCCTGTGGCTTGTTTGGCAGTTTTGAATTAGCTGTGAATAAAAATTGATACTTCAGAGAATACAAAAAGAAAGTGAGCTTTTTAATGTCATGATCAGTTTATTGACCGTACTCACACATTCCCTGGTCTTCTGCCCACAGGCGATCGAGACATGTGTGGCAGCGGCCGGCTTTAGCGTTGGAGAGTTTGCTGCTCTCGTTTTTTCTGGTGCCATGAACTTTTCTGAAGGTAAACAGAATGCTTTTTATCCTTTATCAACGTTATAACAAATGTTGGGCGGATAGTGTAAGTTAACGGTGCACATTTTGATCTGCCCCGTGTTGCTTTTTGAAGCTCTGTATGCAGTGAAAGTGCGCGCAGAGGCCATGCAGGAGGCATCGGAGCTGGTTCCCAGTGGGATGCTGTCCGTCATTGGTAAACCTCAGGCTCAATATAAATATGCCTGTCTGCAGGCCAAAGAGCACTGCAGCAGTTTGGGGATGCAGGGGCCGGTTTGCTCCGTGGCCAACTACCTGTTCCCTGACGGCAGGGTCATCGCAGGGCACCAGCAGGTACTGAGCCAAACCACACCGGCTCTCCCAACTCCACCGCAGGCTTTTCCTTTCTGATGCTGAGATCTCGTTTTCAGCTGAGTTATGTTTTCCTCTCAGGCTTTGAGCTTCCTCCAGCAGAACTCAAGACGTCTGCAGTTCATGAGGACCAAACCGCTCCCGGTCAGCGGGGCTTTCCACACCGAGCTGATGGCATCGGCAACTGAGCCCCTCCGAAATGTGCTCAGGCAGGTGGAGGTCAGTTTGCCACCGTCTCATGAAAGGAGAGCAGCTGCTTTTTAATATATCTGAACTCTGAACTTCAAGAGCGTTACAATAGTTAAACAATGTACCTCATCGTTAAAAATTCTGATGATGAGTGTATGAAGGATCAAGAGGAACAGAGATTGTACTACAGCTTCATATAGCCATGGAAAATGGACTAGTTCACAATAAAATCAACAGAATTCCTTTCAGTTTCCAGACTTTTTATGAATGACTGAAATATATTTTGTTTGCCAGGAAGTAGGCAAGCACCAACACATTTTAGATCGAAGCAATCTATGAAATCATGTCTTTTTTTCTTGGGTTAAAGGGTCTGCACTTCTGAAGGAGAACTAGTAATTTGAAAATCATAATATTTGCATATATATGCTGAAATATACATATCCTGAAATGGTCGATGTTATATCATTCCACAGCTGTACTTCCTGACATGTTCTGCTCCCTGTCAGAATCTTTACTCGGCAGCTAATGTCGACACTTCCCTCCCGTTCAGGTGCGACGTCCCGAAATCAGTGTGTTCTCCAACGTGGACGGCAAACGCTACATGAGCGAGAGCCACGTGCGGAGGCAGCTGGTGAAGCAGCTGGTGTCGCCCGTCAAGTGGGAGCAGACGCTGCACGAGGTCTACGAAAGGACGCAGGGGGAGAAGTTCCCTCACACTTACGAGGTCGGGCCGGGAAAGCAGCTGGGCGCCACGCTTCAGAAGTGCAACAGGAAGGCCTTTCAAATGTACGCTCACGTAGAAGTCACCGCGCACGAGGAGTGATCGAGCCGAGACGCGGACTCTAACAAATGCACGACAAGACCAGTCGGAATCTGCAAGCTCCCGTGGTTGCTTTCACAAAAGTCATGTCGCTGCATTACTTTGTAGTTCAGTAAATATTTTTTTTACAAAAAATCAAGCCGGCAGGTTTTGTCTTCTTGAATTTTATTTGCATCAGATGAAAAAGCATCTTCAAACAGAAAGTCCAGCTCCCGTCATTATATTCTAAGCAAAGCTACGTATAATTTGTAAAAATCTTGGCCTCTTAAACCAGTAAGAAACTTAAAAAGACTGGAGGCCAGCAACAGTCCACTCATGAGAAACATGCTTTTCGACGTTAATACAACCAACAACACCTTTGCTACTATATGCTGGCAGACCTTTCAGGCAACGCTGTGAAACCGAGTCAAACAACGGCCCTGATGAACTTTACAGTATTATTTTTTCCTTCTGTTATCGAGGACGTCTTTTCTGTCAAATTCGATACCGTTCATGAGAAATAGTACATAAAGAGAAGTTAAAGTAAACAGCAGAATTTAAATCAGCAATAATTTTCACTCAATTGCAAACTTTTTTTTTGTCGAACATGAAGGCCGATAAGACCTGCTCACGGCCTCTTTAGGCTTCCATCCACAGCGTGACAAAATGGCTCCCTGCAGCCACCAGTGCCACAGTCACCACGGCTCCTCTGGTCCAGCCGCCGCAGGACGCCGGCTTCACTTTGGACACCTGCGGAATGACACCTTACTGACTTGGGCAGCTACGGCGAGAGAAAACGTGCCAAGAAAAACAACTGGTTCTCAGTTTAGAGGAGGAACAGAAAAACTATGTTTTGATTATTTTTTTTGTCCAACCAATCAGCAATCAAATCTTTTTGTTTCTCTACATGCATTTTTTAAAACACTTATTACTTTCTGTTTCTCAAATGCACGAGTCAAAACTTAGCGTGCAAATGGTCCAGTATAACTTTGTGAAAGTAAATGATCCTCTGAATTTATATCCAAATAATCTTACCCATGTTGTGAAGCTCTCCGTTCTCAGCGTCCAGTGCCAGGGTGAAGTGCTTTCGATCCAGGCCTTTACAGCAGCCCCCAAGCCCTGGAAGCCCCAGAACTGGCTGTGGATATCCCTGCAAAAGAACCTCCAAGGGTTTACAGCCACCCACACAAAAATGTCACAAGTCTTGTATTTCTCAAAAACCGATGGTTTGGACTACCTGTAAATGGTCCGTGTCAGAATCTGGGCAGGTCTCAGCAGGTGCATAGGAGCCGGTGGCCAGTTTGGCTCTCTGCTGGTCCACTCTCGGTCCATCTGGTCTCCGATGAAAGCCAACTGCTGACCGAAGGCTCGGGCGGCCCGGTCATGGATTCTGAAGAAGGACACAGCACATATACTGTTTACTTTTTGAGATGCAATGTATCTTTCTTTCTGGTAATTAAACACCATCACAAACATGGGACCGATGTCAAATGAAAGCCATTTTTGGATAGTGTTTGTTGTCGGTACAAATAATCCAAGATGATGTGTTTGCCAGAGGCTAAACCTACTTGAGCTGTCAAGTTGTCAGTAACAGTTACACTGGAGCTGGGAGGGTCTGTGCTTTACCTGAGGTCAAACTGGGTACCCGTGTCCACCTCTCCAGGTCCAGCCTGGAGGGACACAACGTGATTTGCCCGTCTTGTTTGTTCAACCATCTTATTTTCTAAAAAGAGAGAAATTCATACATGTCAAATTAAAACTAAAACAAACATTAGCAATCCACAGCAGATAAATGCTTTAAGTGATCATGTATTATCTGTGCTTAAGTCCCAACGTTCATAAATAGATTGTGTAAATATGAGGTCATGTTACCAGGAGAGGTGGTGCTTGTGTTACTAGGGAGAAAGTCCAGGGTTAAAAAAAGGAAAAAAAGAACAGGTTTGAAGGGGTGACATCAGATTCTGGACAACGTGTACTTCCTAATGTAAAATGTGTTTCACTTCCTTAATATTAAGACTATTTTATGCAGAAAACTGCCGCTCTAATCTGCTTTTAGTGCTCTACATAGGACTTGTTATGTTCTGTTTGGAGATTGGTAACCTCCTATACACACCTGACATGAGATCAGTTGAGTTTTGAACTTGTGTCCCTTAATGCAAATTCCACATTTCCATAACTCAAATCAACCAAACTGACTTTTTACTCTAACCAAGTAGAAAACAAAGCCTTGCTCACAACAAATAACCATACTTTAAAGTTTAAATATTCGACTGATGCAATTTCAACAAACCAACCTTTAATTATAATCCTCTACTGGTACTTGAGTCATAATATCACCTAAGTTGAAAAAAATAAACAAAAACAGTATACCAGCTTTTAACTAACTGAAAGCATTCTCAATAAATTACGAAATGAAACAGACCCAATGGAGAACTTTTTAAGCACTAAACTCGTATGACAGCCTATAGTAGTTTGCCATATTGTCATAACAAAGAGATGAAGTCAGCCCTAAAGCAAACAACAAAGGTCGTTTTGAAAAGCATACAAATATTGGATTATACATTAGGACTGCAACTATTATTCAAACGAATATAAACTGCCTTTTAAAAGCAACTGGAAACATATATTCAGCTGTTGTAATATGTTACTATATATGAATTACATGCGGATGCATCCTGCGTGGGCGCAGACAGGTGCATGGACAATAAAAAAGGAGCGTGAAACTACCTTTTGTGGAGATTAAAGCGGACGCCGCCCTGTAATAAGAATAAAGTCATTATATGTTTTATAAAGATATGATCACAGAATTAAATAATAGAAAAGTGTTTCTACTTACAGCAGCGTCCTTTAATCCTGCTGACCTCAGGTAACTGCCGAAAACACGAAAGGCCACGCCTTTTACCTGCTGCCAGCAAAGATGGCCACTACGGGGCGATGGAAGCACCAGACTGATGTATTAGACTCATTATTAACCAACCACCAGCCAGCAAGGCGATTTTGACTTTTTTTCCTATTTAATTTCTTTATTTATTTTTAATTTGTGTTTAATTTTGTAGCCAAAAGCAATCAGTGTTATTTTTATTTTTCATGTATTTATTCAGATACATAGATTTGATAGTTTCCTCTCGTATTTGAACCATTATAAACCGTTTTCACTTTGTTTTATAGAAATTGAGTTTCGGATAATGTATTTGGCCAAACACATTTTTATTTACAGTGCAGTCCAACACTGACCCCCACTGGTCGTCTTTGGTAATTACACCCTGCGTTGATATCACTGCGTCCTCGGTTGCTAGGTTATTCTCCCGGAAGGACCAGGCTCTTAACGTAACCATATCTTTAAATGTTTGTTTTTTTGGTAACATTTTATACTCAGCATTTCGCTTTATTTTTATGTACTGCAATATGTGTATGTATGTTATTACCTTTCAATAAGAAAGGCTTGTATTGTGGTAGTTTGACCGCCGTGGGCGTTGTCATCGCTGTGTCCAGCTTCACGTCGCCCTGATCAATAACTACAGCCTGCTAGCATTAAAACAGCTAACATGGAAGCAGCGTTTGGTCAGTAGCGTGAGCTAACAGTGATGCTGTCTAACTGTACAGCCGTGAGTTCAGCTAACGACTGCCGGATGAGATCGCATCCTTGACAGGATGATGGCCGCCCAGCCTCTGCAGCAGTCCGGGGAGGATTCAGCAGCCCGCTAACGGAGCCAGCCCGACTAGCTGATGCTGATGACTGGCTGTTTCCTGACATTGATTTGCAGGTAGATGGCCGGATATAAACCACCTAAAGTGCTTTGATGCACGATAAAAGAATACAAGTCTTAAGAATGTACATCAGTGCATAGTCATCAGTAACTGTGTATCTGCTCTCTTATCTGCTTACCTGTTGTTTTGTGCTCCACCCTAGTGGGAGGCACCATGGCCGGTAAGGTGAAGTGGGTGACTGATATTGAGAAGTCAGTTCTCATCAATAATTTTGAGAAGAGGGAATGGATTCAAGTTGCAGAAAACGAGGACTGGAACTTCTACTGGTAGGGCCACTGTTTACGTTCCACCTGCATCTTTACACCAAACACAGACCAAGTTGTCTGGAGTTCTTTACCTGAATTAATACAGTAGAGTTCAAATGTTATTCACAATTCTACAAACTGTTAATAAAACATTAAGTAATTAGGCCTATTGAGTGTGTGCTGATCTCGAAAGGGTTTGAGTTGGCCTTATTAAGTAGTAAGATTATCTTAATGCAGGCCTTTGTTTTGCAGGATGAGCATCCAGACCATAAGGAATGTGTTCAGCGTGGACACTGGCTACCGTCTGTCAGATGACCAGATGGTTAACCACTTCCCCAACCACTATGAGTTAACCAGAAAGGACCTGATGATCAAAAACATCAAACGCTACCGTAAGGAGCTGGAGAAGGAAGGAAGTCCGCTTGCAGAGAAAGATGAGAATGGAAAATACATTTATCTGGGTACGCTTTACGACATACATATTCACAACAATGCAAAGTGTTGCCCCTGTAAATAACGGAGCTGACCACGTTCTCTTTTGTTTTTTCTTTGTGCAGATTTTGTCCCTGTGACATTCATGCTCCCTGCAGATTACAATCTGTTTGTGGAGGAGTTTCGCAAGAATCCGTCCAGCACCTGGATCATGAAGCCCTGTGGGAAGGCCCAAGGCAAAGGCATCTTCCTCATCAACAAACTGTCTCAGATTAAAAAGTGGTCGCGGGACAGCCGCACCTCAACGTGAGTCCACAAAAATCTTTCATCACGTTTTCCTAGATTAATTTTTTTTTAGTTATACAAAAAACAATTAGGTAAATTTAAGGTAAACCTTAAATAAGGTAAGGGTGAAGCACTATTATTTCATATCCAGATAAAAAAATGTTTCCTTCCGTCTTCCACAAAACATCTCTTGGCTAGTGTAGCTAATGCTTGGCTGTATCTTGTCCCCAGGTTTGTGGCAGCATCCAGTGGGAAAGAAGCTTATGTCATCTCATTGTACATTGACAATCCTCTGTTGATAGGAGGGAAGAAGTTTGACCTACGCCTCTATGTTCTAGTGACAACATATCGGCCCCTGAAGTGCTATATGTAAGCACAAAGCATTGCAGACTGCAGCACACATCTTGTCTTGTCAGAAATGATTAGTTAGTTCATTATTGTATTTGTATTATATTATCATAATGCTTTCTTTCAGCTGGTTCATCTTGATATATTGTACTTGTTTCTGATTTCTCTTTTGTGTGGCTGTCAGGTACAAGCTGGGCTTCTGTAGGTTCTGCACAGTGAAGTATACACCCAGCACCAGTGAACTGGACAACATGTTTGTTCATCTCACCAATGTGGCCATCCAAAAGCATGGGGTAAGCCAATGAGTGTTTACACTTATACATATTTATCTGCATGTGTTTTCATTTTTCGACCTGTCAAAAGTGGTGACAAGGGTCTGTGATACTCAGACAAAATATTTAAAAAAATCTGAGCCACATCTAGACTTTTGAATTTGCTGAAATTAAAGGTATTTTCTTCAGTTTTTCTGTTTTTTCTGCGACAAAATACTAACAATAATTATTCTAATTGGTGCTTACTACATTTAAAGTAACTTTTTTTTTATCAATTACAGCCATCTCTCACTCTCTTAAATGGGAATTGTACACATATTTGTGATATACTTTGATACAACATAAAACAACATTAATTCACTCAAAAGAAAAAATCCCAAATCCTGAACTTATTGGTTTCTTTTGTACTTTTTAATGCAGGACGACTACAACCACGTTCATGGAGGCAAGTGGACGGTCAGTAACCTCCGCCTGTACCTGGAGAGCACCAGAGGAAAGGAGGTGACCAGCCGACTGTTCGACCAGATCCACTGGATCGTGGTGCAATCACTGAAGGCTGTAGCTGTAAGTCTGGATGCTCTGATTAAGGTTTTGTCTAATCAGTTATTAGCCCTTACTGAAATAGAACATTTTTGGCCAAATTATGGCGCATCACCATGCCACTGCACTTGTTTCCACATATGACAGACATGTAGTCAGCTGTCCTGAACATATGTAGAGAGCAGAAAATGGACAATTGATCAAAGCCATGTGATGCTCACTAGCTAGAATGCTGTTATTCAGAAGTTTTTTTCTCCAAAACCAGCTGCGTATTGTGGCCGAAAATAATGTGGCGGGAAGCAGCAAAAGCGCTAAAGTTTAGGGAAGCTGCAGGTTTACCATTGCGGGCATGAGCCCTCTATCAGTCATATGAATCACTGGAGTACCTCTATGCTTTAGGGCAACATTATTTTGTAAATTTCTGGGTGTGTTGAAAGAAAACATGGGATTTTACCATCTGTTTTTGCGGATTTTGTAGGTGAAATGTTAGGTCTGATAAAGTAACGTCAGGATTGTAGGCTGCACTATGAAACGCACAGCTGTAAAAACCACCTGGATCTTCAAATTGTTTTTAGCACAACACTTCTCACAACAAAACGCTCACTTCCCTTTTCTCCTGAGTGGTCATTACTCACTTCCTGTGCAAGTCTACAATAGAGAAACTGCGTTGTGTACTAATAGCTTGCCGGTGTATTTATACTGTTGCTATTTGTTAACATCTTTTCCTGTTGAATCACTCAGTGTTGCATTAGAATTCCCAGCATATTCAAATCACTCCCGGGTGAATTTGTCTCAGTAGCTGAGTATGTGTTGTTTTCTTTTTTTGACAGCCTGTGATGAACAATGACAAGCACTGTTTTGAGTGTTACGGGTATGACATCATTATTGATGACAGGCTGAAGCCATGGCTTATTGAGGTGAGTAATTTAACAAGGTTATCATGGACTCGAATACCTGCAATCTTACAGCAAAAGGCCCCTGAGCCAGGCAGCATGTTTTCTAAGCATGACATAGACCAGTCTAACAGAGTTAGCTTTAGGGAAACAGAGTGCAAGGGCTTCCAGGGAGGAGATCTTCCACCCTTATATGCCAAGGCTTTTTCCTCTTTGCCTGCTTTGCTTATGACTTAACATGCATTCAGATGAGGACACAGCTGCGTAGTTATACTTACCTTCAGGGTATTTTTTGTCATGTGGCTTGGCTCTCTAATTTGTGTGCTGAGGGTGTGTGTTAACACCAGTTGGGTGCAGATTCTAGACACTGCTGAAAATACAGAGGCACAAGTACGAAAGCAAGTCACAAAGCGTGACACAGGATATTTATTGGTCGCTCTCTCGGAGCAGCGGGCCTGTAATGAGACTGTCATATTTAACTGCACCCATTTTGACAGCCGCTCCACGTGTTGCAAGGTTTCCAGGCTACTCTGAGCTATTTCTGTTTATAGACACTGATCTGATCTATTTCGGGCAAGATAAAGATGGCTGATAGGCGAAAAACACAGGTGGTGGCAGAGAATTTGTGCCACAAACCAAGTCAGAGCCACCTTCCTCTCCTCATTAAACCTGCACCATCCTGTTATTGTAAATCAGAATCAGCTTTATTCACCAAGTATGTATGACCATACAAGGAATTTTACTCTGGATGTTTCTCTTTTCAGTGGGGTTACATACAAAATACAAAAATCAGGTATTAAAAGCAGGTATGGGAGCCTCTTTAACATGTAATGACTGGAAATATTTGATGAGCTGCTGAAAGTCTTGGCGTTCCATTTCTCATTAGTGCAACTAACAGCAATTTGTTGATTTCAGAGTTATTGCTTCATACGTCTCTGGGCATCCACAGCTGTTAAAGCACATTAAGAGGCCCCATTTCCTGCTGATAAAAGCTTCTGTTCTGTAATGTGAGGAAATTAAAGAATGCTCCTTTGGTCCTGCTCTGTGTGATGTAGTTGTGAGCTCATTGATAGTTTAATGCAAACTGGATCTCTATTTGTGCTGCAGCAAACCTGTTTGTGTGTGATCCTCAGGTCAATGCGTCGCCCTCGCTGACCTCCAGCACAGCTAACGACCGCATCCTCAAGTACAACCTCATCAATGACACCCTGAACATCGTCACACCTAACGGGGACGTTCCAGACTGCCGCTGGAATCGCAGTCCGCCCAGAGAGGCCCTGGGCAACTATCAAGTCCTGTAAGTGACTCTAAAAATCCACCTGGCTTTTTCACACTTGCCTTTGTAAACTGGATTAAACAAGAAGAGTCATGTAGGACAGGATAGCAACAGCAATCTGTGGGCTATTCTGATTTGTCATGACCTTTGATGTAGGCTAGGACTGTTAGGGTAACCGTAGGTTGCTGGTTTATATCTTACTCAGAAAAGTCCCTTTCATTTCCTTTTCCAGACATAATTCCACATGGTTTAACATTGATTTGCCAAAAGGAGTGAGCACTGACCCTATCTGCAGTTGAAAATAAATTGGTGTTTGTGATAAGTAAACAGCAAACTGATAGCACTTCATAGCGTGTGGACGCACAGCCCCAAAGGGGCATTTAGCATTCCAGGTGATTTGTGTGTAACATCTTTTGTTGCGTATTCACAAAACTTCTTTCAACGGTAGGCAGCAAATTTAGGCCCATTTTGTCTGCATTGGGACTGACTTGATAACCAAATGATACCATTTTAGTTGCCCTTCTTTCTTCATCTTGCAACCACATTACCACAGCAGACTACAACGCAACATTAGCTAATGTTACTTCCTATTTACACCTGACGCCATGAATCTTAGGTCATCTGATGACAAGTGAACAGATTTAAGCACAACTGTGGACAGTCAAGATGCACTGTGTACTTGTTGTTTCCCCTTCCACCACCTAAAAAACTTTCCTTTGAGCCAGATTTGAACCAGCGACCTAAGGATGCCTGACATTTCCACTACAGTCCTCCGCTCTACCAACTGAGCTATCAAAGGAAGTCATGTTCCACTCTTTGACAAATGTAATCATCACTGGTTTGTATGATCTTGTAATCAATAGGAAGGATTGTATCAACTATTTCAAATATCAACATTACAAGTTACCAAGTGCCTGCAAAATATCAGTAGAACCATCTACAACACTGTATTTACTTCAGTTTATTTCACACATGCCACTAAGTCTAGGATGTGGATGCAAAAGTTCAAATACTAATTCAAATACTTTGGAAATAATTTACTGGAGTATTTTCTGGCTTTTCATGAAAGAAATTCCCTTTTTGACATTCTAAATGATCAATCAATTAAAGTAGGATTTTTTTCCCAAATTAGCTGTCTCATTGATACAGATACATTTATTTATTCTTATTTGAAAAAATCCAGCTACATTTTGTGGTCTGTATGTCGATTTGTTTTTGTTTTTTATTCTACTCATATGTGCAAAAAAACCCACACCAAACAAAACATTTTCCTTCGAGCCGGATTTGAACCAGCGACCTAAGGATGCCTGGTATTTCCACTACAGTCCTCCGCTCTACCAACTGAGCTATCGAAGGCCTGATATGGAGAGTAACTGTTGATGAAATCACAACTTCTCTGTACATGTTCCCGTGGTTGGGTTAATATTTACCAGGTGTGGATATTCTGCAAGTTGAGCACTGCCTTTACACACTTCACAGTAAAGCAAACAGGGAACCAGGAGCCCCCTCACTCTCTACATTCCTGTGTTTGTGTGTCAGCAGATACGACGAGGAGCAGGCGCAGAGCGAGAATGCAGAGCGTGATCTGCGGAGTCGCTCGGGTCAGTCGCTCGGGTCAAAGGGCACCAAAGGGAGTGCTGCCATTCGCCCCATCGCTGCCACGTGGAAGTGAGGTGAAATAACTGAGTCGGACAGACTTCCTGTACATCACTATAGAGAGCACCTGAGGGGTCATGCGAGGAATACCCAGTTTTTCTTTCTTTCTTCCTTTTTTATTTTTTTAATCTGACAGCTTTCTCTCTCCTCTTTTTACTGGCTGTGGCACAAAAAGTAACACTACTGCTGGAATGAAGAAGAGTCAATGTGTGTAAAGATGTTTGTGCCTGTTTGTATGAATCAGGATGAAAATAGTAGAAATTATATTGATGACATGAGGGTCAAGTCAAATGAACTGAGAGTCATATCTAGAGTTTTAACTATAGGATTTACAACCTGAACTATGCATGATTATTGATTGCTGACATTTCAAATTGGCCTGCCACAGAGGTGCTATTGAGAGGATGAACTGTACGGAGGTGAATAAGAAGAGGAATGAGCACTCTAACTAGAGTCCGCTGTTGTTGATGTGGAACAAGCAGTACTAAATGTAAATAATGTTTTTTATATTATCAAAGCCAATATGTATGTAAGTATGCAGGGAGGTCCTTTAACAGTGCTGACTGTTGCACTTTATTTATTTATTTTTGCTTAAGTATAAGATCTATTTCCCATGTTGCATTTAGGGTGATTCCTTTTGCAAATCTCAGATCTTTCAAAATGAATATGCGTTGGCAATGTACATGTACTTTATGCAGTCTTAGGTATCACCTGCTTTTTTCCTCCAAACGCTGAAGAATTCAAACACCGATGATGACAGGGCGTTCACTTTTTTAACGCACCAAAGTGGGGCTGAATGGTATTGGAACAACCTCGACATTGGTATTTTAAAACAAAATGTGATCATCTTCTGTCCCGTTGACCAGTTACCTTTTTTCATCATAGATTCATATCAATTTATGTTTCAGTTTCCTCTCTCAGCTGATTCATCTCTATGTGAAATGCCAGAAAAAAATAAAACTGGACTCAACTTACCAAATGTTTTAGATCCAGCTGTATCGGATCATTTGATTGATTTGACAACTGTGAGCAAATTGAATGGAAGAAATGAAGACGGTTAAAGAGATGATATAGAAAATCTTTCTTTGAGCTTATTATGTTAAACCCAAGCTGTTAATGCTGACACAGTGACATTCAGTCCTGTGTGGGAACAGAAGTCCGTTTGGTGTTGTGTGACATTAAATGCTGCTTTTGTTGTTAATGCCTAATTTATTGACTTGTTTTAAATAACTAACAAAAGGAAAAGTGATTGTGCTTTTTTCATTTGTCTAAATGTGCAAAGTGTTTCTTCTTCCTTTTGTAAGGGGTTTCTAAGGCCTTAGGTTGATGTAATTTAATTTAAGAATTATCTGAGGTCAAAAGACAAATGACCGTAGCAGATTCACCTCAGTCCTCCACCACCTCTTCTTTGTTATTTCCTGAGCTGATTACCACATGCAGAGAAGAAACTTATCAAGATCTGAAAGATGAGGTTCAAATAGATGTGTTCTCTTATCAAAAGTCCCCATCACACATGTGAGGCTACACTTTCAGAGGAACTGGGTAAACCTGCGACAAGGATCCCATTTATAGTGCAATGAGTACATAAATGATTCCTCTAGAGATTCACAGCTGTCATTTTATTTTCTTTCTTCTGTTTAGTAAAAGGAACCAGGTATACTTAAAGGGATAAATGGGACAATTGGCTTCAGAAATTGCACAAGAAAATGTTTATGGCAGCTTTATTGCAGAGCTAGGGATATATGAGGTCTGGTTTTGTGCAATATGAAAAGAAGAAAAAGATTTGTATATGTGAAAGTTTGTATTACACGCTCTGGAACAGTTAGTTCTGTGCTCAGTTCAGAGGTCTAGTTATTGGCCTCTGAAGAGCTAAAGAGTCTGTATTAACAGCCGTGAGTTTTTCATGCTTTTTATTGATTCTTTCACTTATTCAAAGTCGTTTTTGCACACCTGTAAGAGTTTACCGATCAGATAGCAGCTAACCACGTTTGTTCAACCTTTACATGAATTGTAATGCAAATAACCTTTGTGCCCCCTGTTTTTTAAATAGTTTCCTGTGACTAGTTTGCTTTCTACTTCGTGGCCCATGCACCACTATGGTAAAAACATTCAGTCATCGCTAGAAAGAAATGGACATACTGTAAATGAGAAACAGACAGCAGGTTATTCTGGATTTCAACAAGCGAACCTAAAAAGACATGCATGTCGCTTAGGAAGTATGAGGAACAGAGGGTGCAGAGTTGATATTTCGTAAGAGTGTAAGCGCAGATTATTCTCTAGAAATCTGAAAATGATTTTCGATATGATCATAAAAGGAAGTGTTAATTGCAGTGGAACTCAAATCTCCAAGTAAAATGTGTTGTTTTCAGGCTCATTAAAAGTCAATTAGGGCTGTTCCCTCATATGCTGGTGGTCATTGGACACCCCTGTAGGATTCTAACCCTGAGTTCTTTGCAATAACCCTTTGGGTTCTACTAAATTAGCAACCAAAAAAAATCAAATAAAAAATCAAATAAAATAAAGGTTTTCAGGGTGTGCTAGGTCAACATAACACACCTGTATGTGTTGCATAAAGCTAATCAGACTTAACCATCCAAAGCAGTGGAAATAATTGGGTGTCAAAATAAAGGTTGCCAGTTGCCTGACTTATATTTGGCATAATAAAATGTTGCTTATAAGCATTCTCATGTTTCGGCCAGGTGCTGTAACTGTATTTCTGCTATTCTTTCAGAAGTACCAGGTCTTGTTGACCCACAACATCTTTACCTAGGAAAAATGTGGGTTGGTGGTTACAATGGAAACTCGATCTTTGCCAATTTTGGAGAAGAGTTCAGACCCCATTCACCCCAAAACAGGCGTAAACCTTGCATAGCAGGTTTCATCTCACGTTGATGCTCATAAACATACTCTAAGACGGTATAATCTTTTACATTTCTAGAAACTTCTTTTTGTTAGTTTAATGTTAGTGTTGCATTCAGATTTGTGAACATGAAATGTAGGCGCTGCTGGACTTTTTTTCTGTTTTCTATGTACAGCTAAATGTTTCTTAAACGCCTTCGATAATAGTTTTACCGTGGAAACCGTAACCGGAAGGGGAGCTGCTCGCTGTGGTGCTAGTGAAACTTATGTCAGTGAGTCAGTCAGGCGATCCATGGTGGTGCGGCTGTGCGTTTAACCGGACAAAAGATTTTCTACGTTTACCGCACAGAGAGGAACAACTCTTCAATCAAACACAGTATATCAAGAATTGCCGCGCGGTTGAGGGTAAGTTTAAGTCGGGATTTTTTCCCAGTTGTGACGGTGTTTAAACTTTTTGTTGTTGGGGTTGTAGCTAATTTGCTAACACTGGAGCTAAATAAAGGCTAACGTCAAAGTGAAATTTTAACTTCCAATTTGGAGAAAGTTGTCTAACTACATTACCTTTGGTTTTTCAATCAAGGGAAACCATTAGTAAAGTTAGTGCTTATAGGGTTTTGAATATAGAGTAAACTATTAAGATGGTATAGTTTACATATGCCTGGAACTTATGTTGGAGTATTTATGGGGACAGGATGAAAGGAGTCCATATCATTGTGCTAGTACCGTTAGGTCGTTGTTTACTAAATTCGTTTTCATTGATGGACTTGTAAGACTTTTATACCTGCTCCCATTTAGCCATTTTACCTCAGCTATTCAGTTTTGGAGATAAATATTAGCGTTTAGTTCCCTAGAGCGATAAAGGGCGGGGCAGGTTTCGCAAGTTAAGATAACCCCCCCTGGTACTTGTCATATTGTCCTGTGTAGCGCGCTAAGTTTGCAAAAACTAGCTATTCACAATGAGATGAAGGGCTCGTTTCCTGCAGCCCTGTCGTCTAAGGGCCGACCAATGCCTCTCACCCAGGTCATTCACCGACTGGATTTGCGCAGTGGCAGCTGGCTGCCAAGTTCAGTCCTGACGGTCAAACTCTATATTGGAGTGGAGTTAGGTTATACAGAGAGGAGAGCCTCGACTATCTTAAGTCTGGGCGTTTTAACATTTAGGCTAAAGCATCTGTTACCACGGGGTAATTAATCACGTGAAACGGGGAAGCTGTCCTTTCATGGGGATGGCAGTGAGTAGTCATGATATTTTTCATGAATCAGTGGAAGTTAGAAGTCATCATACAAATAGGAAACATGGCAGTTGTGGTGACACTGACACAGAAATGGAGAATCGGCGTGGTTTGTGTCTGTAAAATGAGGGTTTTTAGGGTAAAGCAGTAGTGAAATTGCCAATGGTTTCTTTTTTTGGGGGGGGGGATTTTTTTTCCCCCAGTCACAGTATCAAGCTAAACATAGATTGGGTTTTCCAATTTAGGCTAAAGGCAGTGGCCTCCATTTAGATTGATCTTACTGGTCTGTTCAACAACTGCACAAATGAATGACTTAAAGGGATATCACCCCACAGGGTTTCCTTACTTTGCTTTATCATTCATATCAGCGTGAATGAGTATAAGCGACTCCTAAAAGCCTGAGTTTATAATATAAATACTATATAGTTTGTTTAATGAACTCGTAAAAAGTGAAATAGACTTTGGATTTAGTTTGTGTAAATAGTACTTTCCTGACATCTCTGCAGCTTCAAATACATCATGCAGCAATGCATGACAGGGGCTTCCACAGGAACAAACGTTCAAATTTCCAACCCGTGATGTAAAGATCTCCCCTTTCCTTTCATGTAATACTGTATTTCCCTCCATTATTCTGCTCGCCGTGTTGCTGGCATGCCTTGTGGAAAGTGCCTGAAAGTGTTGAACAAACGCCATTGTTTTTACTTGTTCGTGGAAGAAAGGGTTTTTCAGCAACAGCTTGGCCAGTTATGTTGGCATTGAAGGACTAGTGGTTTTACAGTATAACAGGCCTCTTAACCGCATCTTAAAACTGTATCTGTAATCTCTTCAAGGTCCGGACAGTAGGGATTTTAGTGGAAAACCTCAGAGAAAAGGCTGTGTTCCTGTGAGATCAGTTGTTGTGCAGCTGTTGAGCTAATATGAGGAAAGAGGGCAGAGGTGACTGACTGACAGTGAACTGAAATCAAGGGCATCATTGCTGATTACAGCAGATAAGTCTGTCGTTCAAATTGTGTACATTTGAAAGAAGCACAACTGAGTGGCTGTTCTCGCATAGCAAAGCTGAGATTAAGCAACTTCCTGCTGTGAAACTGCAATATTGGAAGGATAGATCTGCTCAGCTGCACTCCAATCCTGCAAGATAATCCAGTGTTTTTATATTAGCAGTAAAGAATATGGAAACAGAAAAAAAAGTATCTTCCCGTTCTTGATTCTGATGTGGAATTATTTGCTAATAAAAAGTCCCCAATTTATTATTATTATTATTATTATTAACGTTAAATGCTATGCAAGCCTATTTTTTACTTCAGTCTCACCTAAAGAACTCAAATTATTTCAACGGCTGATTTTATGCCGTTAGTTTGATTGACCTACAGCAATACCTACAGTGGCAATCATTTAGACAAAGCTGGAAAGTGTCAATATTCATCTGGAAACAAACAGATATAGCTGCCCTGTGATAACTCTAATTAACTGGACACTGTTCCTGTCCTCACCAGTTGTTACTGCTGGATAGAGGCAGAAAGAGATGACCGTGGCCATGTCCCTGCTACATACTATTGATAAAGGTTTAGTATCAGTTGATGGCAATAGATCCAACTGGTCTTTTTCGGTATCAAAGTTTCATATGAATCGGAGAGATCTGTTGTCGGTTCACAAACGCAGCCCTTGATTTTTTTAAAAAGATCCGTGGAAAGAAAATACCACTTAACCTGATTTACTGTTTCTGTGATCGCATTTTTCAGTCGCTAATGTAAACAAGCTGTTTTAGGGCAGGCATGCATGTGCCTGTCAGCTTTGTATGTGCTCATCTCTTAGGCTCATTCATTATAACCCCCAGGGCACTCTGAGAAACATAAACAAGGAGATAATGGAGAGTTTGCTAGAAGTTTCTGGAATATGTTTTGTGTGGTAATCTTCCCAACATTATGCATAGGGTGCCTCTTGCTTAGTGTTTTTCTGTCTCTACTTTAGCCCTCCATGCAGCAGTTGCTCATGTCGCTTTGAATTGAAACATTTTGCTGCTCACATACTGCGGTAATCATTCTTATGCTTTTAAGAATACACATGACAATCAAGTCTTCCTCTCTGTTGAATCCTCTCTCTGGTACAAGCTTGGAAAGCATCCACTGCTCTCAGAATATTTTTGAGTATTTCTCAAGTGATGAGGCTCATAATTTTTTCTCAACCCTAGTTCCGCTTTGGCCAAAGTCACCCAGGTTGCTGTGTGTTTTGATTCAATGTTCTATGTTTAAAAAGTCAGTCTGATTAGCAGTGAAATGGTGGGAGCTTGCATAACATCTCAAGGATCAGTTTCAGCATAGTAGCACTGAGGAATGCATTTGTTCACTTCTATCTTAAGGCTGTTGTCAGCAACCAAATTCCTGTGCGCTTAGTAGTACACTTTCTTATCGGCTTTTAGTGGATATCATTATTGTGTTTGATTACATAATCTCTAAGCCTGTAATCTTGGAAACACAGTTTCTGAGTGTTGATGAAATCATACAATCGTTCAATTTTTTTGCCTCAATTTAAAGACAAAACTTATGCCAAACTGTTGTAGCTCCACTTTATAGACTCTCATGGGAATGTTCTCCTTTTTCCCATGTGTTTTTTTTTTTTTGGTGTGTCTTTTTTCAGCTCGACTGTTGAATTTTCCAGCGTTCTCCTACAGAGCCCTGCACTGACTGGACTTCAGACCTCGGCTCAGTCAACAGCATTGTTTACAGTTCGGGGTCGAGCTGCATTCAATTGTTTAACCCACCGTGTCCTACAGAGCCAAGGGTGTGCAGACTTTTGTTTCCCCTTACTGTTGATCACATTAGACCATAGAAAGGTCTTTTGTGACAAAGGAAATTCCAAAACACTTGTGTTTTAATATATCTGTTTCAAACATTCAGTCGTATTTTTTGTTTCATTGTGAGCGCCTTTTTAAACCTAGACTGCTCTGTTTATGTTATTGATGGTAAATAAAGCTTCAATTGAGTATAATTGGACTAATTTTACTCAATTTGGACAGTTTCAAATGGCAGTATTAATTTTTTTTTTACAAATGCTCCACACTTTTTACTTGTATTTAATCCACAAAAGTGATTATTTATTCACTGCACCTGAAAATCAATACATATTCTAATTTTCTCTTAATTCGAAGCAGATTAGATCTCTACTGAGTCCTTTCTTGCCGAAGTTGAGTAAAATCTCTGGGTTTCCCTCGAAACTGACAGACCACAGCTGTTGTGTTTTTACCACTCTGTGTGTGTGTGTGTGTTTATATATTGGGGTGTTTGACTGACCTGACTGTAAACTTCAAACAGAAAGGGTGGATTGTTCTTTTGCCTGCCTGGCCTGTGCAAACCACAAAGCTGTCCTCTGTCCAACTCCCGCCCTGCAGGGCATGGGCCACTGACCATTGATGAAGACACACACACTGAGCAGAAGCCTTCATCCTCTCAGTCTCACTCAACTGAAAGAAGCCCTGTGTGACTCCACTTGGCAGTAAAAGCGTCCTCTGCGATTCAGTCACAAGTTGAAACAAGTTTGAATTGGGGATGGAAGTTTTATGTCTTTAAATTTAGTGAGTGCAAAACCTCGTTGGATCACTGTTGGAAAATAAGAATGGGCAGATTTTGGAGAAATGAGAAACCAGTCTGAATAATCTCCAGCATCAAAAGGTGATAATCTAGCCAATCAAAAAAGAGCCTCACAGTCACAACTCAAATAGATGAACAAATCCAACAATACACTTGGATCATACTTTTGGATCATACCTTTCATTTTTTTTCCTGAGATTTTTTCCTGAGATTTGTTATCTTGGTCTAAAGAGAGTTCAATTTGAATCTATTGCTAAAATTCAATTCTTTGTTTAGATTCTGCTCAACTGTTTTTTTCCTCCTGGTGGTTGTTGCTGTTTTTTCTAGACAGCAGAAGGTGTGAAGTGAGTCTGATCACAAGCGATTGCTTGAATGGCATTTGTGTCCTGATTAGAAAGTGTCATTTGCAGTCTGTCTCAAATAGAGTGACTGAATACTGAAACTGAAGACTCCAGAGACACTTGGTCTCTATGCTGCAGAGAGATGAGAGTCTCCAAGCAGATGAGGAAGGGAGGAAATGATGAAAAAACGGAGGAGAGGAATGAGTGGTTGAATAAAGAGAGGCTGTCTGGGGGGGGGGTTGAAATGATGGACGTGAGGGGAGATGAGTAACAGAGAACTGACTGTTGTATCAGTCTGAAGGAAACGGAAGCTGCCTGCTGTGTGCCTCTTGACAGTCTCTTTCTCTTTCTCTGCAATAGTAGAGACTTGTTGCGAGGCCAGTGGCCACTGGGACTTCATCATTTTGAGTTTAAAGTAGTAAAGAAAAAGGGGTGGAAAAACCCACCTGCTGCCTGGATTTTCAAACCAGATCACACTCTTGGAATTGTGCCGGGGTTCTCTCCTCTTGTTGAGTGTCCGACCCACAGCTGTGGCCTCTGTGGAATGTTACTGTCACAGAGTGAGGATGCTGACTCCATCTTGTTTTACTCCAGCTGTTGGTTTCGCAAGACATGCAGAGAGAAAACGTGTGAGACCAACTGTGAAGGATGGAAAGTGTTTTGACACATCTATATTTCGGTTAGCAATTCATTTGAAGTGTTTTTTAAACGTGAAACAAACTTGCATTTTGCTTTTTTGTTCATAAACACACAATTGCTAATAAAACGTTTACTGAAAGTGTTTACATTTTTATTTTTTTTATTTTTTTATTTTTATTATTGGTTGTAGGCGTAGATGTTGTTTGTGGTCATTTTGCATCTTTGTGTGAAAGTGATAGTAAAGAGATGTTGGCATTTGGGTATGTGTGTTTTTTTAATTTTTTTTAATGGTTTTGGATATTTTTCCTTTCAGAACCTACACACACTGAATGTACGTTTAGGCAGCAGCAATGTCGGGCGCCTACGATGACTCCATGATCGATGTCTCCAGTGATAGCTTCTGGGAGGTAAGATACACAACATTCTTTTCTCAGGAATACCTTATATTTTTGTTTTGTTTAGTTTTTGCCATATTGAGATGACATTTGTGTCAGCTGCAAAAGATGACACCAAGTTGTTTTTTAAATCCAATAGGTGTTTACAGGTATCATGGCATGACATGAAATAATTATATTCATGGAAAAAAAACATGCCATCTATTCCTGTCATGGCTAAGCTTTTTCCTATGTTCTTTGCTTGGTCCTTGTGTTGTTGATTTTCAGGTTGGTAACTACAAACGTACAGTGAAACGGGTCGATGATGGCAATCGACTCTGTAATGATCTCATGACCTGTCTTCATGAGCGAGCCCGTATTGAGAAAGCCTACGCACAGCAGCTGACAGAATGGGGAAAGCGCTGGCGGCAACTTATAGAAAAAGGTAGGATCACGTGATAACAGAAGCTCCATACTTGGGTGTAGTTATAACTGTACAATCTTTTTTTACTGAATTCCATGTAATTCCCCAGAAATAACTAATAGGTACATAATGCTGTCCGCAGGCCCTCAGTATGGTACGTTGGAGCGAGCGTGGGGTGCCCTTTGCACCGAGGCTGAAAAGGTCAGTGAGCTCCACATGGAGGTGAAAGCAGCTTTGATGGGAGAAGATTATGAGAAGCTGAAGAACTGGCAAAAAGACGCCTACCACAAACAAATGATCGGTGGCTTCAAAGAGACTAAGGAGGCTGAGGATGGCTTCCGCAAGGCTCAGAAACCTTGGGCCAAAAAACTTAAAGAGGTGTGTATTTTGGACGTCTATATATCTATAAATGTTAAAGCAGTTAGAGCAAGCAAGTCATATCATGTCTCGCTGATTACACACATCAGTATCAACTTCACCCTTCACTTCTCTTGATTAATTTTGTCTGACTCACCATTGTCGTCTCTTCTTGCCATGACGACCCGTGCATTAAACAACAACAACACAGAGGCACACTATAACCCCTTAGTGCTGATCTTGAATAAGAAGTTATTTTCAGGCATAGGCCACATTATGGCAGCAGGTTGTCCTGTGTGCCTCTGTGTCAGTAGAAGGGAAGGAAATGGGAGACAGGCACCTCTGAGGCCAGAACCAGGTCACTGTGTTTCCTACTACTGAACTCATTTAGCAGCCTGTTTACTTTTCAGTTCTCGCAGGCCTTTGTGTAAATGTGTTTGAGCACGTCTGCTCAGACCCACTGAGCAAGTTGCAATGTTAAAGCCTTTTCACTAGATCCCATCACGGGGTGGTGGCATTCTAATTTGCCATCAAACACGATCAGAATAAACATGTTTCATTGCCAGCTTGATTTATTGATTGACTATCCCAATAAACTGAGTGGTGGAGAGCTGAGAGGAAATTAAGTTGGTTAATTAACCCAGTAGGTGACAGGTGGTTATGTTGGCAGTGATTCAGTAACTGGATGATGTTTCTGCCTTATTCAGCTAAGAGCCTTTGAAATGTAAAACATTCAGAAACTGAGGAGTTCCCTCTTAACAATGAATTGAGCAATGAAGATGATATCCGCTCTAAAAAAAGAGGAAAGAAAGAAACAGCTGCACAAAACAGAAAAAAATAGGTTTCCCTTTTTTTCACTGACATGTAGAAGGTACCAACTTTCAATAATGGCCCTGTTTACCTTACATCTGATAGTCTTACTTCATTGCACAAGACCTATGCTATTCTTAGTACTTTGCTTTGACAATTGAATCCCACAGGTGGAGACGATGAAGAAATCTTACCATTCAGCCTGCAAAGAAGAGAAGCTGGCTGCCAGCAGGGAAACTAACAGCAAACTGGAGAGCAACAACAACCCCGAGACTCAAAAGAAACTCCAGGAAAAGGTGGAGAAGTGTCAGCAGGAGGTGCAGAAGGTAAGGCTTCCTGTGCACAAAGTCGTTTTGATATTCAAAATGTAGACTGAGACATGCGTTCATCCCCTTTCTCAGACTAAAGAACGCTACGAGAAATCTCTTGAGGAGCTGGACAAGTTGAACCCTCAGTATATGGAAAACATGGAGCAGGTGTTCGAGCAGTGGCAGCAGTTTGAGGGAAAACGGATTGGCTTTTTTAAAGATCTGTTACTCGAGGTTAAGCAGCACCTGGACCTTTCAGCCAATCACAGGTGAGACGGAAGGCATTATCCTAGGATTGATTCTTAGTCATTTTCAGACATGAGAACAATAACACAGAAGGGAAGGTTGTTATTTTGACAAATACCTACAAATACAATCATCTTCTTCCTGCACTGCGTTGTCCCTTTAGATTCCAGACAGTCTACCACACCCTGGAAGACACAATCTCTGCTACTGAAGCTGAGGATGACCTAAAATGGTTCCGGTCCAATCACGGGCCTGGCATGCCAATGAATTGGCCCCAGTTTGAGGTACTTAACTGCAACCTAGACTCTTCTCCATTAAAGCTTTAGGAAAAAAAGGGGAAAAGGTTGATTATTTAAAGGGGTATCAAAAATGTCCCAAAAAGACTCCATAATAGATTTGTTTAGTTGCAGAACCACTGGAAGAAGAGTTGGTGACATTGAGATTAATCATATGTGATATTCATTAGAATATTTGGAGATCATTTAAGTTTTCATTTATCCCTAGATGCTAAGCATTTTCTATTAAGAACTACTTGTAATATCCATGTTTTGGTGAGATCCACCAACTAATGTGTGGGGTTTCGGGAACTATTTGAAGGGGAAACGCTTTCAGGGACAGCATGGCTGTAGTTTTTACCTGGAAGTGTAGCCTTAGCAGGAGTTACAACCATGTGTCACCTTTGTCATTGAGGTATATTATCCTGCTGCAGGCTTGGTGATAAATCTATCCTCAGAGGTCGCTGTGGCAGTAAGACGGATGTAGTTTATGTCCTTAACAAAAAATAAAACGCACACAAGACAAAAAAGCCATGTGCTCTCATTTCTACAATTTATAGTGCTGTTAAGTACTCTTGCAGGCATAGCTGTTTCAGTAAGGTGGCTTCTCATACTTTTTCGTTCTTGTTTCAGCTTGAAAGACTTTTTTTCATTTCATGTTTTATTTCCCACATCTTGCTCATAACTAAAAAGGTTCACAAGAAATTTGGTCAGCTACAGGGAGCATGTTTGTTTTTAACAGCCTCACAAGCTTTTGAATGTTTTTCTAATATAGGTGTCCCAACACCTGTGGGATTACAACTGTTGTTCAAATTAACCCTTTCTCCACATGCATCCCTTTCCTATGTCTGACAGAATTTGGACTGGTCGAATCCTCGCTCCTTTAAGAGAAGGTCCATTGTAGTGAGTTCTGCATGGGAGGGCTGTTCTCTCACTACAGCCATTGAGGGATCCTTTAACCCCCTAACACTCCAGCACCCTTATTCTCCTGTTTGTGTGTGTGCATGATGTGGTTGTGTTCATGTCTTGTCTTATCAAAGAAATAATACATGGACACACCCATTAAATAGACATTTCTTAATATCAGAGTTCCTAGAATTGCCTCGTTCGATTTAACTCTTAAATTTTGGCCTCCCGTGCCGCTCCCTTATTACTGCCATCCATTTGAGGCAGCCACCATGGCAGTTGACTTGTTTTAGAGGAAAGAGGGGCTATGACAGGCACTCTCAAAAGCCCTGAGTTTGTGCTCACATGTTCAGTCTGTCAAGTTTAAAATGGGGGAAAAAGAAAACAAATGGAAAAACTTTTAATTTGACTGAACTTCTCTGTTGCTTCAATCTCCATTGTGAGTTTGTGGTTCTGGGCAGATCTCTTGGTGTTGTTTCTCTCAACAGGTGATGGATATGTGCTTGGTTGTATCTATCATTGTGTCCCAACCTCCTTCATTTCACACGCGTGCATGCACAGTTTTTAAATCCAGTGTGTTTCAACTGTAGGAATGTGTCACTGATCCTGGACTTGGCTGAAGTGTTGCTGTGCACATGTCTGAAATGTTTAACCTTTTCTAGCTTTGAGGTATGGTTTGAGACCTGTGGATCACAGTCAGCCGCTCAACGCCTGACTGGATATGTGTTTCTGCGTATTTGTACAAGGACTGGTCCATAGACCTGAACCGAACCCTGAGCAGGCGAGAAAAGAAAAAACCATCTGAGGGCGTCACACTGACGGGCATCAGTCAGACTGGGGCAGAGCAGCCTGCGCAGCCTGCCAAGACCAGCAGCAGGTACATTTCTACGCACTCACCGACTCACCGTTTGTCCCCAAACACTCACAAAACTGAGTATCTGTTCTTAATGCACATAGAAGATAGTCCACACATGCCATCTTCCTCTAAAGGAATGCCTGTAAAGTCTCACACAGGCAAAGCTCTAAGGATGTCGAATAGTTCGACAGCCGTTCCCATGGCAACGGCAAACATGTTGTCACCAACGGTTGGGAAAAAGGCATCCCCAGGAAACAGAAGTCTGCTGGTACATAACTGAAAGCATGCCAAAAGTTATACGGAAAGATTTAATCACACACAGACCTTTGGGAGCATTAATAACATTGGCACTGGAAAGTTCAAAGAAAGGATTAGCGTACCCCAGTCGACCCCATGTGCCAGAGGCGAATTTGTTTTTCCTACTAATAATAAAAAGATTAAAGGAATGTTCGGTTAACCATTTTATTTAATCATCTCATTAAATTGGGAAAAATAATAATGTAAAGCTGCTTGAGGTTCGATTGTCAGTTTTTAATATTGTGATAGAATCTGTACTGATAAGATAAGAATGGAATTGTCCTAGGCAGGAAGTTTGTCTGGGGTGTTGTGTGAACAGCCCCGACAACAGGGCAGTAATGACAAAAAATAGAAGAAAAAGAGGAGTCAGTCAAGTGTTAATAAAGCGACTGCTTGGCCTGTGTGTTTGAGTTTGTTGGACCTCTCTCGTGGCCTGAAGCTTTCACATTCCTTTGTGGCTTTTTAATTGAACATGCAAACACCTGCTATTTACCCTTAATCAGACATCTGTAGGAAGATGTGTGTGTGTGTGTGTGCATGGGCGTGTGTGTTTAGTATTTAAGACGAGGAGTCGACAGTGGGAATTCTTGGCATGGAAAGCATTTGACCTCTGAACCTGGGTCATTTTCCAAGCATGGGACAGACTGCCTTCCCATCCCCTGATTAAATTGACAGCATATTGTTTTTCTTTCATTTCATTATCCATTAAAGCACCTTGTGTGTCTACATGTGTGGCGGCGGAAACGGTAAATATGAAGTCGGTTCATTTCAGTGGGCTGTCTCTGTACAGTCAGTCAGCCCAGATGTTATTTTTCTTCTACTTTTGTCTTAGTTGCCGTTGTAACTTTAAAATGTGAACCCAGAATTAATCTTGGCATTGGTGTAACAGCTCTTTGAACAACTGGATTCATAATTTAAAAGGTTAAATGTGTTTACTAAAATAATTAAACGTTACATTGTGCCAGACACCCACTGAGGGAGTGTTTGTTGTAATAATGCCACAAGCTCAACTCAGAGAATGGCAAGACTGTACAAACAAAGGCGTTCACATTTCAGTGCTACACACTCTCAAGGGCCAAATGATAACTGCCACGGTCTAATAATTCTGTAAACAGGCCAGAAACTCTGTTTCCTCTGATGTAGGTGGAGGATATGTGTAAGTCACAGTGGTGGAAAATAAGCTGCTTTAGTTTGATTTTTTTTCCGGGTTCATCACCAGAATAATGTGAAACTGACAGTTAGAAGTTGCTCAGGGTATGTAGTCTTGGTGTTGTTAAAGTTTTGTGTTAATTATCAGGTACAAAGACTAACTGCTATAAGTATGTTTAGTTTCACTCAGTTTAATACCCTGTTGATGTCACTCATGCTTATTGTTACTCTGAATGATACAATAATTAAAGGGTAATGTCCTGCTAAAGACATGGCTAAGCATTCACTAAGTCTCGGTTTTCTGAGCTACAGTTGTTGGGTAAGTAAAGTCTGAAGCATATGGAGTACAGTAAAACACAGACATCCCATTTCTTGCCATCGGCTGGCAGTGGTCGGTTCTTAAAAGCTCTTGTACACGCCCAAATAAAAAATGTCTCAGTTTGTAAGAAGAAGCCTTTAATCTAGGTGGATCTTTCATTATTTAGTCCATAAGATCAGAGCCAGAGGCTGAAATAGATTAAGTTTCTAAAGATGGGTGTTTTTGTTGCATATTTTGTAGCTTTACTTTCATTGATGATGGAATTGACTCGTCTTGAGTAGGGAAATCTTCATATTGCCATATGTTTTTACCCTTACTTGAAGTACTTGTTTTTGGAAAAAAATGGAAAAAAGTTATTCCATGAAAATGTAGATGCAAATGACACAAATCAATTCTGACGTACGCAACATGGTATTTGCCAAACTGATGGCCTGTTTGTAGAGAGCAAACATGGCCGATATTTGTGGGAGGCGTATACCAGGAGATGGAAAAAAAAGCATTATGTAGAAGACAATTACATTTTTAAAGGCTTATCTATAGTTAACTGTTTATTTTATTTATTTAAGCCTCTATTTTGTTTGTTGTTTTTGTCTTCTTCCTCGATTGGGTGTCCATTTAGCATTTCCTCTGTTTGTCATACCTATGTGCGATGTGTCCCAGAAATGGGCTGAATCTGCCACCTTTGTGCGTCCATATGATTCTACCATTACATTTATAACATCATCTGCATTGTTTTCTGTGATATCAAATGTAAACTTTATACATGTGACCGCACACTGAATTCATGGGTGAGGGGTGGGGGGGCCAATCCGCTTTCACTCTAAGGGTTATGTTGGGTTATGCCATGTCACAATATCGAATGGGGCCGATGCAGCTATAGACACGTGCTCGTCACTTGTTGTCACAGGTTGTGTTCTTGTGTGTCCATTGTGTTTATGCTTGTCAACAACCCATCTCTCACTTTGTTCCATGTCATCAGCCTGACTGTGCCCACTATAACAGCACCAGTAGGCACGAACCCATTTGAAGATGATGAAGATGAGGAGGAGGAAGAGATGGCAGAGGAGCAGGAGATCGCAGTCAACCATAGCAGTGTGAATAAAGAGGAAATAAAAACGTTGGTGAACAGGAGAAAACTCTCCAACCACCTGCAGCCTAGTCGCTTTTTCAGTTTCTGCCTTTGCTCCGTGGATCGCCGTACTTGCCGTGTTCTTTTTGCATCTTCCTTTGTCTGGTCACTCCTCTGGAGTCTTCTTTTTGCCCCCCTGTTCTTCCTCAGGTGGCAGGATGCTGCGCTGCTCTGCATGGTCTCTGAATGGCATTGCACACCGAGGCAATATGTGTCTGGCCTTCATTCTTAACAGTTTGGTTTCCCGCAGAACATTGAATGTTGTGCGCATGGAGGACTTTGTCTCTGCTGTGAGAAATCCAGCATTTTTCTGTCTTACAGTCAGATCTGAGCATTAGCATGCATAAACAATGATTTACATATACATAATGTGTGGCTGTACGTATTGTTTTTTTACTATTAACTGAAAAATAGTTGATTGTACAACATTAGCAGTTGTGTTCACACACACACACACTTAAATCAACCACTTTTTAAATGGTATTAAATTAAGTGGTACGTGTTTCAAATGTGAGCTGATCTGACTGTAAATCCTTCTTCATTGTGTCCTTGTACATTTGTTTTTTCAGCTGTCCGTCAGCCTCTCTGTTTAGGTGGCCCCCTCTGCTGGCCATCCCAGTTAAAAACTCAAATCATGCCCTCAAAACTATGATTTTTCTCGCTCATATTTAGCTCCTTTTTATTTCACGGGCCTAGTGATATTTTTGTCATGTTTGTCTGTCTGTTTATTTCTTGGCCTTGCCTGTCCTGAACATTGTGTTTGCTTTTCTACTTGAGGCTCTTGGTCTTTAAGTGGCGTCACTGTTTTTATATTTTTTTATTTCTTTTTTTCAAATAATTTGAAATCATGCCTGAAATATATACTTGCCTTTTAGCATTAATGCCACACATTAGCATGTTTTCCTCTGGTTTGGACGGAACTAAAAGAGAATGTTTTAAGACGAAAGCATGAAGCAGTTTGTGGATTTTAGTTGAATTTTGCTTTTGTGTGGTTTCAATGAACTTGATTTGCCTACCTATATTTATTTTGTTCATTTCTCTAACTAGAGCTTTTGTCAACAACGCATGAGGTCCTGGAGGGGGGAAAAATGTTTAATAATTGGGGGTTCTGCTTGTGTGTCCAGTGCCAGCAGCACAGAGAAGACTCCAGACTGGTCAGATGAAGACACAGTCGGTAACCCTTTCTCCGCTAACGGTGACGGTAATCCATTTGAAGATGAACCAGCCTCTCCGGTTATATCTGTGCCTGTCAGAGCCCTCTATGACTATGAGGGGCAGGAACAGGACGAGCTGAGCTTCAAAGCAGGTGCATAAGTGACATGATGTAAAAAATAGAATAAATAAAAAAACTCACCTATGACAACATTTATCAAATCTAATAAATACATTTGGTTTAAGAAGAATAACGCGTGTTCTTTTTCCATTTTTAGGTGATGAATTTACGAAAATTGGTGAAGAAGACGATCAGGGTTGGTGCAAAGGTCGGCTCAAGGATGGGCAAATAGGCCTCTATCCTGCCAACTACGTGGAAGACATCCAGTAAAGAATTGCCAGTGATGTAATGAATGTGAAGAAAGCCCTTTGGAAAACTTGACAGTGCAAATGGAAACAAAGGCTACGCCTGATTTTCTTCGAGATTGGAGCAGGAGTGTGACAGACAGCAGCGTTTTTTTTTTTGGTGGAGTGTAAAAGGACCATGCGATAGTTGTGTTGGTTTTGGATGAACTGGCCTTTTTTACAAACAAAAGTGGTAATGACCACAAATATAAGTGATTTCACAAAGGTCACAGAAGAGTTGCTGTCGGTATAAAATATGTTATGTTACATAGAATCCCATTTATGCTGTTACAGAAAAAAAGCTATTCAACTGTTAGGTGAGACACAATGAAATGTATTTGAGTTTATATCTCTTTAAACACTGGGATGACAGTCTTGACATCTTGTCTTGCAACGCAATATGCAGCCTTAATATGTAAGCCACTTTTTTAGCTCATTTAGGGAGATTAACATTTTTATCAAAAGTAGCCTTGACTGAGAACAGAATCCTGCCCATTCATGCTGAATAAATGTATTTTTGCCAAAATAGGCCCTCATTTGGAGGTTATTGTGTCAAACTTTCCTGATTGTGATAGGTAATGATCAGTAAAGCCGTGGCATAATTTTCATTTACAGAAAGGTTTCGTCGTGTCACTGCAGATGAATGTATTCTCAGACTGTATTTTGTTTTCACCTTCTAACTGCTCACGTTTACTGATCAATATGTGCAACCACTGACTGCTTCCCCGTTCTTGTTTCTTTTCTTTTTTTCATTGTATCACCAATATCTCAACTTTCTGTTTAAATGTAGACCGTAGAATTTAAAGGTTTATTTTTCAAGAAGTTTTGAATGATTTTTTTCAAACTCTTTGACTCACTTGAATCTTGTTTTAGTTCTCTCGGATCTTGCGTAATGTCCAGTTATGGGAGCATATTGTAATGTTTTTCTTGGAAATATATAACAGATTTTAGCAGTATCAGGGCAGGGAGGAGCACTGTGTTGCATACACACATGTAAATAGTCTGAGTTCAACATGTAAGAACAGATGAATCATTCTAATCACATGAACCGCAGTTTAAATTGATTGTTAATTTATGAGCACGAGTTGCTTGCGCTCTATTCTTGTTAGAATGCTGTGATTAAAAATAAGTTTGTACATTATTTTAATGTTTTTATGGCAAATTTTCCTTGAATCTGTTATTTGGGTATATTTGTAAATAAGATGTTCCCCCTACACAGAGGACCTTTCACATTGAATTAATAAACCAATACTGTGTAAATAATTTATCATTTCCCAGAGAATGCTAAAACATGAAGATATTATTTTTTTCCAAACTGTTATACACATTTTGATCAAGAATTTTGGCATTATGTATTACTGCAGACTTCTCTTTACAATCTCAAAATTCAGAATGCTTGATTTGTTAATTAGATTATAACACCTGTTGTCTCTAATGAGAAAAGTGATGTTTTGCCACATTTTCAGGGCGTGCTCCTGTCATGCAGTAGCAGCTGAACTTGCACATTAAATGTTTGTAAATGTTATTTTACAGCATATTAAATGGATTTACTGAACTAAACATTGCATTTCATTGAGCATGGATGAATCATGTGCATAATTATAATAGATTTTTTAAAAGCATATACATTTTTTTAAACAATATTTCTAACGACACTATAATCGTAACCAATGCATTTGATCAAAAACTACATTACCCAGAAGTCTTTTCTGCAACAACACAAACACGTGCCTTTTTGAGCCAATCAGAACCTGAGCATGATGTTCCACCAGCTGACGTGTTGCATTCAGTTGTTATTGGGAAAAAATACAGAGCTGGTTGATGCCATTCTTAGAACCATACGACAGGTTTCACCACTGAGAGGCAGAACGATGGCAGAACCCAGCAAACAGGACATCTCTACTATTTTCAAGCGACTTCGCTCCATTCCGACAAATAAGGTGAGATTTTTGTGAATAGCAGACGGTGTTGTTTCTGAAACAAGGAAGTCAAGAGAATCAAATGTCTGACACGTCGCACTTTGTTAAACGCCAAAGGTGGCTACAGTTCACTACACTATGTTAGCATTTCCTCACTATTTTACATTTGGAAAATAAGTCGAGTGTCCGGAAACATTCTGTTTACAGTGGTATACTGTGCCGTGGATAAATTCACAGAAACATTAGCGGCTACAAAACTCTTTAACCAGATGTAACGTTAGCGAATAGGTTGACAGCCTAGCATGCCATGTATTGAAATTTTACATCAGCCATGTTTGCTCTGGCTTAAGATTTAAATCCTTTGGTCCACATGAAATAATGAAATACTTTTAAACAGACATTCAAAAGCAAGTCCTTACAGCCTGCGGCTATTAGTTATGCCACTTGGTTATGGCCAATTTCGAACCATTTTAATTCCAGCTGTTAAACCAGCTGCACATATGCCAGTTTATTTTCCCCCCAAAACTGAAAGAGTTTGATACTGCTGGTTTAAAGAGAGTACTTAGTTCCACGTTTCTTTTATTGAGTTGAAGTTTATGACTCACAAATGGAACAAAGTTGGAGTAATGTGGTTATAAAAATCAGCAGCATTATCTATGCTTGAATTAAACTAATTGTTTTGGTCTGTCCTCTTTGCTCTCTGACCTTTAGGCTTGCTTTGACTGTGCGGCTAAAAACCCGAGCTGGGCCAGCATCACCTACGGTGTGTTCCTCTGTATAGACTGCTCGGGGACTCACAGGTCGCTGGGTGTGCACCTGTCCTTTATAAGGTAGGTCAGGATAAGTTTTAAGATTTTAACAAATTGATGGGCATTGAGCTGACCATCTCCATGTTGCACAAAAGTTAGAATGCTTGTCATAAAGTTACAGGAAGATGTAAACATTTGACTGTTGCACTCATCAAATCAACGTTTATCCTGGGCATTTCTCAACTTTCAAACATTCAATCAATTGTCTTTCTGACCATGAATTATTTCTTTGGAATCAAATAACGTAGGAAAAGCTTTTGAACACTTGATATAAGTTTTTAAGACTTGGGTCTGACATAAGAGAGGTCAACTAAGGCGTAGAGCCATTGGACCATCCACAGATAAGCTGTTTCATTAACTCTTAATCATGTAACTTAAAGTATGTGATCATGCACTTAAAACCTATCAATGTTTGTTTACCAGGTCCACTGAGCTGGATTTTAATTGGTCATGGTTCCAGCTAAGATGTATGCAAGTGGGAGGCAATGCCAGTGCGGTGAGTACCAGAGGGCAACTTATCAGCACACCGTGACCAAATTCTTATTGGACAACATCTGGACAAACAAGTGATTGAACTTCACAATTGCAGTTTCTCTTGCCCTGACTTTTAAATGTATCCATTTTTCTTTTAAATTTTCTGTCAGACTGCATTTTTCAGTCAACATGGGTGCTCAACCAATGCTGCCAATGCCAAGTATAATAGCCGAGCCGCCCAGCTTTACCGGGAGAAGATAAAGACTTCAGCCACACAAGCTACCAGGCGCCACGGCACTGAGGTAATGCACGCTGCTTTGTGTAGATAATGGAAAAAAAACGCTGTTTGCTTAGAGATCAAATAAAATAAACTCTGGCTTCTCGTGTAGTAAGAAAACATTATCATGAGATCTGTCAGTATTCAGGTCACTGAATCAGGCTCTTCCTCTGCTCTTCCTCACAGCTCTGGCTTGACAGTCAGGCTCCTCTCTCTCCAACATCCCCAGATGACAAACAGGTGGATTTCTTCAGTCTTCATACACAGGTAATGGGAAGCGTTACTCCAACCTTTTTCTAATGCAGGTGCGTGCGGCTGTTAGAAGTAATAGGAGAGAGAGAGAGAGGAAATCTCTAAGATAGGGGGGATTGCATTGCAGTAGAACAGCTGTGACATGTCACATCAGTAAAAGTTTATTGTGTCATTAGTTCTGGACAAGTTAATCTGATCGGTGTCACTAAGGAAACAGAATTACTCGCTGTAATGTGCTGGTTAAAGTACAGCCTAGAGTTAATCAGATTCACATGAGTCATTGACTCGATTGATTCTTTTCAGGCCTGCTTGCTTTTCTGAGATCTAAATAACCGTGCTGTGCTTTTATGAACAAGATCATGATCAATTCGGACATAATCAAACACATGATCGATTCCACTGATAGTGTAGCTACTAGGTCAGTGCCTGATCTATTTGTGTTCTTAGTTGTATAAGGTCTCACAATGAGCCTCTTTCATTCCAACCGGGTTAAAAAATGAAACCGTGTCAGTGTTTACATGTGTATTCAGTTTCTGTGTAGTTATACTTTGAGGACATTTACATTATCTGTGATTCCTCTTGAAGAAAACTTCCTATTTGCAGGTTGATACAAATTAGTATTGAGGTACAATGTGTCAGGGGTATTGCACAGGTGTGTATAAATTATTGTTGTACATTTGTGTGTGTGTGATAATGGCCATCTAAAATATACCAGAGTCATTTAGATTCTTTCTGTACTTTGTCCAGCCAGAAAATTTGAATATGGCCAAAATGAGTCTAAGCTCCTCCACTTCTGAGATGTCCATGAATCTGGAAAAGGATGAAGATCGAAATGGTATTCTTTTAACCTGATGAGATTCAAAAACATTGTTTTTCTTGGTGATATTGCTAATGAGATATCTCCATTTTACCAGGAAATTTAGAGGATGGTCCCAGTGTGGAAATGCTGAGTGTTTCTCCAAAAGCAAACCCAGGTCTGATTGAATTTGATGTAACGCACATATTTATTTAAATAGTATCTGAATCCATTTAAACTAAATCAAGTTATTGATTAATTTATTTTTTTACAGAGCCTTCCTCTATTCTCAAAAAGAAACCAGCAGGTGCCAAGAAAACGGTATGTTCAAATATTTACTTTAAACATTGGTACAAGGCTTCAGCTATCAGACAGACAACTGAATAATCTCATATGTATCTGCTTATAGTTGGCTTCAAAGAAGGGCGGACTGGGCGCTCATAAAGTCAGCAGCCAGAGCTTCTCAGAGCTGGAAAAGAAGGCTCAGGCTGCTGACAAAGTCAGAGAGAAAGAAGAAAGCTCCACGCCTGCCAAGAAGAACACTACATCAGAGGAGTCCATGTGAGAGTGACTTCCCATTTTGATTAATCAATATCGATATTAACTTATTGATATGTCAGGTTACAGTTATTTTGGGACCTCTATAAGGGATGCCAGAGGTCAGAATTCATTTTGTCCTTTTTAGGAATAAAATGTGTTTTTTTTCCTGCTCAGCACCCCATCCATGCGACTGGCCTACAAAGAAGATCTTGAGCAGCAAAGGAAAATTGGGGATCAGAAGTTGAAGGGGTTAGAGGGGAAGAAAAAGGAGCAAGCGGAGAGACTGGGCATGGGTCTGGGCATCAGGAGGTATTGAGCTGAGGCCTGGTGTCTATTTTGGATTGACTCTTCACCTTTCTGTGTCGTGCTCTCATTGTGGCTCTTCCTTCGCTCCCTTTAGTAGTGGCGTTTCTCACTCTGTCACATCGGACATGCACATCATCCAGCAGGAGAGCCCGCTGGGAGCCAAAACCACCAAAGCTCGGAGATTCACTGGTGAAGATGAGGAGGAGGGCTCCTTCAGCTCAAGGTTAGATGACGTGAATTCAGCAAACGTTCTTATTTTACTCACCTGTTGCTATTAATATCCTATTTAGTTCATTTCTTTTTGGTCCACTAACTGCACCACTTGTCTCTCTATTTCCTGCCTGCTGCTGTTGTAGGGTTTTGTCACGATTTGAGGCTCAAACGGACCCCTCAGATAGTTTCTCTATGCGGTGGGACGATGGGGGCAATGGAGGAGGCTGGATGAAAGAGAGCAAGAAACCAGAGCCAGACTTCTATCTGTCCTCCACCATAACATCACATGATGAGAGGTACATTTATTTTTTCTTCTTTTGCTTCCTGTACCTGCAAAATAGTTCTGCAGAGCTCTGTGCAGCAACAGTAGGATTTATGAATGTGCTTTAAAACAAGTTGTAAACATGCATTTATTTTATGAAGTGAACAATTACGTTGGCTTCTTTTTTTTAACATTCCTCCATATATGTCTTTATAAGAAGTTGAGCTTTTTCATAGTACGGTTATTGTTGGATGTGAAAATTCCTGCTGTTGTCACGTCATAACTGCTAATCATTACTTTATCAGGCCCGTAGCCCGGAGGAAAGCAGAACCATTACCGGTCACAGATTCAGGAGAAGCTCGGAAAAAGTTTGGGGACAATGTGAAAGCCATCTCGTCTGATATGTACTTTGGAAAACAGGATAACTCTGAGGTACAGTCATGACACTTAGTACATATCTACATAATGCCTGCGGTGCTCCACACAACACATACTGTGTTTCACACAAAATAGATTTTTAAATGATTATTTCAGATGTTGAAAATAGTTGTTAAAATGAATTAAAAACAAACAATGGAACTGAAGCTCAAAAGCCATTCTTATGTTAAAATGACAAAGCAGACCAACTGATTTAGATACCAGAGGTCTTTATATTCATTGTCTATGTGTGATCGAGTTTTTTGGTTTCTTTGCCTTAGTATGAGGTCAAAACACGACTGGAGAGATTCGCGGGGAACGCGTCGATCAGTTCAGCAGAGCTTTTTGATGAGCCGAAGAGACAGGCTGGTAAGACATGGCCGTGAAAGCGTGTACAGGATATGATTCCCTTAAAGTCCAAATCTTGCAACCAATGTGTATAAACTCATTAATAATAGCTATAGGCTACAAAAATTTTGCACATAGAATTCAATGTTTTTTTCATCAGGCTTGATTAACTTTAGCAGAGTTAGTACTTCTTAAAGATGAAAACACTGCCTTGAAACACTTTCTTTGCTGCTGAAATCAGATTTCATTGAAAGAAAGTCAATAAACCTTGTATTTGAACACCATAATACTCATGTTCTGTTAAGGCGAGTTCAACTATTAGCGTTTAGAACGTGTGATGGCTGTCACATTATTTAATACGAGCTCAACAATTTGACATCATGAGAGGTGACCATGTAAAGCAGACATTACGGCTCCAGGGCTGCAGGTCTTACTTAAAGCTAAGTGCTGTCTGCCTGTCCTGCGTTGACAGGGAGCTCATACAGTTTGAGCAACGTGCTGCCCAGCGCCCCGGACATGTCGCAGCTCAAACTGGGCGTGCGCTCGGTCGCAGGGAAGCTGTCGGTCATGGCAAGCGGTGTTGTTAACACAATTCAGGTGAGCCAACAATGTCTTCGTCATATCTTTTAAGCAATTTCAAAAGGCCATATCATGCAGATCTTCATCTCCTTTCAGCTAGCTGATCCAGCTATCTTTCTCTTCATTTCTGCTTCTTGTTTTCCCCCCACAGGATCATTACAATTCCTGAGTCACAGTGTTGACACAGAGGACATTTCCAGTGAGTTATGAGTTCTCATTTAAGCAGACAAGAGACAGACCATTTATTGTTAAGAGCTAGTCTGCAGATTTACATCAAAAAACCCTCCGAATATCTCTTTTAAGGAGTAGGCGACATTTGTCTGTATATATGCAGAGGAATTATAGGAAAACTGTATAAATATATATTTTCAGTAGAATGTGTTTTTCTTCTTTTTGACCTTGAAGGGAGATTTCATTGTGTAGTGCAGACTTGAAGGGGATTTGGTTGCATCAGTTGTTTTGAGTTTTGAGGATTTAGATATTTCCTGATATTACCTGTAGCATTCCATTTTGTGCTGTTATGAAGGAAGGGGTTCCTTGTGATGGCCTTTTTTAGGTGTGCAAACCTGAGATGAGGAGACAATCCAGGATGAGACACTCATCGTTTCAGGCTTTTTGTCATGCACATTCACGCACGTTTTAAAGTGTCCTTTCCGTCCCCAAAGTGCACTTAAGATTTGCTCCATACAGATGGGACAAAAAGCTGAAATAGAGGCCTTCAGGGGACCAGATATATTTTTCTGAATTGAGAGCATCTGTTATATAAATTGGTTATTGCTGGGTTCATCATGCTTTAGATAGCAGCATGTTGTTTTTGTTTCCCTATAAAGGATTACACAAAGATGACATTCTGAAGTAGCAGTTGAATGTTAATTATAAAGAAGTGGAAGAAGGGTGTCCACAACAACAACCTTCTCATCTGGGCCTTAAGACGCGCAGAAGGGTTCAGAAGGGTTCTGTTTGCTGTTGAGGAATGAGAATTTGAAGTAATTTAAGAGTCATTGCTTTGTTTACACGTTCATATTGTTTAGGATCCTTTTAGCTCTTAGGCTTATTTGTAACTTTAACCTTGCTCAAACTCTGTTCACTCAGTCCAACAGCATCATTTTCAATGAGCAGGAATCTGAGCAGAGGGAGTGTTTGGAGTTCAGTTATCCCCTCAGGTGAATGGATCTGTAACGTCTTTGTTACTTCTACGAATTGTTTATTTCTGGAGAGATGTCAGTTTTCTGTCTCACTTGCCCTTTCCATCACATTTAACAATTTGATCAAATTGTAGCCAATGGGGGAACAATGGCGGCAGTAAGAAAGTGTTTGCATCCCTTGCACTCAAAACAGAGTCCTGTCCATTTTAGCCGCACTGTTAAATGAAAACATGAAAAAGATGAAGATGGTGTCTTTTCACTAAACTTCCTTAAGTGAACTTCACCTCCGTGGCCCTGTGTGATACAGGTCTGTTAAACCTGTAGAGTTTTTTTCAGTTCGTTTAAAAGCAGACACTATTATCAACCATGTTATACATAGATAGACCAAACAAAATGTGGTGCCTTCTTGATTTGAATATTGGTAGATCTTTATTTGAAAGTCTGCTTGACACTATTTGAATATTATTTCATAATTGCTGGTTGCTTTAAATCTTTATTTCCACTCATACAAATGTCAGCTGTTGAGAGGCTGAGCCACAGTTAATACTCCTTAAAAAGAAGGTGATATAGAGAAGCATTTTGATATTGGTGTGATGTGGCAATCAATTTGCTTGGCTTTTCTGCACATTTCTGCTATCGTAATGATGATTCTACAGGTCATGCATCAAATTGTGCACATTTAGTGGACCACTTTACTCTTCAAAAGATCATGGTATTACTAAGTAACACTTACAAGGAGTTACTGTTTTCTTTTTCTTTTTTTTGTTTATTTCTCATAACACAACAAAAGTCAAATAAGACCAGAGACAAAACAATTTGTTTGCTCTCATTAGTTTATGTCTTCGTCCAAATATCTTTAGCACAGTTAAGCTGTAATATTGTGGAGACAGCTTCTTACATTTGAATAAAACTGGCCAAAACCTTACAAGTGGAAGCCTTTGCTTCGATTTTCATTCATTTTTGCCTCTAGGCTACCAGTCTGTCCATGTTCAGTTTGCCTTGTTAACCTGGATTGATCGTGTTTCCTGCTGTTGGATATTGTTAAATGTTAAATGAAAACATAAGTTTGTGTCATGTGCTTGGCTGTTGCTAGTTGTAGAACATGCTGACAGATCCTAAATATAATATGAAATAATGCATTTGTTCAATAGCTGCAAAGTGGGCTATGAAGTGCTTCATACAGTGTTGTATTAGGCTTTGAAATGTCATTTATAGAAAGCTACTGATAATCGAATTTTGACATTTTTTCAAAATGTATGTTTGAATTTTTCAACTATGCCAAATAAATGGCTTGTACCAAATTTGTTCAATGTCTGATTTCTTTCTTTCAAAATGTGTCCTGTACTGTTCATGTGCACATATCTTCTCAGAAGTTCAAATGCCATTACTTTTTCCAAGTAACAATTTGGCTCAAATGTTATAAATGTTTGAACAATTATTTATTTGATTGGGAAATAAAACCAAAATGTCTATCAAATAAAACGGTTCTCAGATTTTGTTTCAACTTAAAGGACACGAATGCAACACAGTCTTGAAATTCAAGGCAAATCCTGGCAACCGCCTACGTGGCTGCCTGTTGCGTTTGAGGAACTTCCTACACGGTCGAAACATTGTCAATTACTTAAATTTGAAAACTATGTTTAGAAAACGATGAGTTGACTAAAGCTTTCATAATTTTAGAACTTTTGTTTCAGATTTAGCTTTTACTTTAAAAATGCATTTTTTTCTGTAGTGGATACCGTAAATTTGCGGATTGGTAGGTCAGAAGTTGTATCTATTAACCTCCTAACCACACAGTGAACGCGGCATTTGACTCGGCAGCAGGAGAGCTCAAAGGGGGTTTGAAACTGTTAGGATTCCTTAAATTCAACCGGTAATTATATATATGTTTGTATCCTACATTATGAACTTAAATGTAAAACAAGAATCCTTTTTTAATCTGCGACATTACGAATAGCTGTCTGTTTGTTTGTTCGTTTTTGCTCAAAGTAAAATAAAGTTAGCCGTATATTACTGTGCTAAAATGCCCACTGAGGTAAAGCAGAGAAAAAAGACGCAGGTACATAAACAGAGTGACGAACCACCAGAAAGTTCGTCAGCAAACTGCAAAGATGAAGCAGAAAAGATGAAAACGGAAGACGGAGGCAACAAAGCATCGAATAAAACGTCTCCGGGTCCGGACTTGAAGAGTTTGCTGTGTTTGCTGTCGCTTGCAGTCTGCGGAGCTCTCGGCTGGTAAGTCAAACTTGCGGATTTAGTCTCCCTTTCCGTTTTCGTGTCTTTGCTAAGAAATTTCCGGATTTCAGGGTGGTGCTGCAGCAGAACGAGAGGTTCTCCCAACTTGAAGAAAAGTACAGGTCTCTGCATGGAAAAACCTCCAGCATGTTGGACACGCAGGAAGAGATTGCCAAAGTATCTAAAAAGGTATGTTAGAGACAGAGTGGAGCAGATTGGGCCTGTTTTAAAGGCTTAGTTCACCCAAATTGTGTAGCTTTCGACTTTCTAAAAAAAACTCAATTTATTAACAAAATATTAAAAATTTAAACATATGAAAATAAAAATCGCATCCTTCCTGGGATGTTTCCCAACTCCATACTTCAAAGTGAGTTTTTGACATTCTGTCCGAGGGGCCACTGGGTTCGCGTTAGACATGTCTCACGGTGTATTTATTTGAGATAAAAACTGAGGATGACAGAGCTCCCACAGAAACAGCCCTCCTGTTTTGTGTTGCGGCTGCAGCTTGCCGCTTCTGAGGATGACCTACAGGAAGCGCTCTCCGCCGTCTCCCTGACAACAAGACTCCAGCAAGAGATCTCCACCCTCCACGCGGTCGTGATGGAGATGCAGGCCGAGGAGAACTCCGCCTCCCACGACCTGCAGACGGTCAATGCCCGCTTCCTCAACGTGACGGAGACGTGGCAGCAGCGCCTAGCCAGCATCACCTCTGACCTGGCCGGCCTCAAGGCCGAGTCTCGGGATGCTCACGCCGGAGCCGCCGAGCGGGTGAACGAGGCCGAACGGAGGGCTCGGCAGCTCGCAGAGAGGCTGGAGGAGCTGGAGGACAGCACGAAGAGGAACGCCCGGGTCCTGGAGCGCACCGAGGAGGACGACGCCAAGCGAGCGCAGGATCAGCTGGACTGGAACACCAAGCAGATCCACAAACTGGAGGAGCAAATCAGCGGCCTGGTCAAGAACAAGGCTGAGCTGAGCTCTCAGCTGGAGGAGCACGTGCCCCGGGCACAGGCCTGTGAGGAGCACCTGCCCCAGGTAGAGGAGGCGGTGCGCTCCATCCTGAAACTGGGCGGCGACCTGAGCGGGGCGGAGAAGAGGCTGGAGGAGGTCACTCTGCAGGTGTTTGGGACGGAGGACAGCATGCTGAAAGCACTGAATGAAATCCTTGAGATCAGACAGGAGCTGGACACCCTGCAGGCTCAAAACAGCATCCTGAAAATGAAGAATGAGTTGTCCGTGGTGAAAGAGGCTGTACGTGAACTCACCATGGTCCTGAGGGAAGGTAGGGCTGAAAGCCAAATGGACCCAGAAACCTTGGAGGGAGAGGGATGGACAGATGAAGAGGAGGAGGAGGAGTTGCCAGTAAACAACCAGGACGAACCAGCTGAACTTCCTCATGATGACTTCAATGTATGATATCGATTTGTAGTAAATAGGGAAAAAAGAGACCATGCAATCCCACATTACTCCCTGGAAAATAATGTTAGGCCAAATCAGTATTAAAGTTTAGTTTAAGTAGGTTTTCTTACCTCAGTTTAATAAATATAAGAAAATTAATCAGGAACATCATAACTCAGACGTTGGCCAGATTGTAACCTGCTCTTAGACTCACATGCACTGTATTTACCAGAAGCACAGTTAGCCTTGTACATACATTTGTCATTTGCACTGTCTTTTTTTTATATGTTAGAGATGTTTGCGCAATTCATCGACCATTTGTCCAGCTCCAGAATTTCAATTGTAATCTGTTTTTAATTAGTAATCTTTTTCTCTTGTATGGTTCTACTTTTGGAAAAGATGTGATATGAGAATGTTTTAATTTGCAAATAAGTCATGACTTTCAGGCTTCTGCCATCTGACCTGACACAGAAACAGCCTCTGCAGGTGTAAAATAATACATACATTTTTTGGGGGGACTGTAATCTTTGAACTTTTTCAATAAAACCACCTTTTTTTTAAAAGTCAATTTGGTCTTAAAACGTCTTATTCTCTATTTTCCACCCATTGACACAGCTTCAGATGGCCTCTATCCTCTGCTCATGTTTAGTACAATGCTTGTACCGTATGTCCTGTTTCAGTGTGAGGGGGTCAGGCTGATGCTGGATGGTCTGGGGGCTCAGCGGGGGGCTGTGCAGCCTCAGCTGGAGGGCCTGGAGCAGGACGTGGGCCGCCTGAGGGAGTGGGCCGCTGGCCTGACGGAGAAACGAGCGCAGCTTCAGGGCAGCCTGAGCGGACTGAGGGACGCCATGGAGCAAATCCAAGAACGCACCTCGGCTATCACAAAGGACTTTTCCAACAAGGTTTCTCTGACTGTTTTCCTGCTTTGCCTGTTTTAGATGCTTCCCCTCCTCAACATTTGCATAAATGAAATAGCTCCCCTCAACAGTTTGCCCTTAGGTTTTGCACCGGCCTGTGAAAAAGCTGTTTGTTTGAGCCGTGTGTGGCGGAACACGGAGGACGGGGGCCCAGAGGAGCTCTGGAGAGCACTGCTCCATTAGGTTCATGTTTAGACCATAGTTAGACTTCTATAGAAATGTTCCTTAAGTCACTTCTGTTTTTTCCCTCCATCCAGGCTTATTTTCAAAAAGCCATCGCCCTGTTTCAGTGTCAGGATGGTGGTAATGAAGTGATGTTCACTTCCTAGTTTCCTCCACATTGTGTCTAGATAGTATTGAGAATTGTTTCGTCACATGAGAGGATTTAACCCGTCTTTGTCTGAGAATCATTCAGGTGCCTGATTTGGTTGTGGTTCCATCTTCCTGGTGCCACCTTAAGTATATCCAATGAATGCAAATGAGCATCATTATGACCGCTGATGGTGAAAGGATGAATAGATCACAGCTCCATAGTAAATATTAGGTACAGATAACAAACCGTCAAAAAGCAACTTTTTCACAGTGATTGTGGAGAGCTGCGTCTAGATCGGTGAGAGTAAATTAATTCGTTGTAAGAAAGAGTCTGAAATGAGGAGAACACAAATGGATCTGGAAACTTGGTGTGTTCGCCTCTGACCCTGTGCGCTCGTTAAAATGTCCTCCGCTCGGTTGGCCTCGCAGGTGTCGGCGGTGAGGACGGATGTGCGGCGGATGGACGGCCTTCACTCGGAGCTGGAGTCTCTGCTAACGCAGGTGGGGGAGCTGGAGGACAAGGCCGCTCAGGCGGAGCGCAGCATGGTGGGACGCATCAGCGATGTGCTGGCCAGCAGCATCGACCGGGTCTCCAATCTCCGGTCTGCGTCTGAACGCAACGCCCAGGCCATCGAGCAGCTCCGCCGGCGCATCCCTGAGCTCACCCTCGCCGACCAGCAGCTGTCAGAGCGCCTCCGGGAGCTGGAGAGCGGCCGGGCGCGCCTCATAAGGACGGTGACGTTCGCCAGGGACCTCAAACCAAAGGTGGCCTCCATTAAGAGGGACTTTGGCGCGTTTGAGCCCCAGCTGTCAGACTTGACCCTTCGGATTGGACGACTGGCGGAGGACCTCTCCAGAAGAGAACAGGAAATCACTGAGCTCAGACAGACTTTGTCAAACCTCACTGCAGTAGAAGGAGATTTAAGTGTTACGGCCAAACAGGTCAGTGAAATCGCTGACATATCTGAAATGGGGCAGCCGTGAACAGGAGGAGCTATCGGACAGGATTATTCTATTTGCTTTGGGCTCTTTGCTCCTGATCACTTGTCGCACTGCTGTTAAATGTTTCTGCAATAAACCCTTTTATTACAATTCGAATAAATATCCGCCTCTGACTCTGACTGACATATAAACCTCAACAGAGGTTTACTGTTAAGGTGTCCCAAGACCGGAAACTCCAGTCTGATGGTTTGGAAGCGTTCAAACGCCCTTCAGCAAGACGGACGGCTTTGAAGTTTTCTGGAGGAGTGATCTCAGAACAGGTGGAGCACAAGGAAGCACATTCCTGCTGAGCACCTCTGCTGTCATTTTAGACCCACAGATGAGAGATTTCAACATTCTGGCAAAGCAGGATGTCAGTGGCTTCTCTCAGCCCCAGTTCTTCACGCTCAGCCTGTCACAGAATCTGAACCGTGCATTTATGTTGAATACTTTAAACAGAATGTCACAGGCTTTTCTTTTTTTAAGTAAAACTCCCACTCTTGTTATCAATCCATCGCTATGATGTAATGTCATCATCAACTTCCCACCCAAAATGATAGCTCACAGCTCCGAGTCGAGATTTTAATTTGTATTTATTCTCCTAAAAAAACAAAGAAAAAGAAACTACATCATGTAGTGAGTAAACAAAGAAGTGCTCAAAATGAGCCTTTTTTTTGCATTTGGAAGTTCTCAGAAAAACAGCCTCAGTATCAAAACTTCTTAAAGTCTAAAAAGAAAAACAATAAAAACATTGTTGCGAAACTACAGTGCAGAATGAGTGGAGATTTGTATTCACAGATCAACTGTCCAGCTCTGCTACTCGTGCTTCCCCGTCCCCCCTTTTGTTACCGAGGCGTGCAACAAAGTGACATCAACTATCAAGTTTGAGAGAGAAAAAAAACAACTTCATAAAAATAGGGAAAAAAGTGGGGTTTGGTCACACATTTGGATTCATTACTGTCCCTGAAGTTGGGTGCTTTGGTTTCCTGAGGTCAAGCTGCCGGACTAAGCGCCCCTCTGGTCCCTCTTGTCTTGAGTTAAGGCGGCGAGCGTCTCTGTGGTCTGCTGCAGAGCTTCCTGCAGGGAGGAGATGGCCTGATCGTGGCCTTCCAGCTTGGTGGCTTTGCTCTCCAGTCCATCGACCACGGCCCTCAGGCTGTCCAGCTGCTCGGGCTCCAGCCGGCTGCTGCGCTCCTCCAGAGCCGCCAGCCTCTTCTCCAGACCCCCCGCCTCGTTGGAGGCTCCTTCGCTCTGGGCCGTGTTGGACCGGAGCGCTTCCAGGCTGCTCCTCACCGCCTCCAGCTCCTGCCTCAGGCCGGCTTTGTCTCTGGCCACCGACTCGCCCAGCGCGGCGAGGCCGCTCTCCTGCGCGTCCACTTTGGCGGACAGGGCCTCGACTCTTGTGGTGATGTCGGCCAGCGACGCCGACGCCGAATCGCCGCTCTCCTCCGCCGCTTTGACTCTGGCTTCCAGGTCTTCGGATCTGGCCTGAGCCTTGTCGTCCGCGGCCTGGACCCTCTCCTCCAGGCCTCGGACGCTGGCGGTGACCTGCTCCAGGCCGCTCTGCAGGGACTGGGTCTGGTCTGTCAGATCCAGAACTTGGGCCTCGGCGGCAGACGCCATCTTCCTCAGACCGTCGTTGGTGTCGTGCACCACCTTTCTCACCGTTTCCACCTCCCCCGACAGAGAGGCCACTTCCTGGTTGCGGGTCTGAAGCTCCTGCCTCACCGTGCCGATCTGCTCCCGGAGCGAGTCCACCTGGGCGCCATCCTGCTTTTGGGCCGTTTTGGTCTCGGCCACGGCATCGACGATGGCCGACAGCTCCCGCTTGATGAGAGCGGGGTCCTCCATGTCGCTCAGCCGGGCTTTGAGCTCCGCCAGCTGGCTCTGCGCTTGGCCCTGAGCTCCGGTGAACTCCGCCACGCTGGCCGCAATGGACTGACTGACCTCGGCCAAGCGCTCCTCCACGGCCTTCTCCAGAGAGGAGAAGTCCTTCTCTCGGCTCTCCTTCACCTCTTTGATACCCTCGGAAAGCTCGTTGAGTAGATTGTTCTGGAGCTTCTGGAGTGCCTCCTCCACCCTCCTGGTCTCCACCTCCCCCCTCTTCATCCGGGTCACAGCCGCCTCCAGCTCCCCCCTTGTGATGCCCAGCGATGACTCCAGGCCGTCCACAACACTCCTCAGAGACTCCACCTGTAAAAAAGCATGGAAATACACCACCGGTTACAACAACTCTTGAACCGATCGCACTTTTATTTACGTTCACTAATGCCGCAAATCTGTTTGGTTGCTCGATATATCGTGAATCCGACTGAGATGTGGAACTTTGGCTGTCGTGTTTTTTCTCTGGTCGAAGTAAGAGCAAAAATAAGGTTAAAAATTGCAAAGAGTTGCAGTTCACCTAGATGCTGAGAAGCTATTACTACCATGCGATTCAATGAGGGATCAAATAGCTCAGCAATTTCATGCTCGATTTTTCTCAATGCACAAAACAAAAGAAATATAAACATTTCTATTATTTTCTTTAATCTATGATGCAAATGATTGTGTCAAAGGAAAAAGAGCTTTAGTCCCTGAGAATGTGGCCTATTGCATTTAAAAACAGATTAATTTGACATTAAAAAACGAAAAAAGATTTAAAATATCTTCTGTTGTCTTAGTAATGATTTTACTTAAAAACATGGGAACTTTTGAACGACTTTCAGATCAGAGCGATCTGTTCAGCTCCTGATCTTTAGAGCAAAAGAAAGGTAGCTTCTTTCGTAACTGTGTGCCAACTCATCTTGTCTGACAGGTAATTTGTAATGGGTTGCTCTCATATAAAAGAAAACAGTAAAAAAATATACTGAAGGAAGAGTAATTAATCGTTTGTGGGGTTTAAAACTTATCTCTTGTCATAATTATAATAGTTTGAACAACATAATAAAGTTTTCCTTTCAGCTTGGCCATACATCCCAGCACTACACAGAGTACAGAAACCTGAAATGGGTCCCCAGTTTTGGGAACATCCAGACTTAACTTCTTTCTCTCTTTCCATTGATTGTCCTTACCTGTTGCACTGCATTCTCCATTTTGCTGCTCAGCTCTGCGTTTTGCCGTGCGCTCTCCTCGTTCCTTGAGTTTGTCTGGCGGATCTCCTCCACAACTTGCTGTAAATAAAAAGCTGCGAAGCCTGCAGCGCCTAACATCGCGATGTAAAACACTGTGGTTGCAACAAGCCCCAGGCAGCTGCCTGATTTGGCCCCCTGGGGTCCGGGGCCGCTCATCCCGTTGGTGCTGCTCTTTGGGCTTTTCTTGGCCGCGTCCTCTTGGCCGGGCGCAGCGCTCTTCTCGCTGCTCTTCTGCCGGTTTTTCGCAGTCATCTTCGGCGTGTGCGCGTTCGGAGAGTGCTGCTGGATCTGCAGTCGTGGATGGAGAGCGTTTCCAGTTCAGCCCCGCGGAGCGGCAGCGTATCAGGGAGCGCGTCGTGTCTTTCCACGGGGCTTTTTGCGTTTAGGTATGCGGATGGGGGCTGTCCCACGCTCAGGTCCAGCTCTGCATGGGCCTTGTTAAATTGCACCAAGCAAAAAGAAACAATGAATGGACTGTGCAGCCATTGCATGGGCTTCAAAGCTTCCCATTAAAAATATAACAGCTTTGGCTATTTTAGACGAGGAGGAAGTTAGTTTCTTAACATGAGCATCATCACCAGCGTAATATTTTCTATACAAACGCGTGAAAATGTTTTTTTGTTTGTTTGTGAACAATAATCTTATAAATAACACAAACAGTTTATGTTTTATTACAAATACTATAACTCCTCCTGAAGACCAGTGGTCCAAGAAACCCATCTGGCACAACCTATGTAACCATTAGGATGCTGTTTAACTTTGCCTCCGCTTAGTTGTGGGATACGCTAATGGATTTCCTATAGGAAACTATAGTTAAACTTGTGTTATTGCTCTCACACACGTTTAAAGTGTCTGTCCCGTGCTGGTGTAAACTGTGCAGAGTCTCGCGGTGGAGCAGAAACGCGCAGGGAGGGGATCCTCAGAATCGCTCCTCCTTTCATACGTGGCAACTCGGAACCACAGCCTAACACATCCCGGCATTACTCATCACAGAATGGAACATCTGAGAAGTGGTCAGTTTTAGTAGCAAAAAATCGGAAATTAATCCTCCAGACTGCAATCCCTCCATTGTAAGCAACTCTATCCATATAGTGTCTGCAAGCAAATTAACTTTAGTTTCTTCTTTAAAGTGTGTAGAATTGAAGAGAAAACAGCAAAAATGTTGGCAATATTTATTGCTGATTAGTCATTATAAAGTACAATATAATGTCTACATCACATTGGTCTGCTAAAGCTGTTTTTGCCATAGACTTAACATATAATAGGTGTTCAGTCCAGCGTGAACTTCATTACAGTGTATTCGCCCTTTGTATATATGATATAGACTTTTGCTGCTCAGTTTCAACTGACAAAATCTTCCTGCAGGCAAGATGTTTCTTTCTTCTTGTTGTTTTTTTCTTGAATAAATCAGCCATTATCACGCTAGATGTCAGTAGAGACACATTTGGCTCAGATATCAGTCAGCAGCATGGATAGTGTTTAACCCTCAGTCTATTAAAACTTAATTTACATCAATTGACTTAATCATTTTATGTATTTACGTCCCAATAAATCCCTATCATATAAAATAAATGTGTTTGTATGTATTCTTTTTTGTTGGACTGTTATTTATTTCTACTCTCCAACTGATCTGAAAGTAATCGTCATAGTTTGTGCACATGTAATATCCATTTTGAGTCTCCTTTAGATTCTTTACCTTTTATAGTCATTTGGAATCGTTTTGCCTTTATTAATTGTAAGACTGTTGTTTTTGATAAAATATTTGGCCTCTTTTTGCCGTTTATAATCACTTGTGAATGCATTTGTGTGCTTCAAGAAACTCGACGTTTTATAGCTGGTTTGAGTGTCTTCTTCGTGGTTAGGTGCCATTTAGCATTTGTCTGTCGTTGTTGCTGATGTGGCGCATTGCCTAACAAGACGTGTGAACAGTCGCTTCCTTCTAGCTCGGGATAGGGTCTTGGGACCCCGTGAGTCCATGCCCCCCCAGACGTGTTCAGCCGCGCACGTTTTGTACCGACGTTTCCCAATAGGCCTTGAACGCAGCATTAAACCCCGCCCAGACGCCGTGACAACAGACGCCGCTCCTCCGACGCGCTGTCCAGGTGTACAGCGACTGATATTGCGGAGGTCTGCATCGTTTTGGAGTCTCATCATTACCGCTGAACGGGATGGCCTAACAGAGGGTGCTTTGTGTACCACCCCGGCTGCCACTTGGACGCGTGGAATGCCGTTTCTGTTCCACCCGCATGCCTCAGAAATAAAGCGGGAGCAACCGCTGACATGAACCCGTGCTCGGGGTTGAGAATTTGAGCTGTTTGTTTGTAGCTCGAGTGGGAAAAAGCTAGCCGTTAGGCTAGTCAGACAGCTCACACCCGGCGGCGATATCGGATTAGCTTGACCATGGCCGGGCTCATCAAGAAGCAGATCCTGAAGCATCTCTCCAGGTTAGTGCAGAGGGGAGGTTAGCGGCCAGCCCCTGGGTAAACAGACTCAGCTGTCAGTGACACATTAGCTGACTTTCACCAAACTGTTTATTCAATTTTTTAGGGGGGCGAATTTCGCCGTTTTTAGACGGAGAGTGTCGTGGATAAAAGAGTTAGACCACACACACTTGTCTTATCAGACTGTCAGCTGCGTTTGGGGTGGCGGTGACCCTCTCCAGCCAGCTAACAGCTAGCATCAGGGTTAGCCGCTGAGCGGCTAATCCCTCGACACTTCGCAAAGGCAGGTTGAACCAGTCGAGTCCTTCGGTTTGATTGTGTAAAACAACAATCTCAGCTCTCCCCTTGAGGATAATTACTCCCCTGTCAGCGGTATCTTTTGAACGCCAAGGTTGCAGCGAAAAATGTATCCCTGATAAAAGATTAGTTCCACAAGGACTGGAGTTATAATATGAGGTCAGGAGCAGGGTTAGTACTGGCAAAGGCGTGCTTTCAATGGTTTATATGGTGTCTCTACCAGTACTTTCAGGAAAAGATCAACAAAGAGTCTAGATGATTCAGTAGTTAAGAGATACTTTAAAAGGGACCTAAAGAAAGAGCAAAAAAAGTGATGTAAATATGGTGAAGTGAAATGGTTACAGATGATATGCAAATTAAATCAAATTACATGAAGCTTTTTTAACATGTCAGTGGATGGGCCCAATCCACATGAATTATTTATAACCTTTATCAGAAAGGCTAAAGTAAATTAAAAGGGGAATTCGTCCTCATTGTCAGACACTGTTTAATTTACCTTGAGATAAAGTAACCTCGTGTATTGGCTCAGGAGCTGTGTAATGACACTGTCACTTGCCTTTGCTGTTATAGGCAGCGTTCCCTACGCAGCTTTCCATACATTATTCATTCTTTTCCACTGTCCCTCAAGGGACTTTTGCAGCTTGTATAGTTCAAACATACAACAAACACATGTGAACACGTTTCGCTTCTCCGGCCTGATCGGTCTGTGGAATCAGTCCAGTGGATTGATCCCACAGGAAAATGGGGGTAGTTTGGTGTCTTCAGCCGAAAAGTGGTTCAAATGAGTTTAGTCACAGATGAGTTAGAAATTTTGTCGGAATGCTGCAGAGCTGGTTTGTGTTCTTGAAAAGTAATAGCGGAGAGTCGGCTGTGCCTGATGTAGAAAAAAAGTCACATATTGATATCTGAAGGTCGGAATGGATTATTAATTTACACCAGCAATGTGTTTTTGGCTGTGCTTGCCCTGAGCAGCGTTAGCATCACTGCTGACAGAACACGACCAGAGGAGGAGGGATGCTGGCGGCCGTTTAGGGCTCGTCATCTGATCTTTGTTGGAGCCTGATTGGTTTGGGTGGAAGCTGACACGTCCCACAGTCCCCCAATCCGGCGGCCCTCTCTGTGATGACGTCACAGTCATCGTGCGGGTGTCAGAATGGCAAAGCAGCATTACCTCATTTACTCCACGTTGAGAACGCCGCCTCAGTGGGGCTGCTGCGTGTGTGCTTGAATGACTGCACAGTTTTAGCATCGTGCATCAGCTCAGAGCAGTGTGCGCCGGCCTGTCTGGTTTGTACACATTGTGGGTGTGCTTACACAGCTACAGATTGTGTTGTGGATATCAACACGACGGCCCTGATGCCCTGTTTCACCGCTGCAGAGGGCACGCGTCTCACCAGGGCTGTCTGGGATCAGGATGAGGCGGTTAGCCGGGAGGCAGCACATCCTCACACTCCACTGACCTCAAAGTCTGCAGTGGCTCTACTTCCTCAGGCCAAGACAAGTGCACCGAGGCCAGCAGACACGTTGAGATAGCTGAGCACAATGCAGGACATTGCATCAGTGTCCGAATCAATAGACTGTTTCACACAAGGTCAAATTCTGGCAGCCCCTGGGGGTAGTTGACACAAAGACTGTGTTATATGTTTGACTATTGACAGGATTCCGGCTCAGAGCCCGGCAGGTAGATTCCAATACACACATACGTACAAATGTGGGCATGTGGTACGAAAGCTTGTTAGTGGCAAATTTGCCCAGTTACAATCTAAAAGGAGGAAATGTTTCTGAAAGAGAAACTGTGTCCTTCCTCCACAGGGAGGTGAAACGTCAGGCTCACAGAGTGTTAGTATGGAACTGATAAGGGAACTAATTACAGGTGCTCCATCTCATGAGTCACAAGATATATCCTCATATTCCTGCTTTTGCTTTATTGTAGAAAGCTTTCATATTTGGTGTCATCCTTTACAGTCCCTTTTTGCTGCCCTCTGCAGACCCCGAAATATCGCGAAAGTTACAAATCTGTTTATTGAGATGGGTTAAAGTGTCAGCTACAGCGCTTTACCATAGCAGAATCTGTGTTGGTTAGGCGTACCAGCCTTTTTACTCAGTTACTCCAAACATGTACACGTATGCTGCCCAGATAAACCTCTGGTGAAGGAATTTTTGGACTTGATTGATTCATTCAATTTCACACAATCTGTGGTTGGGCCAACGCATTTAAAGGGACATACTCTGGATTTGGTATTATCACATGGGCTTTGTTTGGATATCATTGAAATCCTTCAGACATGTATTTCTGATCATTTGCCTGTTTTATTTTCTGTTAATATTTCATCTTCTGTGGATACAAGCAACACAAAACCTCTACCTTCTCGTACTATAAACTCTGAAACTGCTCCTCAACTAAATGCAATCCTTGCTAACACTACATTTCCTACTGATAGCAATATTGATATTGAAACTCTTATCCTAAATTTTAACAATGCATGTTCAAGTGCTCTAGACACAGTAGCACCCTTGAAAACCCAAAAAATTACAAAAAAGAAACTTTTAGAGCCGTGGCTTAATGAAACCACTCGTGCACTCAGACGGGATTGTAGGCGAGCTGAGAGGAGGTGGAAAAAAGATCAATTGAAAGTTTCATATGAAATATTGAAAGACAGTTTATTTAATTATCAGAATAATGTCAAATTAGCAAAATCTAAATATTTAATTAATCTTGTAGCTTCAAATAAGCATAGGCCTCAAGTCCTTTTTAATGTCATAGATAGGATTGTCAATCCCTCGACTACATCTGGCCCTTTAGCCTCTGCTGAACTTTGTGAGGCCTTTTCTAAGTTTTTCATAGAAAAAATTGTAGCTCTTAGAAGCTCGAATACCCTATTAGTTTTAGATTCCCAAGAAATGCCACAATGCACAGCTGTTCTGGAGCATTTTCAGCCAGTTTCTTTAGATGAACTCACCTCAGTAATTAAGTACATGCGGCCATCAAATTATCCTTTGGACTGTCTACCTACTCGTCTGATAAAAGACATTTTTCTTACTTCTGGCCTATGTATCTTAATGGTGATAAATGCCTCATTGCAGTCAGGTTGTGTCCCATCAATACTTAAACATGCTGTCGTTAAACCCCATCTTAAAAAACCCAATCTAGACTCAAGTGTACTAGCAAATTTTAGGCCCATTTCAAAACTCCCTTTCTTATCTAAGGTCCTTGAAAAATTAGTTTATATTCAGCTTGAAATGTTTTTAAAAGACAATAATATAACTGAGACATTTCAGTCCGGGTTCAAAGCTGCTCATAGCACTGAAACAGCTTTGCTTCGAGTGTATAATGATCTTCTTTTAACAGTTGATTCAGGCAATGTCGCAGTCTTATTACTTTTAGATCTGAGCGCAGCATTTGACACTGTAGACCATCAGATTCTCTTACATAGACTAAAATATTGTGTTGGCCTGAGAGGCCCGGTACTTGCATGGTTTAAGTCTTATTTAGAAAACAGAACTTTCTCAGTTCATTTAGACCAATGTTGTTCTGAGGCTAAACCTTTAAAGTACGGTGTCCCCCAAGGCTCAATTTTAGGTCCCATTTTGTTTATTTTGTATCTATTACCTCTTGGTCAGATTTTCCATAGGTTTAACGTTTCATTTCATTGCTTTGCAGATGATGTCCAAATTTATATGCCCCTCAAACTACAAAATGGCAAAAGTGAATCTCTTCAACTATTGAACAATTGTCTAACAGAAGTCAAATCTTGGATGGAACAAAACTGTCTTCACCTCAATCAAAGTAAAACGCAAGTTATACTATTTGGTCAGAGTCCTCACAAAACAGATCCAGATCTGATTCTTGGTTCTTTAGCTCGGTTCTGTCAGACCTCTGCTAGGAATCTTGGTTTTACGTTTGATAGTTGTTTAAAGCTAGATAAACAAGTTAGCTCTGTCGTTAGATCAAGTTTTTATCACCTGCGTATTTTAGCTAAAGTTAAATCTTATTTTTGTTTAAAAGACTTTGAAGGACTTATCCATGCCTTCATCACATCTCGTTTGGATTACTGCAACTCATTATATAGAGGTCTGGATAAATCACAGATGCAGCGACTCCAAATGATCCAGAACGCAGCAGCTCGGCTTCTCACAGGTACCAGGAAGCGCGACCATATAAGGCCTATACTGGCCTCTTTACATTGGCTGCCTGTTCTTTATCGAATAGATTTTAAGATTCTTTTATTAACTTATAAAGCCTTAAATGGATTAGCTCCCCCGTATCTTCTGGAACTTTTAAAATTTCAGCCCGTGTCCAGAACCTTACGCTCTAATAATCAGCTTTTGCTGACAGTTCCTCGTACCCGATTAAAGAGGAAAGGAGATCGGGCTTTTTCCGCTGTTGCTCCTTCTCTTTGGAATGATATACCCTTCCAAATTAGATCTGCCCACAGCCTGGATCATTTTAAATCTCTTCTCAAAACTCATTTTTATTCCTTGGCATTTAATTGAATTAGTTTGATACCTTGTTTTATTAATTTGTGTTGTTATCATTATTGTACAGCACTTTGGTGCAGTTCTATGCCTGTTTTAAAGTGCTATATAAATAAATTTGACATTGACATTGACATTGACATTTCCAATCAAGTTCCAAGCAGATTTAGGTGGAGTTTCTCTTTGCTTTCAATAAAATCAAATATTAACTCATTTGAAAGATTTTTTCTCTCGGTTTGGAAGTACATCATTTGCTTTTGTTAACAAGCTTACTAATGTCACAGGACCCGATAATGTACAGCCACTGTCACATGGGTATGCTGCAATTTCTCAGCCATTAGCAGAGAAAGGCACCAAGTGGCTTAAAGCTGTCGTTGCAGAGGTGATCTGTATTCTCATGGAAACCGTCCTGGTCACGCTGACATGTTAGAACCCAGTGGAATCCCTTTTCATAGTGATAAAATGTGTGTTCGGTTAAAAAAACAAAGGTTTCTCCATCTTGTCATTGACGGTATTTTTTAATGATGCCACGTTAATTCAGTCAGCTCTGCTTTCAGCTGGGATCCAGCAAAGGAGCGTTCAGGAGTGGCGTGCTGTACTAGCATATCAGCTCCGCTGCTTCTTCCTGAGGGTTTTACGGCGGTTGCAGTGTGAGGATGCGGGGCGTTTGCCTCCCTGATGATGCATTGCAGTGATGAACTCCACCGTTCCCAGTGTTGCCACTCACTGCTGGTGGGAAGCCTACTCCTGCATGAGTCACCACTGAGTGCTGTGCTGTGGGTGTCTCATCATCATGGCACTGTGAAATGCTTGTACATCGAGCGTTTAGTGTGGAGTATGTGCTTTTTTCCCCTCGTGTGTGTGTGAGAGAATGACATTTGGCTCAGGGCCCCTCCAGACCTTGGCATGAGCTGCTCCTACGTAAGGGGGTCTTGGATTGTTCTCTGACCTTTTCGCTACCTCCACAGGGTCATAAATATTCCACCGCTCTCGGCTGCTGAACGCCAAAAAACCTCAGTCAACTTTGACAGGGTGTTTTTGTGTCACTGTGTGTGTGTGGGCGTTTTCACCAGCGCTTATGAATGTAGGCTAGAGAGTATTTCAGGTGAGAGCTCTCAACGAGACGTTTTATTTGATTAGCTCTCAGGGAGGAGGAATGACACAGGAATCCAGGCTATTTTTTTTATGTACATTAATATGAAAAACAAAGGGTATAAAGTCCAGAAAGTAAAAAAAACTGATAGTTTATCTAGTTGCCACACAAGACGGTGACTATCCTGGGAATAGACTTCAGTCAAAGTTGTTAATTATGGAATACTTCTGGGAAAACGGGGTGAAGGGAACCCGTCAACGAATGGAGTCAGTCAACCTCATCACAGTTTGCTTGTCCTAAATAATCCAGTGACATTGAACACTGTTGGTCTCAGTTCATTTGAGACTTTTTTCCATTAAAGATGTGACTTTATAAGCTCAGATCGTTCACTGGTGAACAAAGACTTTAGTCCATTTACCATCTCAATCACTGATTTATTTATTTTTTTGTCATTAAATTACAGCTAAAATCAACATATTACTTTATCCTATTAGTTTTTATTGCTAATGATTTAAAAAAAAAAAAAATGTATGCATTCAATTTTTTTCTCTCCAGGTAACCGGCTCCAGTTTGATTATTAATTAAAATGATTTTTTTTTTTGCTGAAGATGGTTATTATATGACATCTTAGATCCAAGTTAAAGAACCAAAATATCCTTCATGATTTAGGAAACATTGTCCGAGTATAATCTCTATATTGGTTTTTATTATTTATCCTGAAATGTTTTTTTCCATTGTTTTTTTCCACTATTCAGGTGATGCTTTTTTCCAGTTAAATTCCAGTTCTATTTACTTTGGTAAAATATTTAGGAAAAATGGAGAACCAGAGAGAATGAGAGGATTTCTTGAAGAGAGATTATATATGAATTTTTTTATTTTTCTGCTAGTTTTTACTGGATTCCTTTTCTTTATAGGATGACAGCAGAACGGTAGCAAATGAATTTTTCTGACCTCTGATCAAATTCCTGGATACAACTGGAGGAAACGTTTGATTGTGAAAAAGCCTTTTTAGTAATTCCATCATGCTTTCCAAATGGTGTGTAGTGTTGCTGAAGGTATGCTGTAATGGGCATATTGAGTAAAGGCGGTACACAACACCAGCTGCTAATTCTGAAAACATGTGGGTTACAACATGCTATTTTTAGGCGGGGTAGTTTAAGGACCCACATTGATTTCCCCAGGAACAGGCTGTGGGCAGACAGGTTCCACACTCTGCAGTACCGCTGCCACAATATGTCGATCTAAATGTAGACTAGAAAGGTTTGGAGGCACATTTTCCCCCGATTTGTCATTTTAACTGTAGAAAACATTTTTATCTTGAAAAGGCAACGTATCAGGGAGGTTTTCTCCTCTTGCGTTGCTGTGTTTTTGGGGTAATGTTTTCCCTGATTTGTTCACAGCGCTTCAGTCTGGGTGCTAAAATAAGCTGGTTGTTTTCTGAGTCACTTTGGCCACCTTCCCCCAGGCTAATCTCTCCCTGGCATCAGTGTCATCAGCCTGCGCCACAGACGCATCATCAGAGAGCTCTCTCCAGTCACCACATCCACGGACGTTAGCGCACAGCATGGCGGGCCAGAGCCCCCGCTCAGCGTGCAGTCACGGGGAAAAGTTGCGAAATCAGCTCTCAGCTGCAGACATCTGCAGCAGTTTAGCTAAATAATGCACAAATCTGGGGATGGGTCAGCTGGCGGGGGCATGCGTGTCAGACATCTGTGGTCACACACAGGAGGTAAAAACGCATCACGGCGCTCAGAGCATGTCAGAATGGAGTGCGTTGGATTTCCCAGCCAGATCCACGTTGTTAGCTAATCTAAATTCGGTAGGGAAAATCTTTGTTTGAGCAGCAGCAAAGTCAGGCTTTTGGAAAAGAGCTGGTTGAAAATGGAGCAGAAGAGCTGGTCCAGGAACAGTTTGGAGTTTGAATAACGTCTGTTAGAAATTACATTTGTCCAGATAAGCTTTGTATTTGAAAAGGATACCCCCACCTTTTAAAAAAAAAGAGGGAAGTTGTCTCCATTTAATGGTTAAAAGTCATACCCCCACCTCCCTAAATTCCCAGTAGTTTGCACTGATCTCTTTCTGAATTTGGATTTGGTCTGTTGAGCCTGACCCTGCTGACTGGAACAATGGCTAAACTCTGCTGAGCAGAGATAAAAGGAAAATATCACAGCATGGGAACTTAATGCCCTCTAAATACAAATAAATAATAGTTCCATTAGACATATAAATATGGCTGATTGCAGATTTTTTCTTTCAGTACTGATTCATTTGTAGATTTGGAAGGAGGAGAACAGTAGCAAGAAGTGACTCACGAGAAGCCAAAAGCCAAGATGCCAGAAAGGAGCAAACCAAAGAGACTGGACAGCTACTTGACACTTGATCTGCAGCAGGGATGAATATTTCACTGGTCACAAGGCCGAGACGCCCCGGCATCAACATCTTCAGCGACAGGCCAAATGCATTTCAGTCTGAGAGCGTGCGCCCGTGCCCACCAGAGAGCATCTGCACATCGCACAGTTAGCGATTTCTTTGTAGAAGCTGATTTTGTCTTGTTCAGCCATGATGAGTTGCTGTTTATGCCTCTGCTGCTGAATAATTTACAGACGTGTTGAAACCGAGAGGATTCATGCACGGCCAGCAGAAGGTGTTGAATGGAAAGGAGTTAGGAGTGGACCGACTTTAATCATTTCAAAAAGGGGCCTGAATCAAACAGTTCTCCTCCCAGAACATCGAGTGTCACAGGCTGCCATCACCGTGCACGGCTAACGTTTTGGCTGCCGGTGTTGCCTTTACGAGCAAGTTGATGAATGTGTTTGGTGTAAAACTCTGAGCTTTGATCCAACCTGGTCTGCAGATACATACTGTTTGTGTCGGAGGGATTAGCTCAGTAACCAGCTTAAGATCTTGTGTTTAAGTCCAACGGCTTTCTCTGTGTCGTGTCTTGTGACCAAACCAGAAGTTTAAACAAATATAAGGACTTTGTTTGATGAATGATTCCATCAGACTGGCCATTTAGAATCTGACCGCTCCTTTTAACTATTAACTAGCTGGGGATGAGGGCAGAAAACACTGCGGTCATCGACATCCTGTTTTAAGGTCTCTTTACTTTGGCTGGTAAAAAAAAAAAAAAAATCCAAATTGTTTTAAGATAAAAATACCCATATTGGCTCAAACTTAAAGATGAATTCTGGCTCTGTATCCTTTCAGTTCTTGAAGTCCTTTGTCCTTTGTCCAGCTGGACACTTATAAGAATTCTATGCAGCGTTAGAATTAGTCCTCTATTTATTTTTTTATTTAAATAATCTGTCTCTAGGCTGAAGAGGATTTTCCAGTATTTTTATTTTTTTATTACTTGGTGAGATTTAAGCTAGACAAAAAGGTTTTCCTACAGTTCCATTCCTTATAGCTGGTTCATCGTCTTTTAGGTTAAATGAAAGGATTACCTCATGTTTTGCTATTAGCTCGATCAGAATGTTGCTATCAGGACCCGAATGTATTTTATTGTATACCCAAGTATTCCAAAATGAGATATGTGTGTGTGTTTGTCCTGGAATCAGAAAGCATACCAGCTGTACTTTGTGTACTTGGCTTGTGCTCCAACAGCCCGTTTCTGTAAAAATCTACAGCGTTTGACGCTTCACGCCGCTCCTCACTGTTTTCTAGGTTTGCTAAGAACCTGTCGCCGGATAAGATCAACCTGAGCACGCTGAAGGGCGAGGGCCAGCTCACCAACCTGGAGCTGGACGAGGAGGTTCTTCAGAGCTTGCTGGACCTGCCCACCTGGCTGGCCATCAACCGTGTGTTCTGCAACAAGGCTGCCATCCGGGTGAGGGCCGCCCCCCGGGAATAGGATGTATGCTCAGGTTGATACCACACAACGTTCTGTGGGAAAGAAAGCACAACCTCTCTTTTAGATATCAGGACATAGTTTGAAAAAGTAACCTGTTCCCTATCAGGTCATGTGACATGACCTTTGGCATCCTGTCATTTTCTTAATTATCTGTAGTATAGAGTGGCTCTGTAGAACACTTTGGTGAGTTGAACCTAAAGTTACCTTGCTAAGCCACTAATCCTGCTTTGTAGTCCAGGATGGGTTTAATGGCAGCAAAACTCTTCGAATCATCAGCCTTCACTGTGGGTTTGAGGTTGAAGGTTTGGCTATGACAGACGCCTCCACTTTGGTCTCGTCTGCCCTGAATAAAATTCTCCCAGAGATTTTGCGATGAGTTCAAAATAGCAGCAGAAAAATTGAAAGAGAATATAATTTGTTTGTGGCTTGGCATTAAATACAGAAAGTTGGACCACATTACTGGCTTTTTTTGTATATTCAGTACCTAAAAAAAGGTCAACTGTGAAATGAAAATTATATTTGGTTTCGTGCAGGGATGTTTGCATTTTCTGTCATGAACTTCCTGCTGTGTCATTTCCTGAGTTTAGCCTAAATGTTTTTTGCCCATAGTTTAATATGCAAAAGATACCCTCAATTTCTTAACCATGGAAATGGAAATTAAAGCGGATGAGTGAATTAGTAACATAACCCTTCTTTAAAATGAATAGCAAGACAGACTTTATTGTGTCTTGTCTCAAGTCACAGAACCCTTTGTGACCTCCTTCCTATACTCATGTACAGGCCGGCTTGTCGCCATTGTGCTGCACTCTCAGCTGGCACTGACTTATGCCCTGCTGTGGTCATCCAGCGCCATGTCCCAGAGCAGACTCCGACACACCCTGGAAACAGTGAATGGAGTGTTCTAATTTTCCTCATCACTGCCCTTTCATACAGAGCAAAGTCTATTTTCCACCTCGTCTTGCCTTTCGTTGCTCCGTCTTTTGGCCCCTTAACACACTTCTCAACAGTGTTGGGATTATATGCGTCACTGTTTCACGTCTCTTTTAGTGACCATTTGGTTAATGAGTAACACAACAAACGCTGTACTTTGTGCGCTCTTGATGGCCGTCTTCATCCTAATTATCCTCCAGGCTCAAACAAAGTGGCCTCTTACTTGCTGTGTCACTGACACTGTGTGTAATGCAGCGTTCCTGCTGTAATAGGTTGCATCATTCACAGCGAGGGTTTGTGGTGCATCCGACTTCCCGGTGAGGACTGGAGCTGGTGGACTGTTTTTCAGTTGTCAGGTTGAAACTGGTTAAAAAAACTAGCAAAAAAACCATAAAAAAGCAAAATGAGAACACAGATGTTTATCTCACTTCCTCACTGCTTAGGTCCCCATCCGTTTAAACATTTTTTTGTGTGTTTCTCGGTTGTTTCTGTTGCAGAGGAGCTAAACTCAACACAGTCACCTTCCATAATAAAGCTGGATTAATAAAGCTCACAAATCAGTCCCTACACGTTATTACTAACATCTGAGTGCAATGATTTGTCAAATGTGAGACGTGAGTTAACACCCCCCCGGCCCCTACCAGCATTTTACGAGGCAGGCAGAGGAAACAAAATGTGTCTAATTCAATTAAAACTGCAAATCCAGAGCGTTTCCTGATTAACAACATCTCAGTGTAAAAGTCACACTGTGGGGAAAAAGCAGGGTGTAATGCAGGCATTTAATCCCCTTTGTTCAATAATTTGACACAAACTTGAATCAAGAGGATGAACAGAGCTAAAGGAAAGAGCTGCATTTCGGTGTAGATGCATTGATGTCTTTTTCTATCTTCCCGTCTGCTTTTTCTGTTTTCATTGGTAGATACCGTGGACAAAGCTGAAGACTCACCCCATCACTTTGGTAAGTTCAAGCTTCTGTTGTTTATTTGATCAAAATAAAATAACCGAGAACCCTTTTTACAAACAGGTGCTACGAGTTGAAAAAAATACTTGAGGTACTAAATCATTCAGATTGAGTTACAATTTCTTTATCATGTATAAACACGTCCGGCAGACCCAATTTTTTTCCCCCAGTCATTGCAGTTGCCTAATCTGTTCCTGTTCATCTTTCACCGGGCTGGGCTGGTCCCGCCTCTCAGATTTTGTGCGTTGAGGACAAAGAAGCTGTTACGCGTTTGTCTCCTCGGCCAAGGTCTTCGGTCGGCTCCTACAGCCGCCATTTCCTTTATCAGGGCTCTAACATTTCTGTTCAGCCCCAGCTTTGTATCCGCGCCACAGCTGCCAGGTACTCCCTCATGGCCGCCGCCTCAGTAAGCAGGGAGCAGGTGTCGTGTTAACAAGCTGCTGGCGAGCCCGGCCCCAGGCCTCAGGTGGCCGGCGGCACGAAGCTGCCGGAAACCGGCAATTAGAAAAAGCAACGCTATTACACAAAGACCGAGGCCTCGTGTCCACATTCAGAGACTCATCATCTTGATTAGTGTCCTGCACAAGTCGTCTAATTGACACACAAATAAAGCTCAACACTTCTCCAAAGCCACAGGTCTGACTCTGAGGATTAGCAATATACTGTCATTGTGTAAGATAGTATGGTCCCAGTGCTCTGTGACGTGGAGTATTACTCACTATGCTTTAGAACAGAGGGAGTCATAATACCAACGATTGATAGGCTTTGGAATGATAATGCAACAGCAGGATAATCAAGAGATTACTATTAGGAGAGACTGCTGTCTGAACGTTGTGCACGACACTGGAAAAACAGATGTATCAAGATTCACTATTTAAGTATGATAGCAGGAAAGTTCTTTAGAAGGTTTAGGGGTTTGTGTTTGCTACAAGTTTTCCTGCTTGTGAAGGTTCCCCTATTCTGTGTAACACCATGTGTGCCCTTCTTCCACATGCCTGTTTTTGATACTTATAGAGATGAGAGACACGGTTATAATGCACAATGAATGCCATTCTAACAGTACAGTTTGCTGAATGTCTTATGCATGTGGAGAGAAAATTAGGCCGTTCAGTCGATGACTTGCCTGCTCTTTCAGACTCTGGATAAAGTGGTGATGGAGATGAGTACTTGTGATGAGCCCCGTCCACCAAATGGCCCCTCTCCCATAGCAACAGCTTCAGGACAGAGGTAGGATTTTTGCTTCTTGACCTTTAAAACAGTACAAAGGTAAATGTTTTTTTCATTTGTCCATACAAATGTATGGTGTCCCATGTTTTTCCTAAGTGTTTAAACTATGGAACAAAGATAATATTTTCCAAGAAAATTTAGGTCCAGAGTGACTACTTTGTATATTGCATTTTTGTACGCAATATGAATGAGGTACAGTTTTTTCCCCTTCAGCTGTTGCTAAGCACTGCTCTTTTTTCTTTTGTCTTATATGCAGCGAGTATGGCTTTGCTGAAAAAGTTGTAGAGGGGATGTCTCTATCCATAAACTCCATTGTCATTCGGATCAGTGCCAAGGCCTTTAACGCGTCCTTCGAGCTCTCCCAGCTGCAGGTCTACAGCGTCAACACCAGCTGGAGCATCAGTGACCTGCGATTCACTCGCATCCAGGATCCTCAGAGGGGAGAGGTGAGTGCTTTTCCCCTTAAGTTAGATGCGCCTGAACCAACTTTCACACAGCAATAAAACAATCTGCCCCCTCCGTCTGATTCAGATCCTGACATTTAAAGAGATCAGTTGGCAGATGATCCGCATCGAGGCTGACGCCATCCAAAGCGCCGAGCACGAGATGCTCAGCGCCCCCATCCGTCTCATCACCAACCAGTCCAAGATCCGGGTCACTCTGAAGAGACGGGTCAGCAGTATACGCATGTCACCGAAAAAGAATCAGACAGTGTCTAAGAATTTTGGTGGAGCAGGCTCAAGCACAAGCTGCACAAAGCAACATCTTCTTGTTGACTGTGAACAGTGATCCCAGTGTGTGGCTTTACTTCCCGCAGGAACAGCCGCACCATTAAGCAGCTGTCGTTTTTTTCCAGATGAAAACGATAAGCTCTGTAGTGTAGATTTTACATGAGGCAGTATCAATTGCACAGGAGGCTTTTGGAAGCTTTGAGCAGGCTGCGGTAGAGTGATTAGCCCCATTTACTCATTAAAACCTCCATTACTGGATGAGAACTTAATGCTTTTGTTGCACAAAAAAGAGGAAGATCTCTTCTGGGCATGTTCCACGTAGTTAAAAAAAGATTTACCAGATTCTACAAGTGTTAGATTCTAACTGTAAATTTGCCAGCAGTTAAGGACAAAGTATGAAAAATGAGTGTGAAAAAAGTGTTTGCTGCCTCCCAGCTTGCTGCATATTGACGCCTGCTTCTCTGCCTGATACAGATAAAAGACTGTAACGTGGTGGCCTCCAAGCTGATTCTCATCCTGGACGACCTGCTGTGGGTGCTGACTGACTCCCAGCTTAAAGCTATGGTGCAGTATGCAAAATCCCTCAGCGAGGCTATGGAGAAGTCTGCACAGCAGAGGAAGAGCTTGGCCACAGAGGATCAGGTATGGAAACAGGGATTTCATTGGCATACAGAAGACCAGTGTCTATGTTTTTTTGTTTTTTTTTCAACCACTCGAGTTAGATGCTGTTTCCTTTTCCTTTTTCCACCTCCCCTTCTTTGTTCCCATTTTGAACTGTTCCGCCCTCCCTCTTCCAGTTCATGCACTAATTACGCTCTGTTTGGAGGAGCCACGGTCTAATAATTTGTCCTTGTGTTCTGGTGAATTATCTCTGTCCCCGTTTGAATCCCTGCCTTGACCCCATATAGCATCTGTCTGGTGACATGATCTTTGTGTCACTGCTTTTTTTTCGTACCACTCAAACACACCATGTACAGCCAATCACCCACTCAAATTCACACCTATCCTGGATCCACCAGACTTTCTCTTTATCAGTGTGTATTTGGTATGTACCGCCATCAGGTGGAAACATTGAGCACTGCACGAGTAGTGTTTTATCAACCAGACATTTCCATTTAAGAACTTAGCAGATGATTTTATCAAAAGGGACTTACAAGGATACGAAAACAAGAGAGTTCTTCTGGTTGAAAGAAAATGAGAAGAACAAAGACCAGCACCCATTATCAACAATGCCCAAACATCTGCTGTGAAACTTCATCTGTGTTAATCAGGAGTCATCGCCACCGCCTTCAGCCCAGCAGGTGCGCACCCAACAGGCGTCCACTGCTGCTGACCAGAGTGCCACCATGGCTAAGCTGTTCAGTGCCTATGACGTGTGCGAGACATCCCACCACCTACAGATCACACACCTAGACCTGCACATCTGCGATGACATCCATGCTAAGGACAAAGGTATGGCATTGTGTACACAGACTTAAAAGTTGATGGCCGGCTAAATAAATCTAAAAGGTGCTTTTACAGTACTTTTAGAGGTTTCATAGATAAAATGGAAAATAAATAAACAGTTTTTGCATGCTGTTGTTTCGTAACAGCTTAAGAGCTGATAGACAACACACAGGTCTGCTTCTTGTGCCATCTGGAATCATCCCTTCAACTTATTACACCTTGTGCTAGCTTTCTTCAGCTTTTACTCCAAAGTTTATGAAGTTTTGACCAAAAAAGATGTTGACCGAAACCCTTTTCTGGTTTTCTTTGTTTTGCAGTCAACAATAAGAGAATAACTGGTGGGGCAATGCAACTTTCCTTCAGCTCCATCACTCTGGACTACTACCCTTTCCACCGAGCAGGTATAAAGTTGGTCAGTTATACACCTGACCAACTCTTATTTACTCTTAAGGCATTATTCAACATTGTTTCAATGCATCAATTTGAATTCTTATTCCATTTTGCACGTCTGTAGAATAAAAAAAGGATTGTGTTATGATATAGGACTGCTTCCATCCATACAATTCTCCTCTTTCTCTCTTCAGGTGACACCTGTGTTCACTGGATGCACTACAGTGAAGCCACTAAAGCCAGAGAGGGCTGGGCAAGGAGCCTGCTGGATGAGTTCAAATCCAACGTGGAGATGCTGAAGAGCGCCGTTCGGGACCAGCAAGCTCCGGCTGCCGCACACAGCTCCCCGCAGCATGGTAAACAAGCACACTGCCACATATACTAAAGCTGATGGGGTGTGTCGGCTCCGCTTGTTGTGGGTGTGCGTTTTTTTTGTGGTACCAGGCACCCCCGGCACGTCATCCCTTGTGGGTTTTCTGTCCTCCAGTGTCCCTTAGGGACGATGTGTATGGGCCTCTAGGAAGTCAGGAGAGAGCAGGAGGAGGAGTAGGGCTTAGGGAGGCAGATGGAGGTCTCCTAGAGTGGAGCCTACAGACACAGCCTCCAGCCCAGTGCTGCTGGTGTCTAGAGCCAGGTACCACGGAGTGTGTGCGCACAGTTGGGTGCGGTGATGCACACCTTTTCCTAGGCACATGCGTTTCTCTTCGGAGAGCCAAGTAGTTTGTGTCTTTGCCTCTGTCTGAGTTGTCGTCTTCATTTTTTTAATTAGTTCTCTACCCTGACGCATCCCCTCTTCTCTCCCTAGGTAAGATAAACACTTGCTCCTCCAGCACTTCCTTCAGCCCTCCTCCCCCCCATACCTCGAAGACCCAGCTCATGTCCAGCTCGTTTGTTCTCAGGATGGCAGACTTCAACATTTACCAGGTCACTACAACAAACCTTCACATATTTAAAATCTGCCAAGTATGAAAAGACTGAGGGGGACTTTTTCCTTTCTTCCTGACTTTGACTTTCTTGCCTTTTTGGGACTTTAGGTGTCAATGGCCGACCAGCGTCGATCCAGCCCAAAGACCATGATCTCCTGCAACAAGAAGTCCCTGTACCTTCCCCCAGAGATGCCGGCCATACACATTGAATTTACAGAATACTACTTTCCAGACGGAAAAGACTACCCCAGTAAGGCTGTTGGAATACAATTTACTGTCTTGCTTCACCTTTTTACATCTCATTTGTTTTGTTGTGGTTGAGAAGTCTCCATCTTTCTTTTGGCCGAGAGAACATTGATTTCTTTCTGAATAACGCCCGGTGCTCCAATTGAGGGATTACCTCTTACGTTTTTCATTGATTTCTGGCACTTTTGCTGTTTGGAATCATTGCACAGTGAAGGTTTTTGTTCTTCTCTGACTGATACATGTGCAACCAAGACAATTCTTGTTTTTAAATGCAAATTGTTAAAGAGTGCCAGTTTTTGTAAATGTGTGATTTCATTCCTTCCCCTTCTTTGTTTTGCTCAAACCTCCCTCTGGTTCCTTCAGTCCCGTGTCCTAACCTGTACGCCCAGCTTAACGCTCTGCAGCTGGTTCTGGATCCTCGCAGCCTGGTGTGGCTCAACCTCTTTGCCCTCGACCTCAGGCAAAGTCTGGAGCAGTTCATGGAGATCTACAAGCTGAATGACTCACAGAAACCTGATGAGCATGTAGACATCAAGGTTGACGGCCTCATGCTGAAGGTACCTGTCCTACGGACTCCCGTTCGGAATGCTTCTTCTGGTATCTGTGCTTACCCGTTGGTCTGTGCTCTTTGTCAGCTGGTGGTTCCCACTGATCGGGATGCCTCCTGCCCTGCAGACCTGCCCCGCTCCATCTCAATTCAGACTTCAGAAATGGTGGCCACAAACACCCGGCACCCTGCCAACTGCACGCGCTCCAACCTCGAGGCCCTGCTGCAAGCCTTTGAAGAGGAGCCCTTCTTCTCTTCCACCTTCTCCTCATTTCCTCGTTCCTCCTCCTCCGTACCAGTCCTTCATTCTGTCTTCCAACAGCACGCTCACGAACAAGACACCAAGATGCACGACATCTACCGGGGGCTGGAGCTGCCCACGATGGGCACGGACGCCCTCAAGATGCCCGCCGCTGCTGACTTTTGGTCTCTGCACTTTGCCCAGTTTTGGGTGGACTACGAAGGCACCCGTGGAGGTAAAGGGCGGCCGCAGCCTTTTGTGGACTCATTCCCCCTCACTGCGTGGGCGTGTCAGCCGGCAAAGCTCTTGCAGCATCAGGAGAGGCTGAGAGGGGCTGCCGGGCCTGGCCTATCCAGAAGCACGTCAGGGGACGCTGTTGCACGTTTGCAGAGGAAGCGACTGTTAAAGGAATATTACAGCACGGATGGGACACCACCATCATCCCACAGCAATGATGCAACACTGCCACCCAACAATGGGCTCGACACAGCCCTTTCCCTGGACAGTCTGCCCTCGTCATCATCGAGTAAAGATACAGATGTGCATGTTTTGGTGCATGTGCAGAAGCACCTAAGTGCTCAGGTATGTTTGTGATTGTCATTAAAAGATTTGAGAGTGAGTAAGCGCCTTCAATGTCCACTCCATATGCTCCAACCTCAAACTTAAGCCGCTTTCGTGTCTGTTATCTGATAAGTCCTTTTGATTCTCATATACAGCCTATTTAGCCCCATATGGACTCCTTTTCAAATAGGAATAATCTCTCATTTTAAGTAAGATGTTACTTTCAGTAATTCCTTCTGCCCTCAGAATGACTTGGATTCGTGTGTTTCCAGGTGAGCCATCGGCAGTACGTGTTTCTGATGCAGCTTCAGCGTAGCCTCAAAGCCCTGCAGCAGACGCTACAGCAGGACATGGATCAGCTGATCTCCAAGAGAGACCGCAAGGATGCGTCCCAGCGTGCTGCAGATCACCGGCCCTTCACCGTCTGCCTGGGGCTGCTGCTCAAGAGTGCAGAGGTGTCCCTCCTCCTGAAGCCCGTTCCCCAGCCCGAAAGTTCAGGGTCTCCAGTAGGATCTGAGCTCTCCCACTCCGAGAGCCGAGGAACCCTGGAGCCCGCGAGTGATGCCGGCGACGGGGTAGAGAAGGGCACCGATGGGCCCAGCTCAAAGGGAGGGGCAGCCAAGCAGCCTTGCACCGTAGACCAGCTGCTATGTGGTGAAGGCATGGAGGGTGGAGCTGCACAGGGCCTCGCTCTCCTCATTCCCTCATCCGCTTCGGCGCCGCATGCCGACTCAGCCGAAGAAAGGACTCCAGTTAAGAATGCTGGTAGAGGGAGTTTGGATGATGGGGGAGAGGGTGCAGTGGACGGCTTGGCTCAAGGTGAAGAATTAGGATCAGACTCCAAAGTGCATGTCAGCGACCCTCTTTCTGACCCGCTCAGCGACAAGACTGCAACTGCGAAGATGCCTCAGTCGATATCCAGGTATTTTGCTGCCAGTCCCTTGAATTAGCCATTCAAAACATGTCACTTTAAGAACTAAAGTCATTGGTTTCTTGAGTTAATTTGACATAACTGAACTTTTTGAGTTCTGAGTAGGAGACTTGGTGAATGGAAGATAAAGTTTCAAATAATTCTTATGGGTTATATTGGCTCAGAGAGAATGTGTTTTACATCATTGTAATTATAACTGGTGGATTGTCTTCATTTTACTGTTAGTTGTTTCTCATCTTCTCCGATAGTTCACAGTGTAAGACTACAGGTTTTGAAGTATTCACTAGATCTCAACACTGGATAAAAGAAGATTTTTTATGTTAATGAATGAATGTTGAACTTCTAACTCTCACAGATTGAATCTGTTTATTTCTGAACACAAGAGCTGTGTGTTGAATTCCCACTCACCCGTTTGCCATTCTGAGTGTCTTCTCACATTCTAAATCCTGACTGGCCTCTGGCTGCCTGCCATTTTCCCCCTGCTTTGTCATTCACCATCTGTCCTCACCAATTGTCTTTGTCATTTACTGAACTCGTTCACTCCTTTCTCTGCCTCTGGACCGTTTGCTTTGACCCATGCAAGGGGTGTGTATGTGTGTGTTTTCTCTTTACCAAGGAAAGGAAGTTTGTCTGTGGTTTCTGATCTGCTCAGCTCCTCAAACTCCAGCAGATCCACCTCCCTTTATTCCATGTCCAACATGTAAGAATCTGGACCTGTGACTAGCAATGAGTTCGTGTTTGGGTGAACGTGCACTGTCCGTGACTGTGTGCTTGGTGTAGTGATCCATGGATGAATCCAAACCGGTGCAATCTGTGGATGTGAATCCTCAGTGGGCATGCATTTGCATGTGTGCATGACATCCCGTATTTGTTGTACGTGTTAAAATCCCTTTCTCCACTTATATTGAGTGTGTATATGTGGTGGTATTTGAGATTAACCAAGAAGCTTATTGTGTGTTTTACAGTTCTTTTTGAGGCCTTGTGTTCCTTTGTTTCCCTTTCTTTTTGTGAATTTTGAAATAGTTTTCTTTCCTCAAGATGGTTTGTCACTTTGGAGAATAGCATATTCGGTTTCTACATGACCTTAATCAAAACTACACAAAAGACTGAATATATGATTAATTCATGACCTGTGGAGTGAGCCCCAGCAGCTCCAGTCCCGGCATGAGAGAATTCATTTCAGATGTGCAGAAATAGCAGCAGTGGACCACGTCAATTTCTTTTAAGTCGATAATTCCGTTCAAATCGGTGTCAGACAATTGTGCACGGTCGGTGATGCCAAATTACAGCCTTCTTCATGTGACGGGGTACTCGTTTTTGCATTGTAGTGGTCGTTTGATGCGTGACCGCTCCCAGTCCAGCTTCTCTGTGTCCTATAAAAACATGAAGAAAAGCCCTTCCCTGCAGTCTCTGGACAACATCTCCATTGACAGCTATTTGATGGAGGATGGAGACACCTACAGCCTGCTGGAGAGAGGTGCGGAAAACAAACCACATGCTGTCACAAGCAGTTTCGCTAGTTTTTCGTAGCTTTAGAATGTTTAGCCTCTTTAAACCCCTGTTTTGCTTTTTTACATTTGATATCGACTTAAAAAGAGAAGCAGAGAGAGAAAATACTAAAAATGGTACTGGCAAGTATCAGTTTGAAACAGAAGATGGCAGTATTGTGCCATTTGTCACGAACCAAAACTAGATTTACACTTGAAAGGGAAAGGTTACATCATTTTATGCTGAAGTCACATTTATGCATCTTGATGTACTTTACAGACGATGTGTCCATCTCAGGCTTCAAGGACGCCATCAGTGAACAGAGCACCACAGAGAGCGCGACAGAGGCGGTGACCGGTCAAGAGCCGGAGGGGGCCGCTTCCCCCGACAGTGTCAGCGCAGCTTCTCAGAGCATTGACGAACCTACCAAAGATATTGTGAGATACTCAGGCAGTTGACTCTAAACATCATATCTTTGACCTGTAAGAACATCTACAAAATAGGAACTCTCAGTGTTTTAGCGCAATCAGCCTTTAACCATATTTAAACCAACTTAGAATACAGACCGTGAGAAACTAGTGTGTCTTCAATATATGTTTTAGATTTGAGCAAGCTCAGAGCAGTTTGTGGACCCCCTGATGATGCTAACGGGACATGTCCATGCCTGCAGGTGTCTGTGCTGGTGCTGAAGGTGCAGTCGGTGTGTGTGGGCATGGAGGCGGTGGGCGAGAGCACGGCGGTGGCTCTGGAGGTGGGCCGGGTCTCCCCCAACCAACTGGGCAACGTCAGCCTCCGACAGTACCTCAGCAACCGCAGCCTTGGTGAGAAATGCCAGCATCTGTGTTTGATTTTTCTTTGAGGGAGCATGAAATATCTGCCTTTTTATAGAAGGCCTTCAGGGGTGTATTATGGTCTGCTTATGCATGATTAATAGTTTGCATCAAATTGCAAATTCTAATATTTATATTAGATATTTGGTGTTTTTAGTGGTGTTTTGTGGATAACATTGTCTGATATTTCTCGTATACACCAAACTCCCACATGACTCAAATTAAACTGCAAAACTACAAAATAGACTACAGACTTTTCTGATGCAGACTTGGGAAAGAATTTATCTGTATTAATTTTCAACCGTGCGCTTACCCCTGATATAAAATCAGTCACCCAGAATGGAGTCCAAAAGAAATTCTCTGCAGCCTGTTTTGCGAAAGCAAACGATTTCTTTAGAGCTTCCCATATGGGCTGTAACCAAAGAAGAAAGTGAAACCCTCTCTGCTGAATTATGTTGTTTTGACTTGCGTGACATGAGAGGAAACATGGGGACAGATAGAGGATGAATGTGTGACAAAGGTCCTAAAACACATTTGAAGCTCGGTTTCAAGGTTTAAAATAGCAGGATGTGTCTGGATGTGACCCCTTGTGACAGCCTGTTTTGATTGTTCATATTTTAAGACAAGACAGACAGATGGAGTGGCAAGCAGCGACACCAGGACATGCCTCTTTAAACCCACCAATGAAAGCAGGAAGCTGTTTGACAGGTGCAGAGGGAAAAATAAAACACTCTGTCTCCGTTAGAGCCACAGCAATGGACACTTTAATTGAATGCATCGAAGTTGTCTTTTTTGCCAAAGTTGAGAAGAAATGGCCGTTCTCAACCGTAGAGTGTGACAAATTGAACGAGTTAAGCTATTAGTTCCTCTCCAGACAGAAATCGTAGGGCTCAGGCACGCACATTTACACACTAATACAGCACCCCCCTCCCTATTTTACTTTTATTTACCTTCCATAACTCCCCACAGGTATGGTGTGTTCAGTACCAATACCTGCTCAGAGCAGCCAAGGTAACTGCTGTGTGCCCGTCCATCGTACGTAACCTAACATGCATGCTTGCTTCAGTGCGTTCTTTCAGGCCGGCGTGTTTGCGTGCACACATACGTAAGATCTGTGTGTGTCTGTGTGAGCGTTGTTGTTCCTCTCTCTCCGTTTTCCTGTCAGACCTCATCTCTGGACTCAGGCCGTTGCTCGACGACTTGCATTGCAGATACAGTGTGTCGCGACGCATGAAGCGTGTGTGTTTCCCATTTTTTTCAGTGGGGAGGGAAAGTTTATGTGATCTCAAATATCCTCAAGTGTGAGTGCCTGTTTGTGTGTGTGTGTGTGTATATGTGTTTTATGCAGGTTAGAATGGGCAGATTTGACTGTGATGGAGGCCCCAAACCCTTAATATGTGCCTTCAAATGAACTTCCACTTCTGTGCAGCCATTTTAAGCCCAACCCCCCCCCCCTTTCCTCTTCAATTTGCCCTCCCCCTGTCTCCCCTGCCTCCCCACATCTCTCTCTGCCTACCTCATCTCTCCACTGCAGAAGATTTTGCAGTTTCAGTCCAGTGATTCAGGCAATGAGGAAAAACGGCAGTTTGCCCCTCGCCACCTATTTCTATCTCACAAAAACGACCCCACCTCCTCCTGGTCTTCCCTTTTTGCTTCTTTCTCTCTTCCTCCACCTTTCCGCTTTGCTCTCCCCCCAGCTTATACTCCATCTTCCTGCTAATCCTCTGTCATTCACCCCTGCCTCTCCACCTTTCCTACCTTTCATCGCTCACCCTCTCCAGGCCATCTTTTCTCTTCCCTGCCTGTCTTATCACAGTCATTCAGTCCTTGCCTGCTGGCTTCTTCCCTTCTCTCTCCCCCCCCCCCTCCATTTGCCTCAACCCTAGTTGGTTAGTTTTTATCTAAGAAAAGCTGACAGCATCGCATGCATGTGTGTCTTTGAGTGGCTTCCTCGGTCTTGAAATTGCTCTGTGGTTTTAACCCTCTTCTGCCACTCCAATAGAGATTCTTAAGAGGAGCCATGCACTTCCCACTGTTGTAATAAAAATATTCATTTCTTTGATTGATCATTTTCATGCCTTGCTGAATGCTGTGTTGCAACCTGAGATGTGTTTTAAACCCATTTGAAAACATGTGACTGTGTGCTTGCCAAATGAATCTGTGCTTTTGTGTGCTCTGAATTTTGTAAAATGGTATTCGAACGTCTCTCCACCTAAACATTTCTTTGTCTCATTTCTCTAAACGCTCAGTTTTTCTCCTTGTGCAAATTTCGCTGTCAGATATTGCCAGTGGACATTCAGGGTCGAACTCCTTCTGTCTTTTAGAAAATCATCACATTTTCAGTTCGCAGCATCTTAGAGCTTAGTTTGGTGTAGTTTTCTTTTTTTTTGCTGTTCATAAGCGGATAAATTCAAGGTTGATGAGGTGGGAGTTTTATTCAACTTTCAAGCCTCGGCTCATTGCGATAGATAGCTTTTGTATTTGTTTAAAAAAAGAAAAGAAAAAAAATTATACAGTCACCCATTTCTTTTTTCCTTTCCTCCATGATCTATCAGTTTTTCATCATTCTTGTTTTTCCTTTAGTTACAGCTTGTCTCCCACTCCTCTTTCTGATCTTTTCTCCTCCCCCTTCTGTTCACTGCAATTCTTAATCCAAGCTTTTTATGTGAACCCAGACATCAAAATGCACCTTTTGTTCCAAGTGAACAACTTTACACCCGCTAATCTCGCAGTGAGTGTAGTCGGCGTGTATTGTTGCGTTTTTTCCGATCACTTTTGCACAGGGGAAATCTCCCAGCGTTACCCTGCGTTCGCTTTAAAGTCACAGTGAAACTTTACCTTGAGCTTCTCAAGACTTTGTAATATACGTGATACAGAATGGAACATTTGAAGCACACGCAGGCGAGTATAGCACAATTCATGTACAAGGCATGTAAAAAGTGCTTTACATGAAAGATTTAAGAAGAAAATGTAATTAACAAGTGAGCGTTGAAAAGTAGAAATTAGGAATACACAAAATAAAACAAATAGAAATCATCATTGAATAGATAGAAGGGGAAGATTAAATATATTTTCACAGCTAAGCAGAACTGTTTTCAGCCTGGATTTAAACATTGTCAGAGTTGAGCCCCGTTTTCCTAAACTCTGAAACTCTCAGAACCCAAAAGGACTTTTTAACCAATTCATTTGAACTCTCTCCTGGTTTTAAGATAACTGGAATGACGAGTGCTGAGAAAGTGTTGAGTTGGGTTGAGAGAATATTAATAACTATTACACGACGAAAGGAAAGAGGATTAACCTTCATCAGAGATAAAGATGGATAGACGGGACAAAAACCACCCCCTGCCATAGCGTGCAAAACCTGAGAGGCAACACAGCTGCCATACCACCCGACTGCATCAAATTTTCATTGACTGCATTAGTGCTTAATTTACTCCAGACTCGCCTCCAGGACAATGATTTACATATCGAAACCGACAGGTTTTTCATCCTTATATAACAAGTAGAGGTTGCATAATATTGATTGAAATTCAGTCTTGAAAATGGCAGATTGCCCCCTAATCTGACCCCTACTGTGATGTGAATTCTGAAGTTGTACAAATAATGTCCTGCATTTGTTTAATATACATAAGCAAGTATTGGACTTTTTTTCAAAGTCCAATACTAAAAACTGAAGATTTTTTCTCATTAAAATGCTTTAATAATGTTATTGTGATTTGTTTAAGCTTTGATTATTGTATAGAATAGGAAACTGGATATTAGTACGGTAAATCTTTCAGCTTTGCATGCAGCCTGAATTTAACATTTGCAGATACAGCGCCAAAGATTTGAAGCTGGGGAATTCCTTTTGATTTCACTGTGTCTTTAATATTTAGTATTGGTCAGATAACAACTTGAAACTAAAACAAGGATTGGATTGGATTGAAAAGAAAGGAGAGATGTAATATGTTATTGTTAGTAAAAAAAAAAATCTCCTTCAGAATTCAAGTTTGGTGTATTTTCATGTCAGGAGTCAGAATACTGCTCCACCTGTGTTTTCAGCAGAGAAAGGCTCATGCTAACAGCCGCTGTCTGTCTCTCGCAGCTGGTGGTGAGATGAACTCGGCGTCCAGCCGGGGCTTCCACAGTCCAGAGGTCCAGGCTTGCCTGGAAAGCGGGCCCTGTGCAGCCGCCCACTCCCCGCTGGCCGAGCGCAACGGCTTCCTGCAACTGCATCTCCACGGATACCAGACCAGCTTCCTGATGTCCACGCTACGCAACCTCGCCCTTTTCCTGGAGGACGAGTCGACTCCACAGGTGCTGCCCATGGAGATCAGCATCAGGGACATGCACATAGATTTAAAGGTGAGAAACCCTGTTATGACACAGAAAATGGCCTTTCTCCCCCGGATTGGTTCACTAGTGAGTGGAACCGATGTGAAAGCTCAGATAAAAAGATTTCCCTCTTTGTGTCTGAGCTGTTTTAATGCCATCTTTCCTCCAGGACGATGGCCCCCGGGACAATCCCTCAGACTGCGAGCCCTCGCCGATCACTCTCCACGTGGACAGTCTTGTAATACACAGAGGAGACGATGGGTCTTTTTCCATTGGAGGTCAGCACTGATTCAGCAGTTATGTAATATGTTCTGCGAAACGCCCTTCATGTCAACATCCACACATCCCAGCTCCTCTGTTTTCTCTCGTCCCCCTCGCAGTGGACAGAGCAGCAGAGGCTAAACCCAAGAAGGCGGCTTCGTTGATTGACGGCTGCCTGAGTCCAGTCCGTGAGGCTGTGAGCAGCGTCTGCAGGACGGCAAAGGCCACGCAGACTCAAGCCCCGCCCACCAGCCCACCGCCGTCCAGCAGGGAAAAGGTGAGCTCTTCTTCCCTTCTACTTCCACAAAGCATGGTAAACAGGCGGGCCTTCTGTATTTCTGATCAACTCTCTGGCAGCAGGGGCAGAAACACCAGGCGGCAACGTTTACTGAAGCTGTTCCAGTTTTGTTTGGCTTGCGTGCTCCTTTAAAGTGGGAGTTGCAATTTTAGTCATTTAGGTTAAATCCAAGATTTAGATTTTCACTCTTTCAAAGCAGACCACTTCTTAAAAAACAAGTGAGTTGTTTAGGTCTGGCCACATTCAGACTAGCTCTGGCTTTTATGAGGTAAACCCTTTCAGGAAATCTTGAGATTTGGTTTTGCTGCACTGTTTACAACAACAATTTCTCTCTACAGGTTCAAAGACTTTTAGTCAACTTCAAATTCCTTTCTATTTTTTCCTTTTCCAGTTTTGAAATACAGCGCCGTCATGCTTGTTTTCCCCGTTTGCTTGCAGATGCTAGTGGAGGAGAATGAATGTCTGAAGGTGGAGCTATCCCGAGCCAAGATGGCGCTGGCTGAGGCTCAGATGGAGAAGGACTCACTGCTTCACCGCATGAAGAACCTCAGAGTTAACACCAGCTAGACCCGGTCCCCCCACCCCCACCCCCACCCCCGCTGCTCCCGACAGTCATTCAGCTCTGAGGGGCCGAGGTTTAGGGGAAAAAAAAAGTTTTTACTTCAGAGGCTCCATTTTCACGCTTCTTTGATGAGCACGACTTTATACTTCAAAGCAAAGCAGAGTCTGCGTGAAGACACCGAAAATACACATTTGTACACACTTGTTGTTTTATATTCTTCACGTTGGAGTGGCAGGCTCGATACATGTGCAAGATGGAAAGCGATAAATAATACTAAGCAGGAATCTGTGTGTCCGTGTGTCAAAAAAATAATGGAGAAGGAGATCCATATTATTAGTTGTGCCTACAGCAAACCCTTCCCTCACCATTCCACGTTGTCTAATTGGAAATGTAAAACACACGGCTTATCTCAGATGAGCTTCATGCAACCTTGTAGGTGAGACTGAATGTCATATCTTAAAAGGAATGTCTAAAAAAAGACGAGTCATTTTGCACTGCACTGAGTTTTTTTGAAAATTGAGTGCTTTCATAATCAGAGGGGGAGGAGACGAATCATGCTCCTGCTCATCCTCCCAGCGTGTACAGTTTATATTGTACATGAATGTGAACACCTAACTCTTTTCTACAAAACCCTAAATGGATATGCAGTGTTTCAGCTGAATGTGTGTGTGTGTGTGTGTGTGTGTGTGTGTGTGTGTGTGTGTGTGTGTGTGTGTCCCAGACAGAATTAAAGTGTTTTCTGAAAGAGTAGAGGCCGAATCAGTTCCCCGGCTTCGTTTAGCAGAATGCCTCACAGTAGTCTGTGCCCTCCACTTTGTCCTATTTTTCTATGTGTAAATAACTACTTAACACGTGCTGCACTTTTTTAGAACGGAGGCACTGTAAATAAAACAACTGCAACTGTGAGAAAACGAGGTGAGCCGGTGAGTGGGGGGAGCCACTTCGCCGTTTTGCTCTAAGTCAGTTCTTTAGGGAGAAAACAAAAAGAACAAAAATAAGAGGACAGTGATGCTGCCTCGTCTACGTTTGTGAATCTTTGTGTAAAAATGTAGTGTCATTTTCTTTTTTCTTTTCCACTGACTCACGTCGACCATTACCTGCTGCTGTTCGATCCCTGTCTGCAAGCTTGAGAGAAATGTTTGAATTAACTAAAAACTGACTGAACGTTGTAACAGCACATCCTTTCTCAGAACACATCGAACAATAAAAAAAGGGTAGTTTTAGGTCTCTAAACTCACATGTAGTAATAACAGTAACAGATTTAGTTGACGCGTGCAGTTGTAAGTCATTTCTTAGCTCGGCCCGGTTCATTTCAGACACTTTTTAAGTAGAATAAAAAGTCTCGCTGGTACCTGTAATAGCTTAAAAATGTACCTAGTTCTCCACAGAATCAGACTTGAAATGTCAAAAGACACAGATGTATGTTCGTTTTGATAGAGGGGAGACTTCTTTTCAATCTGGTTATCATCCTACAGTTGTTGGAGAGCCCCCCCCCCCCTTATTGGGGAAACATCACCTTTGCAAAAGGGAGGAAAAAATCTCCCCAAAATGTCGTATTTTGTCTGTTAAAGCTGCTGAAATACTGATGAAATAAAAAAGTATCCATTTTAAAGGTTTCACGTCTTTTTTAAAATACATTTCTGGTTTGAATTTATTTGCAGTTCATCTGACGCAACACAGTATTCCTTACAGCTCGTTTCCAGGAGCTCCGCAATTTGCATTCAAGGTGTTGAAGATTAAGTTCAAACACTCTTGAATTTGGCCTTTTTTTTTTTAAAGAGAAGAGATGCTAAGCTTAAATTTGCATGAAAAGAGACACGAAATGTATGACTGAAATAGGTTTTCTATTGATCTTGCCTTGTAAAGAGAGAAAAACAGAGCAGAATTTAAACAGAATTAAGGGTAGAGCAATGATGAAGTGAATACTCAAGTATAGATATGTAGTCATTCCACTCTTTTTTCTTATGAAAGTCTGGTTTTTGCCCATTATTTTTACGTGGTTTTTCTCTTTTAGTTCCAACGAATTATCAAATAGGTTCAACTTCAGAAGAAAATAGGATTAGTTTGAAACCCCTCATGCAAATTTAACAGCTCAATCAATGAAAAAACACAAACTAAGTTTGCATTTGACATCTTCATTAAAACTTTGCACGATTCACTCTGCAGGGGTTTGACCTATGGCTCAACTTAATTTTATGCGTCATTCTTAAATTCATGAGGGTCACTGTGATGAGCAAATGTAAATGTGGACGCTGAAAATGGGCTTCAGTGAACCTCTGCAGCGGATATTTGGGCTCAGCACGGTGAGTCAGAGTAGGAAACGTAGTGTTCCAAGCATGTGTAAGAGAGAAATGCTTTTTTTCTCTCTTTAGATGCTGAAATGAAATGTTTCGTTGCTGTACAGACAAATAACACACGCATAAACACGTGTGTGCGCAGCTATGCCAGAGAGTAAGAGAAGCAAGAGGTGCACGCCAGCACCAGCTGGATTTGGCTGAATATGCAAGTGAGGCATCAGGTAGTGTGTTGGCTCAGTGTGAAGAGCAGAATTGCGGTCCGGTACCCAGAGGGGGGTGCAGATGCCAGCTCACAGCTTCATCCTTTGGCTTATGCTTTAAATCACTGTCAGAGCCAGCTGCAATCAGAACAAACAGGGGCCACTTTTAATAGAAAATACAGGATACGGAGCTACAGATGGCATTCTAGCTTCCATTCAGATCTAATAGGTTCATCCTTTGACTATGCACAATAGCTGATTATGACAGTAAAATTAATTACATTTTGGGTAAGCAAAAATGTAATTGTATATGTATAAAAACACACATATCCTGGAAATGTTCTTCCATGGATCTGGGTTCTCAGTGTGCCTGGATTTGGTATCTATAACAGGTGATATAGAATTCCACAAGCAGAACAAACAAAAACAGTGAAGCTGAGTCATATTTATGGTTTTAGATCCAAGATAAATTGTGTCATCCAGACAATGAACACCAGATAAATAAAAAACTGTGAAAATAATGAGTTGAATAAGATGCAAGTTACATTTGGAGATAACAAGTTACACATGTGGAACACCCTGAGGCAGCATCGGTCTTTTTTCTCTTAAAATTGAAATTGTAATGAAGAAGGGAGAGAAGGCATCATATAAAAAAAAGTATGGGGAGAATGGGCTACCATCCGTTTCACCGTCTGCGGATGCACTTTGATGACATTTTTGGCATAATTCTGTATTATTCACACAAACCCTGCCCTGACATGACTTGATAAATTTTCTGGGTTGTCACCTGTCTCCAAATCCCTTCAGCTGCAGTGGCACCAATTGCCAAGGCCCATGGGAATCAAACGCCAACACAGAGGAGATCTGCGCATGTGCCAGTAGGATTGGATAAGTTTCTGGTCCAAAATCCTTTTTAATCTGGCAACAGCAGGTACAGCCCTGTGTTCTGAGGATGACTTTTTAAAGATACTAACAAAGACACATCCTCCTGTTGGTGCTGTTGCGTCGTCATCCACGCCCAGAATGTACGGCGAGCCTGACAGTCAAGTCCGAGAGAGCAATACCGGAAGTGCAGCTGTTCTCCCTCCAAATTAATTTTGGATTCGCACTGTGTCGATTCGGTGTGACATTTTGCAACGAAATGACTTTAACCAGCTTCATTAGGTTTTTATGTTCTCATGAGATCAGTTTAAGAGTAGCCGCTCGAAAATACAGAATACATAGCTTTCCACTTTTGAGGCTGGTGTTGGAAAAAAATACAACTTTATTCGACGGTTCATCATTTAGGAGAAAACTTTGTTTTTTAATATAAGATTAGTATTGCACAATATTGAAAAATGAGGAAAAGAATAACCAAAAAAAGAAGAGGTAAGTATTTGAACTCATTTTTATTGACCTATTAATACACATTTAGCATTTGCTAGCTTGCAAATTTAAGTTATTTTCTAACAAACCATTTGCATGGGTTTAGTAGCTCAGTCTACTACTACTACTATTATTATTATGATTATTATGATTATTATTATTTTTTTAATTTATTGTATTTATTATTATTGTCAAAAACATATAGAATAGTAGGAACTGAATAGTAGGAAACCCGTTTGAACGCAGCTGTATCAGATCTAATCAACGGAGCAGGCTCACCTGTAGCTGGACTCATGTCGTAAAAAATGTGCAAATAATTTTGGGACGTGTTTGAGTTTTAAATTGGCACATTTTTACATTGCTGTGAATTCAAGAAAGATGCAGACCTGGTAGAGATTTAAATGGACTCGTCGACCTAACGGTGTGGACCGGTGTGGACAACCTACATTAAGAATGAGGTAGGTCATGCCTGGAGAATCTATAGCGTGGCAGATACATTTTACCTTTTATTTTGGGAGATACGGTCGGAAGCTCGCGGTTTAGTTCTGTTTCGGCTGACTGCGGAGTCTGTTGAGAGCCTGCCGAGCGCCCGGCCAGTGCGGTAGGTTCTCTGGAGTGAGGTGGCGAGTGGAGTCGGAGAGCGTCTTGTGGAGGCAGACGGAGTTTCATCTTCCGTCTGTGACCAGCAAGAGCTTCAGACGAAACACCAGCCTCCTTTCGGACTGAGAGGGGGGCGGGAAGTTTGAGTTTTTTTTTCTTGTTATTATTATCACTATTATTGACCAGGTTCACTTTTCACCTCACACTTGCGTAAAAGGATCCGTTTTGGTGCTCCGCTCGCCCTTCCCGGTTTTTCTCTCTGAGATGACACAGTGTGCGTAAGCGGACTTGCACAAAAGCAGGACTGAGGGCTGTGCGTTCTCAATGAACTGAGGTTGTAAGACACCGGGGGAGCCGTGCACGTCAACGCCGCTCTGCAGCATCAGTAACACCTATTCCAGCGCGCCGCATGCGGGGAGAGGAGCCCGTTTACATGCGTCCCCACGCCAGACAGTGAGGGGAAAGCAGAGGAGGGTTATATGGAAGATCTGTTGGATTTGCATCACCCCGTCGTTACAAACTTGTGTCGGGATGGGAAAGGAGCAGGAGCTGCTGGAAGCTGCCCGTACTGGGAATGTGGCCCTGGTGGAGAAATTATTGAGTGGGAAGAAGGGAATACTGGGTTCAGGTTCGGGGTCCATCCCTCTTCCCAACCTGCTAAGGTAAGCCCCCTCCTCTATTCTGCTTGTCACACTGATGTTGGGTCTTGGAAGCCCCAAAGGTAGGGGGGGGGGGGGGGGGGGGGATTCCTGAAGGGAGTTCCCATCCTGCGTAATTTCGGCAAAAGTCCGTCTTAATCTGGGGTCAGCGCACAAGGGATGAATTTAAACCAAAATCAAAGTCATCCCGGCCTTCTTGAGAGGCATCTCTAAGATAATGATTTGTTTCAGGGGCTTCTTTTTTGGGGGGAGCTGCAGCATACTGCATGGCATACAGATACAGATGGCATACCCTTAACTCGAATAAAGAACATACAGTTCAACCAGACAGGATTCAAAAGAATTAAATCAAATAACAGCGAGGGGCAGTCTTCTGCTGCTTTCAGGAACGGTTGGCCTGTTGGGCTAAGTCCCAGCACTCTAAGGCACAGGCAGGTCCTGGAGCTCAGAGTCTCTGACAGCTCTCAGAGTGCCCTCACACTTTATTGGTATTTGTGTGTTGGCTTTGCTGCATTGATCGTGATGTGGTGTTTGCCACGCACTCCTGTCACAAGACGTCTGGAAGGCGCGGTAGG